CTCGCAGCCAAGCCGGCCAGAGCCAGACTCAATCCTAAGTTCAGCGCGCCGCCGACGAGAATTGCAGATGTGCACCGTTGAGCCCCGTCACTCCTNNCGAGCTACTTGNTGAGCTGTAATGCAATGCTCGGCACCTTAATGAGTCGCTAAGCGAAATGAGCCGTCCGCTTTTCGACTGCTGTGCTGCGAAACAACAATGGCGCTCTTGCTCGCGGCATCTCTCGCAAGCGTGGCAGCATGTGAAATACTGCCATGCAGGACGACTGACGAGACGGTACTATGTGAAATGTATTCCAGGCCTGTGGAGGTCTGCGAGCAAGCGGAGGGAATTTTCGACGCCTCATCTTGGCTCACCTGGTCTGCACGAAGGCACTCTCGCTAAAAATCGTCTCTATGAGTGCCGTGATGCCCGAGTCACTCGGCAAGCGCTGTCGACTCGAAGCTTCAAGGTCAACGGATCGATTGAGATCCGCAATGCATGCGACTTGCCTTGTTTTGCGAGCTGCAACAGGCCCTGTGATCCGACTCTAGCGGTACCTGACGCCGCTAGCTCTGAAGATCTTGTTGCGTCCCGCAAAGATGACTCTCGCTCGCATCAGATTTCCCTTCGTCGTATACGTGATATGTGAAGAAGATCCTGCGCGTATTCGACATTGTCAGTCGCAGAAACGGTGGGGACCAAGCTATGTAAAGTCATGCGAAGTCGTCTGCCTGCGTCTGCATTGTACTGATCAGAAAAAGATTGGCAAGGGGGTCGCTGGCCGCTAGTTTGACTAGCAATCGCGCTTTGCTATTTTACCTGACAACGATGACGTGTCAGTCTATATGGCAATCGACACGTGTCAGCAATAAATGCCGGCAGTGGAGAGGCAATATTCAGTGCGCAAGTAAAGTTGGAATGATGCATAGCGGCTAGGAAGTATGGAAGCGGAGAGGAACAGCCAAGGAATGGTCGTATTGATCTGATGTGATGAAATGGTGTGCCCAGATCGTGCTGGTGAAGTTTGAGTCGATGGGGAAGTTGAGTCGCCCAGATCGGCAGTCCGTGCCCACGACGCGCCCTAGCCCATATCCGGGGTCCTCAAGCTGGCGCCGCGATTCCGAGGCATAGGCCCCGTTCAATGACCACAGCGTCACAGCACCTCGCGTCGGCTTCGGCAGAGGGGATATTTCTTTGTCGATGACGGCGGGCTACTGGCCCCCCCGGCCTGACGGGACTTGCAGGGGCAGTATGCTTAGTCGCTCTCCTTCTTACTCTCGGGCTGAGAATTTTGCCAGAGGCGAAGTCGAGCTGGAGTTGAAGTCGAGCTGGAGTTGAGCTGGGAAAACAAATTTGCACTCTTCTTATATGCTGCGAGGAGCGTGACCGTGAGAAATTTGCGCGCACTCAACCGTCCGTAAGCGGCGCGAATGGACGGCGCTAACGTCTGATCACGAGCTAGATGTGCGCTCCCCGCGTTCGCGGCGCCCTGCAGAAACCGGGGTAGGCGAAATCATCTGAAAAGTGCGAATTCATCTGGTGAGCGCGAAATATGATAAGAGTGCGAATCAGTCCTACACTCCTCACACCCCATCTGGNGACATCCTTGCCCTTCCANCGCTCCGTTCTTACTCAACGGCTCAGTCTTTGGCCCGTCTGCTCGTAGCATCTCGCAACAGCAATTATAGACAGGACTGCAGCTGCATGATAGAGTAACAACAGCAAGAGGAGCAGCCGACCTATCAGCCTTGACCGTCGCCAGCAAGTAGCAGAGAGAGAGGGAGCGGCATACGAGTAGCTCGTACCACACATCGCACAGGGTAGGAAGCCTGCAGTCAGTTCATGACCAATACTGGTCCTCCTTGTCTTGTTGAGAGGATGTCAGAGTCACGCACGAGGCAGCCGCCTGAGGCAGACAGTGACGCGTCCATAACACCGCAAGTCCAGGTGCATGTGGAGCAGCAGGAGCAAGAAGCAAGCAAGGGAGTTCGCATCGGCAAAGTCACATCGACAGACGAGCGCGAGATCAAGCCAATCAAAGCGAGCAGGAGCGCAGATGTACCGCAAGACCAGGACATCCGAGACGTAGCGATCAGAGCTATACTCGGCTCCCACAAGGCACGACCGCCCAGTGCAAGTGCCAGCCGCAGCAACGAGCATGTTACGCCCAGCTCGCCCGCAAAAGATCGTCAGACAAAGCGGATTCGTACCGCTCAGACAGCCCTCCGTCCAACGACTGCATCAATTCGCACCACCGCTCAGTCGACGAGCTCGATCAGAGGCCCGATCTCCAACCCACGTATACTATCGTCGCGGCGTTCATCCTCCCCACCCGGATCGTCTTCAGTTCCGACCTTCAACCGCGAGTACACACACGCCAATCCTGACAGAGCTCAATTCCTGCCTTCCGTCAACCTTAGATTCGAGATGCTCGCTGATCTCGTTCGTCGCCACGGCAGCAAATTTGAGAACATCGCTCGCGACGTACCCGAGCCTCACACCACAGTCGCACCCGGCCGTCCACGAATCGGAATGACGTCAATTATCGAGCACGAGCATGCTGCCGCTATTGAGTATGATCGTCGCTGTTTCGCACATCAGCAGCGCGGCACAACCCTAGTAAGTACCGATGCAACGGTCGTGAAGGCCGGCGCAAACGCGGGCAAAGCTGCCGTCGCTGTGATCGCCCGCGAGTTAACACTCGGTGGAAAGGAGTTCTGGTACATCTTCAGCAAGCGGACCCCAGATACAATCTGCTCCAATGTTGCTGAGTGTGAAGCGATTACATATCGTTTCGAGCTCTTCAACAGCGGCAAGATTGCCTGGCCTGCAATCAAGCGAGTGCTCTTCAGCGATTCCCAACGCGCGGTGCGTCAGCTCGGTAAGTGCAGCCTTGGAGTCGAGCCCAAGCACAAGCACGTCGCAATCGTCACGCCTTGGGTAAGGGTCACGTTGGCGTCTTCATGAACGAATTTGCGGACAAGTTCTGCAACGGTGCCCGCAAGTACCGCGAGGTCGCCGAGAGCAAGATCTCTCCGTCAGAAGCAAACTATTACGCTTCCTCAGCCTTCCAGTTCTGAGTATCACGCGTATGGTCGCACTGCCAGTACGTCGACAGCTTGTCTCATTTCACGCACACACGGCAGTCGTCGCATCAGCACGTTCACGTCGTCAGCACGTTCACGACACGCATAAGCGCATCTCAACGCTTACTGATTTCTTGTTGTTGCTACACTTGCATCTCACTGTCATAACTTGTCACGAGTCCTCGAGCGTGATGCATGAGTGACATCAAAGAAGTATTTGCCGTTGTGCAAGGTATGGCACTATACAGTGGCAGCAAGGAGCTCTGAGAGGTCCATGGCCTGCACACCTGCTTTGGACTCGTTGTCGACGTAAGAAGACTCGGCAAAGCTCGACAGCTGGATGTCGCCGTTGGCAGGCGCTACAGGTATATCGAAGCCAGGTGGCAGGACTTGATCGACAATCGCAACGACGTCTGCGGGATCAAATTCTTGATGTACCAACCGCAACGTATCGCCAGACCAGGTACACCTCTCGACAGTCGTTATGACCTTGCGCGTCTCCCTCGCTAGACCGCCATCCGGCATGCGAGTATATTTGACGATCTCTGTGCAGTTCTGCGTATGTTTGATGTTCGCCGGCAGGCTATGGCCACCCTCTGAGGGCGGCAAGGCTTCGTCACGCGCGTATACCGTCGACTTGGGCTTTTCGCGTACGGTTTTGTCGTCAGGATGAGGCTCATTGATCTTCGGCGGCTCAGGCTGATAGTTCTTGAACTTGGGTTGCTTCTCTTGCTCGCCGTCGGCTTTGCGCTTTAGACTGCGTGGCGCAGGCGAATCAGACGCCCTTAGCGAGCTCTCTGGCAGATGGGCATCAAAGTCCTCTTCTGGCAGCTTGAGTAGTCGACGGGCCGTCTGTCTGATGCTCTCTGCCAGTTCTGCTGGTTCTAGCTTGAGTTCTGGCGGTATTGATTCCCTCGCACGCTTTTTTGCTTCGATGGCTGCGTCGGATGATCTCGCAAGGAGCACACATTGTCTGAGTAGGAAGTGCGAGAGTTCCAGTAAACCCTCGATGACACGTAGTGGTAAGTCGACGGGTAGCTCGTCGCTGACTCGTGATAGACGATTGTGATAATGTTGAGCCGCATACCACAGCAGCTTGACGAATTGCGGGAATCTGAACTTGCGAGGCACCTTTGTCGCGATCTCGAGGTCTGCCACTCGCAGCTGCGTCTCGATGTTCATTCTGAGAAGGCGCAGCATTGTCAGCTCATGTTGGCTAGCTTGCGCGGCAGCACGTACCCATGCACAAAATTACCGCCAAAGACAAGCGAGTCTGACGGCGTGTAAACAGCATGAATCCAGCCAGTCGGTATGATCCTAAGTAGCACCAATATGTGAGCTCGACGCAAGCGTCTCTGCGCGCATGACTTACATAGTGTTGCCTTGGGTGAGCTCGACTTTATAGACATGGTCGACCTCATCGCCTAGCCAGTGCGACTCCTGCGCTTCCGACGAACCGGACCAGCTTTCGTACTTGCGCAAGTTCTCAGCAGTCGGCCGTATGAAGTAAAAGACCTTGCTGCCTTTGAGAATATGATAGAAGACGGACGAGCCGGCGAAGTCGATATGCCAGTCTGTCCAGCACTTCTGGACAGACATGAGGCAGTACTTCTGTACTTTGGGATAATCCCCATGCGCACGTTTGTCCTTTGGCCAGACGTTCATGACCCAGTCGAGTTCTCTGACAACCTTGGGTGGGACGATGGACTTGCCGAGCGCAGTATGGGATACCTCGAGCGAGATGACGTTGCGTATCTTTGCTCGCCGTGGATTCTCGTAGTAGCTAGCCCATTTGCCGAGCGTCCAATGCGCAAGATCAGCTTGGCTGGCGACATCGACGACTTCCACTGGCGAGTCCGGCCCGACCAGTCTGGCGATGTCGGAAACCGTCATGTCCGACTCTGGCATCGTCATGCCCAGTCCGTCCGGCCTCTCGATAATGACGGGTTGCTTCATCGCTTCCGGATCTTTGTATAGCCAGTCTAGTGTGAGCGAGGCCCCATCCGGCAAGACTGGAAAAGGATGAGGCTCTATCCTCTTGGTATGGATGATTGCCATCCATCGCCCGGGGTCAGACTCGAGGCCGGCGTTGAGGTTCGAGTAGTCGATGTCTGTCCTTTGTCTGGACGACTTGCGTAGGTTGCCTCTGTAGGTGATCTTGAGGGGCTCCCTCTCGTCATCCCGTTCGCTCGCTTTGATGCAGGCGTCATCGTACCACTGTGACACCAATTGTTGAGCTTGCCGATGCATGTCATCAAGTGAGCTCGGTACCTTGTCGATGGCATCGCTCGTCTCTGAAGGATCAGGGGCTACGCAGGCCCAGTGGTACCATTGCTTGCAACTGCTTGACGCTCAGTCTCGCTTCGAGATGTGACACTCGACCGGGCGCTCACCCGTCGCAGCGGATCCAAGGCAGCTCTCCCTGATTGGGCTGTACAGGAGGATGCTTGTGGCCCTTGACGGAGCAGACGCCGCAGTCATCCTTGGGGTCCACAGCGGGGGCCTTGCTGCCGTTGGTCTTGGTCGAACTTGCTCCCATGTTACTCGTCTTTCGCGCTGGAGGCGGCAGTGGCGGCGAGCTCTTGACCTTGCCTGGCCTATCTGGCATCTGTCTCGACGGGACGCCCATCTTTGAGGCCTTGTGGTGAGGCGGATGTGACTGGAGTCAACACCGTCAGGCGCCAGGCACGGCTCGCGACTTGGCCGGGATGACAAGTTGATGCGCCTTGACGAGTGTCTGCCCCTTCAGCAGCCTGAGCTCGACTGGACAGCCTATCTAGATTATCTCTCTCGTCAGCAGATCATCTCAAGTCAGCCCCCGTCATGCTCGGCCAGACTGTTGAAAGGGCTCATGAAAGACTTTAGATGTCGATCTACTCTTCAATAGCTCCGTGAATGTACCCCCTCAGCATCGAGAGCAGCATCAGATCGCACAACAGATAGCGATTAGGACGCTCGCGCCTGTCCCCGTGCTAGGCACGCACGCAGCAGAACGAGAGGAGCGAGTCCGCACTCACGCGCCGCCACTGCTCACGGGCGTCAAAACACTCGATGAGACTCTACAAGGGGGTCTTTACCCTGGCGAGCTGATCGAATTGGCCGGACAACCATCCTTGTCTCGCACAACAGTATGTGTACGCTACCGAGCTGGCGTACTGCTGATGAGAGCTGCAGCTTGCCTTGCACATCGTCGTGCGGGAATTGCTGCACGCCCCCACTTCTGCCGGTCTCTGGATAGACGCCCGGGGATCTTTTGACATCAAGCGGGCTCTGGCAGTATTCGAAGCACTGCAGCGTCAAGATCACCGTTTTGCCGCCCTGGAGCCCGATGCAATCTTTGACAAGTGGGAGATCAATACAGCTTTCGACCCGGCTGCTTGCTTGCTAGCCATCGATTCGTCCCTAAAGTCGCTCGTCGATCAGTCCACTCGCTTACGCATCGTCGTCCTGGACGGGATAGATGTCCTCTTCAATGGTCTTGGCAACTCAGGATCCACCGAGCAGCACGCCGCCATGGTCACGTTCATGCGAGATCTGCAAGCGATTGCAAGCAGCGCCGAGTCGCCACTGACCGTGCTCGTGCGTTCACGCCCGCAATCTCGCCAGCATGATATGCTCATTGTAGGATAGGTCGTGAACAAGGCAGTCAATGCAGGAACAGAAGCCCCGTTTTCCGCATTCAGCACAACGAAGCACAAGCCTGCCCTCGGTCCCACATTCGCTCAGCTCGCTCGACGGACGATCTGGATCGCTGAGCGAGCGAGCGCTGATCCTCTGGCTCGACCCGATCGAGTTCGTGAGGCCTACATCGAAGTCGTGCGTGATCGGACAGGCTTGGCGGGCACATGGGCGCCCTTCCTCACTGTGAGTCTTTCTGATAGAGCCGGTGTAGCCGCTTGAGGAGTACGCAGGACGGAGCAAAGCTGCTCTCAATGCCGACAGAGTGAATACAGTGTACAACATCGGATGCATCATGCTGTCTCCTCAAGCTTACGCTGTAGCTCCTGTTCTCGCTGTCTCAGTGCGTCGAGTGATTGCTCGACGGACAAGTTGGCAATCTCGATCTGCAAATTGGCAGAGATGAGTTGGCTCCACTGCTGTTCTAGCGCTTCCAACTGAGCGCCTGCTGCAAGCTGCTTTGACTTTCGTTGCCTGTTGATCGTCTCCGTCGCTTCTGTCGTCGAGTCGATGGCGCCCTTGTACCTCTCCGCTGATCTGTCAATGAGGAAATTGCTCAATCGCCACGAGTTTGCACCAAAGCTGTTGAGCAGCTCGAGATTGTTGAGCCGGGTCGCTTGGTGCTCGAGCTGTGCAGAAGCGTTGTCCAGAGCGGCTTGCCATTCCTCTATGCTCGCCTGTTCGCCCGAAGGAGGGACAGGCAGACTGTACCGCGTAGTGTCGAGCCCTCCTTCGGCCTGCGAGCTCGAACTGACCCGCTTGAGCTCGGTCTGGAGGAAGTGACTCGAGCTGAACAGACGAGAGGCGACATCCTCCGGTAGCTGACTCGATAGATCTCGCTTGGGCAGCCTAGCGAGCTCCTTGGCAAGCTCTTTCTCGATGACTTCACGCGCTTCTGGCCTGTCGTCGTAGTCCTTGTCGATGTCTGCGCTTACGGCTTGTCAGCATGCTCCAGTCCAGAGTGTGACTATCTGGCGCACAAGGCAAAGAGTCTATCATTGAAGCGTCCATGCTGCAAGGTCGATGGGATGGCTTGCCCGTCGGCTTGGCTGGCCGCTCTGTCGCGTTGGAAAAGCTGAAGAGCGCCAGCCGAGGCTCGAGCTTATCACGAGATGGGCTACTTGGCAGAGCAGCAGCGCAAGCTGCTCATCAAGATGATGGGCGAAGAAGTGATGGGCAACGTCACGCTCGACCTCAAGTTCACCGACGACCGGGTCTGTCGCAACTTTCTCTGCGGCACCTGTCCTCATGATCTCTTCAACAATACCGTCAGTCTGAGCTTCCCCCCTTTGACGGCTCTCGAGAGCTCACGCCTTCTAACGAACTGATGCAGAGGATGGACTTGGGTCCTTGTCCGAGGAGCCACAGCGAGAAGCTCAAGATCGAGTTTGGCGCAGCTCGAGAGGCAGCCGAAAAGGGTGAAGGCGACGTCGCTCTCAGAGACCTCGAATCCATGAGGGCAGAGTATGAGCGCAACGTGCTAGGGTTCGTCGACGAGTGCGACAGGAGGATCAGAGCCGCCCAGCGCAGACTCGAAAAGACACCAGAGGAGAACAACAAGACGACCGCACTGGCAAGTCGTGCCTGACCCATGAGCGCTTCTTCCTGCTTATAGCCCTGCTTTTCCTGCAGATGCGCGAGATTGGAGAGATCCAGACGGCCTACGATCTCGCCATGGAGGAAGTGGAGCGACTCGGTCAGTCAAGCACATGTCATGGGCTCAGGAGCTCATCTCATGCAAACGGTGTGCAGGTGAATCCGGCGAAGTAGATGCATCCATGGCAGAACTCAGCAAAGCAGAAGCGCTCAAGGCTGAAAAGATCGACAAGGAACGCGAGCTCCAGCAGTTGACAGACACTTCAGGCGCATCTGGCCACCAAAAGCTCCGCGTCTGCGACATCTGCAGCGCTTACCTCTCTGTCCTCGACTCCGATCGCCGCCTTGCCGATCACTTCGGTGGAAAGGTAGATCGCCCACGCAGTATCCTTTGCACAGACCGCTGATCTGTCCTTGCGCTCTATAGATGCACCTCGGCTATCTCACGCTGAGACAGACCATCGATACATGGAAGCAGCGATCCGCCTCTGCTCTCATACCTGGCCCGGGCATGGCTCCTCAGCCCGGAGTTGGTCTCAAGGTCAATGGCCACGCACAGCCGGACGGTCCTATGCCATCCAGTCTTCCTGCCCGGCCAAGCGCCGCAGAAGACTCTCACGGCCCCCGAGACTCCTCGAGAGGTCCAGCAGCAGACTCACGAAGAGGAGATTCGCCCGCTACCTACTCAGGTCGAGAGCGCGACCGCGATCGCCGCCCAGACGAACGAGACAGAGACCGTGATCGCGACGGTGGACGATCGAATGATCGCGAAAGCTCAAAGCGAGAAGAGGGCGAGATCGAGGCGCCACCTAGCTCATCGAGCCGCAGCAGACGAGCAGAAGAACCGGAACGATACGAGCGAGAGAAGCGGAGGCGATATGACTGAGTCCTTTTGCACACAAATTTCTGTTGTAGGCATAGTTTGCATAGCGAGCATGCTTGCACTAATTGCAGATACGTGAGGTGGTCGGCACACAATGTGTGGTTACTAGTACAGAGATCATCACAGGCTAACAGGCGTGGGCAGTCTGGCACGCTTCTCGTCCGAATGACTGTCGACGGACGTGTCACTGTCTGAGTGTGCGCGCTTTCTCTGTTTGTAGTGGTATCAGCAGAGTGCAAGCGCTAGACGTGTTGCGCTTACTTTCTGCGAGTCGTCGCTCAGCATAGACGACTCGCTCGAAGCGTCTGTTTCGTGGAATGGCTCGCTCGACCGTGTGCGCTGACGAACCATTGCTTGTATACCTAGAAGCTCATCGTCGGAATAATGTAATCGGAATGTAGGCACAAGACCCGGCAGAGCTTTGAGGAGCGCTCGCGCATGGCGAGCACAATAGACTTTGGGACCATTCCAGACAATCTTTGGCTTTTGTGGGCCAGGGGCGCTCGATGTCTGCCGCGAACGAGAACGACTCGAGCCTGACCGCGGCACACTCGAAAGCTCCGTCAAAGGCGAGTCGGCTCGGCTGCTGCTCAGCGACTGAACCAAGGTCAAGCGTGGAACGACGGGAAGGCTCGGCAGCAGAGCTGCATCGGAGATGGTTGGGCGCATGAAAAGTGAGGCTGTGCCAGCTAAGGCAGTCTCGAGCTCGGACCTGGCATCGTCCATCGAGGCAATGCTGCTCAGGGGCGAGTCGGGCGCGTCATATTCTGGTTCGATCGGCGGCATGAAAACGAGAGTACCGAGATAAGCAAAGCATTTGCACGACTGGCACTGATAGTCATCTTCGACTCGATGTGAAGGATCGACTGTCTCGACGAGTCCGCCGAGAGTTTGGAACGCTCGCCGTGCATAGTCGCGATGTCGCAGCTCGCGCGAGACCATCTCGTCAATCAGGGGACGCAGATGACAGGCCATGCTGGCTGTGCTGTCACGCTCAGCGATGGTACAAACAAGCTGATCATGCGAGAACACGGGATGCTTCTGTAACTGCTGATAATGCGTCACACAAGCCAGGTCGTCGGCCAGCCAAGACGGCAAGCTAAAGTTGACCGCTTCGTTGACGTTGAGACCATGATTGAAGCCGGCGTGATAGGCTCGAGGAAAGGTGATGACGAACTCGTTTGCGCGCTGATCACAGGCGTAAACTCGTACGCCGGCTTCTTTGAGGCGGCCTGGGCTCATCAAAGTGACAAGCTGGAACATCAGATCAGGCTGTTGCTCGAAGAGCTCAGGTGCGGCCGCCTTGACAGCTGCTTCGAGGTGGATGTCGTCGTCTCCTGGCACGCCATACCAAGTCTTTGTGTCGCCCCAGTGCTGATAATTGATGCTATAAGTGTAGTGATCTTCCTTATGCCAGGCAAAGGTGGAGAAGACCATGCCGACATAGAGCCACGGCACGGTCATGCCAGAAATGTTGCCTCTGATGTGGCGGAGCAGAGAAGAAGGTGCAGTGGGAATATTATTGAGATTCCATGCGTCTCGTGCGTATGGATCTCTAGCATTGCGACGCTTCTCAGGGAAGCCACTTGATGTGTCGTTAGTGTGTAGATCTGCGCCGTACTCGACTTCGACGGTCTCGTCCGTAGTCTCGACGAGGCGCCAGAATTCGCGCTCAATGTAATCCTCAAGTGCCAGATCAATGGGCAACGGAGCGGTGAGTGGTGGTGTAGGTTCGCGTGGTGCTGGCATGGGATCGGGACAGGCGGGCGTCCCAGTGCGGGACGAATCGATCGGCAGTCCATCCAGTGAGGACTCTCTCAGCCATTTCGCATCGAAGCCTTCCTCTTCCTCTATAGGCACGCCGTCGAGGTCATCGTACGTACCTGCGAGGATTTTGTCATTGATAGAAGCTGGCTGCTCGAGAGATGCTCCCTCGGGTTGCATATAGGCTGGCGGATGTCGCTTGACCCATAAAGATTTGAACTCGTCTGCACGCCGTCTGAAGCTATGAAAGCTGTGCTCGTCACCCTCATCGAAGCCAAAGTCACGACCAGTCGACATGAGGCAATCTTTGCAGATCCATCGACCCTTAGGTATACTTTTGAGGGGTGGTGTAAGGCAGTGAATATGGTAGCCTCGATCGCATTCGTCGCAGAGCAGCATCTTACTCGCGCGGTTGTCTGCATGACACGTTTCGCAGGCCTGCATGTATGTCAGCGTAGTCCGCAGGCGCACCATAGAACGCTCACATCGCCGACATCCTCGGGGGGTAGATCGTGTAGCGGCAGGCCAATAGCGATGTCGGCTTCATCCAAGACTTCTTCTGCCTTCAGTGTGTCCTCTGCAACGGGCTTGACAAAGTCCTTGAAGATGGGCACCTCTGGTACAGGACCAAGTGAGCGTGTCTTTCGTCGGAGTGGCGTAGCAGGCGAAGTCGAAGTGCTTGCGACGGGCGTCAGTAGCTGAACGGGGGTCTTCTTCGCTGACGTCGTCTTGACGAGCTCGACATGTTCTTCAAAGGGGCAAATGAGCTTCGCATAGGTGGCTTTCAGCGCGGAAGTGGCCGAAGTCGATTTTGGATCGATTCCGATGGCTAGCGAGACTTCTTGCCATTTTCGATCTCGTGACACCTGATCGTCGAGAATTAGATAGCGCAGAACACATAGCGGAGATAGCATACGATGTCAAAGCCACCCCTACTACTGACGGCTTTTTGAAGCAGGAATAGATTGACTGGCCTTCTGTTGACGGTCGGCAGAGATGTCAGGCGAACCTTGGCACACTCTCGCTGCTTGTGAAAGATGTAAAGCTGCTCAAGGAAGTTGAGATTGGCTCTTGCAGAAGCCTCGAGCGCATTTAGGCGTTGCAAGCGAGTCTTGAATCTGAACGTTTCTGTAGGAATGCTGAACGTGGGCTTCCAGCCTTCAGGCGGGACGACTTTGCAGATACCGTACTGAGATGCAATCTTGCTCAGTGATTCGATGTACTTGAGCGGATCCTGGAACTCGTCTTGTGTCGGATAATACGTTGGCGCTTCGGCGAGACCGAACAGCCGATTCTTCTCGCCTGCTGACACGGTCTCTTCCCTGGGTGTGATGGTGCGAATGGTCTCAAAATTGACGGGCGGAGCAAAGTCTGCTGCCACACCGCCGTGGCGAGACGTATGAATTCGTCCGATCAGCTGCTCTGCGAGCGATTTCTCCTTGCGGCCGGTAAGCGCATCAAGACTGGATGATATACCCTCGTTGGCCTGGTCTTTGGCATCTCTGATGAGGACCGCTCTTGCGCCACCTTCGACCGCAGGGCCACTTTGCTGTGACGACATTCTGCCCGTTGGCTTTTTGCGGTTGCGATGGGTGGGCTTCACGGGTGCATACTCTATCGGCTCGTCGTCAAAGGTGACGTCCAAGCTGCTGATCACCGACACGGGCGGCGGAGTTCTCCGTCTATGGCGCACTCGCTTTGGCGTCTTTGGCGTCGCGAGCGAATCTTGCCCGTCTTGGCTCTCGGGCGCGGCTTGGCTGGTCGCACTTTGCATCGTCGGGTTCCCGTCGAGGTCAGGATCGCCCCGAACCAGATCGGTCTGGTCCGGAATGACGGATCCTGGCACTCTGGACTGTTCAGACCATATGCTGAGGTCTTGCTGAGATAAAAAGGCGCTCGCCAGTGACGGGTTGCCGTCGGCTGTTCTTGGTATGCTGGGCACATGCGGGCTCAGATCGGTTTCTTTGAGGCCTGAGAGCCTCGCTAGATCATGAATGGGATCGTGGACATCCATATTGAGGTCGCTCAGTCAACGTTGCGCCGAGACCAGTGATGCTTTGCCTGTGGGCCGGCTAGGGATTTCTCGGGCGCGCCTATTTTGTGCATCTAATGATGCGTGAGCTCATTTTCGGACGACAGACGAAGCTCTAGGCAATACAACAACCACATTTAGCGACGACAACAAGGTCTTTGGCACCATCATGTCCAGCATTCGCTCGGGGAGACTCTGTGGTCTCTGCCGTTGGCGCGCACGCTCTGCTGCTTTACGTCTCGCGATAATGCTTTTCTCATGTCTGTCGTTCCGTGTGCATCAGTGAAATGCGACATGTACCAAGACTTTAGCTCACCAAATGCATCCTCTTCCCCTGGTTTGACTCCACCTGAGTAATAGCCTATGACGCGCCGGTAAACCGAATAGCCCAGTCCTTCGTACATGTCTATCGCCTCTGTTCCCACACGCTGACGTGAGCGTGCACAGATCATGATGAGAAGCCTGCGCACGATTGTTGGACACGCGGACATAGAGGTCGACAAAGTAGGCTCGGTGAAGCTCCGACATTTTCTCGAGGAGAGCCATCATGCCCTTTGCGAGGCCGAGTCGCCTGTGCTCGGGCGAGACAGTGATGGCTGTCACATGCCCGCTGCACGGTGTTTGAGCACTCCGCTGTACGCGCAGAGCGCCAGACCTACTGCCATTCGGTGCCCGGCCCTTCAGTCTTGCCCATCACTGTCGCGTGGTAATGTGAGCATGAGAAAGCAGACGCCAGAAAGAGAGCGTACCATAGCCCATCAGTTTGCCTTGTGCGTTCTCCTGAGCAGAGAAAAGGTGCGGCCATGTCGCTAGATTGCCCAGATAATACGCCACAGAGTACTGCCAAGCCAATGTGAATGAGCCTTTGGCCCAGCGTGGGGAAGGATGCTATGTACTGTCTCGGTCCAGGGATCGAGATTGATGTTGTTGAAGGAGAAGATGTCTGTCGCTCGGAAGGGCCGTAGAAGGCTCATGTTTATGGCCGCGGTAGGTAAGCGCGTACTGCAGCTGGCAGCGTGTCGTGTCAGCCCAGCTCAAGACGGCTTTGCGGGAGCCGGCGCAGGCCGCAGGCAGATAGCACTGATCGCGAGTCTACGCTCAGTCGTCACGACACAGGCCGAGAGCCTTAACACGCAATGGCTGAGAGCGTGTCATCGGACAGTGGTACCGAAATCATGACAACGCCGACAGCTCATTCGCCTGCGCTCTCATCTGACGACGAGGGCCAGAGCCACACTCATCACGGCTTACAGCTTGATCATTCTCCCGAGCAGCCGGAGGAGCGAGGTGTCAGTCGCCCTGCCTCACCTAATGAGCCAAATGGAAATGTTGCGCAAGCCGCACCGCTCAGCGATAGCGCCAGTGAGGGGCTGCCCCCATTGCCCAGCAAACAGGATGTACAGGTCGAGACAACAGCACCTTTCGAGGCTGTCGAGCTCTCTGACCGAGCTCAGACGGCGACACAAGAGCGCGAAGCGGCCAGCGCTAATAATGAGCAAGAGAACACTCTCCCCTCCTCTTCTTCGGTGTCTATTGCCCCATCGAAAGCGTCCTCATCGAGCAGCGCCGCGGCTTCAAGTCAACCGGCTGGTACAGCAGCTAGCATGAGCACACAGCCTACCGAGATTGAGGACGAAGCGCCGTCGACCTATCGACCTCGCTCTTCCACGTCCGCGACGCGCACCACACAAACTTCATCAGCGCCACCGCTCTTGTCAGGCAGACTGATCATACAATCTCTGGAAAGCATGCTAGCCTCGAAAGACGCGAAGAGATCGGCCCTCTTGAGGGAAGCAATCGAACGTGCTTTACAAGTGCTCAAGTCGCCCAATGCTGCAGAGACATCCATCGATCCTCGTGTCATCTTCGAGCCACTACGCTTGGCATGCGATACAAAGAGTCACGCTCTGATGATCCAGGCGCTCGATAGTATTGGCAAGCTCGTCAGCCACTCGTTCTTTTCGTCGCCTGTACACGCACCGTCGCAGGCAGGCACACCCGACGGCACGCATTCCAGGAGATCATCGCTTGGCTCGATCGAGCAGCCCTATATTGCAGATCCTCAGCTGGCAGAAGACGTCGTCTCGACCATCTGCAATTGCTTTGTCGACTCGACGAGCTCAGGCTCTGCTCTACCCGTGCCATCGACCGGGCCTCTAGCGACAGCATCAGCATCAACAGGTCCAGATGCTGTCAATTTGCATCTGCTTTCCACGCTGCTTAGTCTGATACTCTCAAGCTCACTACCGGTGCACCAAAGCTCGCTACTAAGAGCTGTGCGCACGGTCTATAATATTTTCTTGCTTTCAAAGGGTCACCAGAACCAGACAGTTGCGCAAGGTGCATTAGGTCAGATCGTAGGCGCAGTCTTTGGTCGTGTTGCTCTTGGTCAGCCCATCACACATAGAGATAGCCGCGGCACACCCACGTCGAGCGCTCGGCAATCTACTACTCATCTTCCGCCAGAGATTGCTGCCCAAAACACCAACGGCCATGAGAACGGCAATTCAGAAGCACGAGCGAGCTCCGATACCATCCGCAATGATGACTTGCCGGCCAGTGAGGACGCTCCCACTGTATCGAATGGAGGCACATCCTTGCCCACTCACACAGCAATCTCAGCCGAAGATGGGGCAGCTGCAACGACTGTCATGGACTCGATGTGCGTCTCTCGGATCTCAGTGTAGGTTCCACTGACCATGTAAGCAGCCAATCGATGGAGGCCAGACAATCCTTTGAAGGTGTCTCAGAGCGCGAAACGGGTCCGTTCCTCAGTACGAACGATCTTTACATCAAGGACGCGTTCCTCGTATTCCGCTCGCTCTGTAAGTTGTCGATGAAGCCCCTCGGCTCGGAGAGCGAGAGAGACATCAAATCGCATGCAATGCGATCCAAACTGCTGTCTCTTCACCTCATCCTGACCATCTTGCACAACCATATGGCACTCTTTGTCGATTCGAGCGTGACCATTTACTCCGCATCCAATCGCGAATCGACGCAGTTCATTCATGCCATCAAACAATATCTCTGCCTTTCACTCAGTCGCAACGCTATCAGCCCAATGCTCAACGTGTTTGAGATAAGTTGTGAAATCTTCTGGCGCGTTCTGTCGGGCATGCGCACAAAGCTGAAGGTGGGATCGGATCTGAGCGTAAAAAGTACGGCTGGCTAACATGCTCTGGGCTATAGAAAGAGATCGAAGTGCTACTGACAGAGATCTTCTTGCCGATACTCGAGATGCGTAGCTCCTCGGTACGCCAAAAATCACTCTTGCTCGGTGTAATGGCGAGACTATGCCACGATCCTCAAGCACTCGTTGAAATCTACATCAATTACGATTGTGACCGGACATCGCTCGACAATATATACGAGCGTCTGACAAACATCGTCTCGCGACTTTGCACGACGCACTACACGACAGTAACGATCAGCTCGACAACGTCGTCTACTTTTGATTCGCTTCTCACACCTGGAGCGCCTGGCATCGCAAATACCTTTGCTTCGGCTGCGAATAGTGTGCCTGCTGTGCCCACGATGATTGCCTCACAGGACGGCAGTCTGCCTTCGAATATCCCTGTCGAAACCCAGCTCAAGAGACAGAGCCTAGAAGCGCTGATAGCTATCTTGCGGTCCCTCGTCAGCTGGGCTGGCAAAGGCACACTTGCTTCATCGCAGACAGACTCAGTGCTAGCGGCGGAGCAGCGTTCGCTCGCAAGCGAAGACATGCGCGAAGCTGACGAGAGCCTCGCCATCCCCAATGGAGGTCGGTCAGCAATCTCCGGCACCTCGACTCCGGAGCCTAATGACGATCCCGGGCGTTTTGAGAATGCAAAAGCGCGCAAAACCACATTGCTGCAAGGCATACAGAAATTCAACTTCAAGCCGAAACGAGGCATCGAGTTTCTCATCAAAGAAGGTTTCGTTCGCAGTCGCGATCCCAAGGACGTCGCAGCTTTTTTGCTGCATGCGGATGGGCTCAGTAAGGCGATGATCGGCGAGTGGCTCGGAGAAGGAGACGCAGACAATATTGCGACTATGCACGCCTTTGTCGATCTGATGGACTTCTCGGGTATGCGATTCACAGATGCTCTTCGCATGTTCCTGCAGTCCTTCCGTTTGCCTGGCGAAGCGCAGAAAATCGATCGATTCATGCTCAAATTTGCAGCGCGCTATCTTGCAGGCAATCCCTCGTCAGCATTTGCAAACGCAGATACTGCCTATGTCCTCGCATACTCGACGATAATGCTTAACACTGACGCCCATAACCCGCAAGTCAAGAACAGAATGACGCTGCAAGACTTTTATAAAAACAATCGCGGCATCAACGACGGCGCCGATCTACCGGAGGAGTTGCTCGCAGGCATCTATGAAGAAATACAAATCAATGAGATCAGGATGAAGGACGAGATCGATCTGGCACCCACAGTTCCAACTGGTAGCACACTGGCAGTTGCACTCGCCAGTGTCGGTCGTGATCTACAACGCGAAGCATATGTGCTGCAATCTGAAGGCATGGCGAGTAAGACAGAAGCCCTCTTCAAGACCATGATGCGATCTCAACGACGCGGAGCGACGCGCACGAGCGAGCAGTTCTTTGAAGCCTCGAACTTCCAGCATGTCCGTCCGATGTTTGCCGTCGCCTGGATGCCAATACTTGCTGGCATTTCGGCTCCAATGCAGGATTCTGACGATCTCGAGCTCGTGAGCCTCTCGCTCGAAGGTTTCCGTCAAGCGATCAAGATCGTCTGTCTCTTTGACCTCGAACTCGAACGGAACGCCTTTGTCACAACCTTGGCCAAATTTACTTTCCTCAATAATCTGGGCGAGATGAGACCGAAGAACGTCGAAGCCATTAAGGCTCTACTCGATGTTGCCAGCATTGACGGCAACTATCTGAAACAGTCTTGGCGAGAAGTTATCATCTGCATCAGCCAGCTGGAGCGATTCTCGCTCATCGCGCAAGGCATCGACTCACGGTCGCTACCCGAGATGGGCAGGCCGGCCCGACCAGCACCAGGTCGGCGCAAAAGCACCCTGACGAGCAAGCTCAGCCGGCCAACTGACGAAGTTGCGAATGAGACTCGGAACTCGCACATCACAATCTCTGCTGATCGGATCTTCTCTTCGAGCAGTACGCTGTCAGGATCTGCCATCGTCGATTTTGTGCGCGCACTCAGTGAAATCTCGTGGGAGGAGATCCAGTCATCAGGTCTCTCGGAGCATCCCCGCGTTTTCTGCCTACAAAAGCTAGTCGAGATCTCATACTACAACATGGGCCGGATCAGACTCGAATGGTCAAATATCTGGGCGGTACTTGGGGAGCATTTCAATCAAGTCTGCTGTCATACCAACGCACGAGTCAGCTTCTTGGCTCTTGACTCACTGCGGCAGCTGGCGATGCGCTTTCTCGAAAAGGAAGAGCTTGCGCACTTCAAGTTTCAGAAAGATTTTCTCAAGCCGTTTCAGTATACGATGGTCAACAACAAGAATCCCGATGCGCGAGATATGGTGCGCTTGCAGCCGTCGCCGACGAGGTCTTGACTGATGTAGCCCGGCAGATACTGCAATGTTTGCGACAGATGCTTCAGGCGAGAATAATAAATCTACGGTCAGGCTGGCGGACAATGTTTGGTGTGTTCTCAGCGAGCAGCAAGGTTGGCAACGGTGCGTAATCTGCCTACTTGCGTATTCTCGCTGATGGTCCTGTAGAACGCATCGCCACGCAAGCCTTCGAAATCGTTAAAAGCATCAAGCGCGATCATTTTGCGACAGTGATCTCGCATGGCTCTTTTGCCGATCTGGCTGTCTGCATCACAGACTTCTGCAAGATCAGCAAATATCAGCGGGTATCCCTGCATGCTATCGAGATGTTGAAAGACATGGTCCCCCAGATGCTGTCATCGCCCGAGTGTCCACTCAGCGAGGCCTACAAGAGCAACTCGAGCGAAGAAGTAGAGCTCTCTCAGGACCCTATGCTGTGGTGGTTCCCCATACTCTTCGGGTTTTACGACATCATCATGAACGGCGAGGACATGGAAGTCCGCAAAAGGTTAGCCTAGCCTTGATAGATGTGCGTGCGAGAGTCTGACGTGCTTCAATGCAGAGCGCTAGACTACCTCTTCGAGACACTCAAGGTTCACGGTCATGCCTTCCCCACTGATTTCTGGGACTCGGTCTGCAAAGAAGTGCTCTTCCCCATCTTCGCTATTCTCCGATCGCGCCAGGACGTTTCACGCTTTACAACTCAGGAAGATATGAGTGTCTGGCTGTCGACAACCATGATTCAAGCTCTGCGCAATCTCGTCGACCTGTTCACCTTCTACTTTGACAGTCTCGCGCGAATGCTTGGCAGGCTACTTGATCTGCTTTGCGAATGTATCTGTCAAGGCATGTCCCATACGGAGGAGGCCGTTGCGTCAAGCTTATTGGCTTGCAGAGAATGATACGCTAGCGCGCATCGGTACAGCGTGTCTGCAACAGCTGGTCGAGCAAAATGTCCGGAAACTGACGCCAGATATCTGGGAGCGCATCATAAGCACTTTCATCACGCTGTTCACGAAGACGACCGCGTCTCAGCTATTCGAAGAAGGCCTGCGCACTCCAGCCTCACCTTCGGTCACACGAGAGACATCCTCGACCGACTTGATCGCGGATCAGCCGCCGAAGACGAGTGCATATACCCCCGGCTCCGCTCTCGATGATGACCCGCCGACCAAAGGACGTAGCTTGTTTGCGGATCGCAAACGCATTTTTAGGCAGATTATCGTCAAATGCGTTTTGCAGTTGCTGCTCATCGAAACAGCGCATGAGATGCTGCAGAATGACGAAGTCTATTCGACCATACCAGCCAAAGATCTGCTTCGACTTATGTCAGTCCTCGACAGCAGTTATCGATTCGCGAAGAAGTTCAACGCCGACAAGGACCTTCGCATGGCTCTCTGGAAAGTCGGCTTCATGAAACAGCTGCCCAACCTGCTCAAGCAAGAATCCAGTAGTGCTGCGACACTCGTCAATGTATTGCTACGCGTATATAGCGATGAGAGGATCGATCACAAAGCCAGGAGAGCCGAGACTCTCGAAGTCTTCATGCCGTATGTCATGCTCGGGCAAATGAGATATATTGGCTGACAAATGTGATAGGCTTGCAACTGACATTCTAGGCAGCTTCGTGGCCTATGACGGCGAGACACAGGCTCGCAACATCACTGCGTGGACTCCCGTAGTCGTGGAGATCCTGCACGGCTTCTGCATACTGGAAGACAAGACGCTCATCGCCAACGTTACAACGATTTACCCGCTTGCGGTGAACGGCCTCGCTCGAGACGTCTCGCCAGAGATCCGCGAGTCACTGCGCGCGCTTTTCTATCGGGTCGGTATCGCATCGGAATTTTACGAGCAGGTAGACTAGGTTGTATGTGATTTGAAATTTGCTACTTCCACAGAAGCTCTCGCGTTCGGCCAAGGGATTCGATCTCGTCAATCCTGTCGCGAGTCTGAGCGAGCTTGCTTGCAAAGTGAGGGGCTGATGTCGTCTCCTTGAAGATATTGAGCATCGCCTGTGAATCCGCGCGTACGATGTGATTAACGTCAATGTGAATGATGTTCATGAGATCGAGCGTATGGAGATAGTCCGGTCGGGTCATGATCTCTCTCGCGCGCCACATGGGTATGCTGGGCTCTCTGGCCAGAGCTTGAAAGAGTAAGAAGGAACACGAGGCAAATTTCTGCTCATCCATTACATCGTCATCCATCTCCGGTATGAGCCCGCATCGCGATAGGAGCCAAGCGCGCTGCCTGTCTATGAATGCGTGTCCAGCCTGAAGCATATCCGGCTGAGCGACAAGAGGTGTTAGGAAGGACACACGACCGCCTATGAGCTCGAAGAGCTTTTCCGCCGTTGGCTGACTGATGTGAGCAGCTTCATTGAAGAGTCGTCTGCGCTCCTCAACGATAGCTTTGATTGTCACCTCGCGGGAGAGATCGTTACAAGTGACGACTTGCATCCTACTCGCGTTCTGCTGAAGCCGTTCGTGGACCCAATAGGAATCCGACAGCAAGAGCATCGTCAAGACGTTTGATTGGGCCCATGATTCTGCTCGTTGTTGGAATAGATGAAGCAGCATCCAGGATTCTTGATCATCATGTAGATAATGCAAGTTATTGATGACCAACACGAGCGGCCTGCCCCTTTGCTGCCTGAATCTCATCGCCACTTTTTCGAGCTTATTGAGGGCACGTTCGATGTCGAGCAAAGGCCCGGCCTCACGGGGATCCCTGCGATTGAAGAGACCGTTGATACTGTCCTCGAGATTCTCATAGTTCAGAGCCTTGCAGAAGCGAAGCGCAAAGACGTTGAGATCCTGATGAGCATCAAAAACGGCCACGCCGTCCGCCTTGCATTCACGCATGCTTTCGACGATCATGGACGTCTTGCCTGCGCCTTTTGGCCCGAGAAATAAGTAATAATGATGGCTAGTACGCCCGTTGATGATGTCGGCCACCAATGCTTGCTCTGGGCGTTTGACGGACTGCCTGAATGCCGATGCTCCGTCGGCGTTGGGCTCATTGAGCGCCAAGATGGGGTCAAACCCAGCTTCAAAGGCGATACCAATCTTACGTAGGACGTTCCATTTGTATGCCTCCGAGTAAATGACACCACCGACGGCCAAGACTGCGACGCCTGCTAGTGTCGCAACGACGGCATCGCGTACTGACGGCAGAGAAGCGCCGCTTGGATTGGCCGAGTCTTCGGCAGCCGAAGCATAGGGACGCTTGCGAACGATGGAACTACAGCGGATGGGCAGCAAAGCGACCTTTCTGCAGCCGCTCAGCCGCCTCAGCATGTAAATGGCGGCTTCGTTTTTCGACCGGCTTGGCAAAGCAGGGGCACGCGCCACTCGGCGAAGTCAGGTGACATGCTTTACACGTGCCCGGGCGAGCACAGCACCCTGCGCCTATTGAGCCAAGCGCCTCACACGATGCCTCGCAGAACGTCAGGGCTGCCACAAGTGCCCACGCGAGCAGTCGCGCCTGAAGATCTGCCGCCTCCGCCGCCCTATGCAGGCAATAATCCTTTCGCGGATACGCCTAGCACGAGCAACCGGAATACCTACACTGCACCTCCCGGACCGCCTCCGGTAGACACACGACCGAGACCCGCTTCCACAGCAGGAGGCTATGCGTCGCCTCCCCAACCTCCTGCGGCAAGCTCGTCTGCCGGCGCAAACCTGAACAGAGCCTCCACGGTCACTACTGAGAGCAAATTAGCTATTCTCAAGAGGTATGACACCGTCATTGTCATCGACGACAGCGCGTCCATGCAAGTCGACTCGCCTTCTCGCTGGTCGCAATGCAGAGCGGCTGTGATGGGCGTTGCAGATAAAGTGCTGCCATATGACGATGATGGACTCGATATCCTCTTCATCAATGAGCCGAGGCGCGGCATGGGCCTGCGCACGTCTGCAGAAGTTGCAGCACTCTTCGACAGCGTTGGTCCGTATGGCGAATCAACTCCGACAGAAGTCATCATTGAAGACATCGGGGGCAGCTACGTTGAGGCGTGCGAAAAGGCAAAGGCCAACAAGACGACGCTCCCCAAGCCGATGAACGTCCTCATCATCACAGACGGAGCAGCGGACGATCCCGATACGCTTGCATACGCTATTGCGGGCTTTGCGACGCGCTTGGACGAAGGACATTTCCCCCTCGGACAGCTAGGCTTCCAATTCGTCAGTCTGGGCGACGATGCAGAAGCGCTCGCATCGCTTCAAGCTCTCGACGATGATCTCAAAACCGAGCACGGGCTGAAGCGTGACATTGTCGACACGACTGCTTTCGAGGGCAAGCTTGACACAGATGCCTTACTAAAGGTAAAAAACTCTCGGACATGTCCTGGGCTCTGTTCGCAAGCTCATGTGCATACAGTTGCTGTTGGGGGGCATCAACAGGAAACTCGACAACGCCAAGTGATTATGGAATTCTCATTCTATGTATTCTCTCCACTGTTGTGCATCATCCAGCTTGTTTCTCCGCTATCGCGATAGTGGAGATCGATCACGTCACGGAGAGAAAAATTGCGCGCATCGAATAATCGAGTCAGCAAACTTTTGAGCGAGCGTCTTGGCCAGCCAGTCAGTCGTCAGAGAGAACTCCGCCGGAGGGCTGGCTGTAGTGCGAGGGCTGTACCGCACCTAATCGCAAGCAGCCAAGTGCCGCCGTTGACGCCGACGCAGCATTGCGACTGTTCCAGATTGGCAACGTGCCTGGCTTATAGCCTTGGGCTAGACGCACAACAGAGCTTCAGATCTCGTGCGCGACCGGAGCTGAGCCTGTACCCTGCTACCTCCTCGGTCGAAGAGTTCAGGAGCACAGCGGAAAGAGGACCATCCTGCGAGGCCGCGCTGATTGGCTTCACGGTCACTCTGACGGCCACGGCTACGCTGCGTAGTTCGAAGAGAGCAGAGCCCACCCTCGGACGCAGCTCACTACGCTATCCTCTGCTGATCAGATCAGTAGGCTATCGGACTGTCCTCACAGCAACTTGACTGCCAATCACCGGAGCCTGAGCTCGGTCCTTGCCGAGAAGCTGTCTTGTGCCCGTACACTGCCAGTACCGCAAGCGAAAGGAAGACTCGAGCTTCTAGGCCGAGTCATTCAGATATACTCCGTAGCTCGTCACTCGAGCAGCCTCGCAGCCAGCTCGATCTGAGCGCATACAATCTCGATTGAGGCAGTTCAATAAAGAAATTGCTCAGTCGCATATACCTTCTGCGCTCGTACCGCGCAGCCACAAGCTAGCGACTTGATCGTCATCTGACCTGACCGTGACCGCTCAACGCCAGATCGGTCACCTGCTCTACAGCAGAGCTTATAAGACCCGACAGTGCGGCCCGGCCGACTCTCGTCACCGCTGGGCCAACGTGACATGCCGCTTCATCATCGACGAGCCAAGCAACTCGACCACTCGCCGCTCAACGTGTCCGCTAACCACCATGGTCCCGACGAATTGACACTCCGGCTCGATCAGGCCAACAAGACATCATCAGGCTTAGTCGCCCGGGGACCACTCGACCTGCCAGCTACACCGGGTTCGGCCGCCTCAATGGACAAGCCTTTCTTTGGCGACTTCTGCCTCAAGTCAGTCCTGCTTGATGCGGCCCTCTTTGGTCATGAGCTGACTCCTTTCCGTGTGTAGTTGCGGCAACCCTACACCCTCGGCGAACGCATACTGCTCCGATGACTGTCGCCTGGCCGACGAGTCATCATCATCTTCGCACTCTGTTCGCGGCGATCAAGATGACGAGTACGAATACGACGACGAGTCTGGCCTGACCGGGCTCACTTCCGCCGAAGTCTCACCGATGCTGCAAGCCACGAGCATTAGCTCCCCGAATGCGCTAGGCAGACGAAGCAATCGGACTAGCCCATTGGCCCGCGCGAGCACTTCACATGGAAGTCAGCCTACGCTTGGCCAGACCATCTTCGAGGAGCCGACAGAGTTCAGCTTGCCCCCTCCTGTCGCTGCCTCGACTACAAACGCCGCCTTTTCGCCCAGTGCGACGAAGACACAAGCCAAAAGGTAGACGAGACTATCCATGTCAATTTTAAGCATTGGCTGACTTGATCACATCTTAGGGGATCACCGTTGCACGCTTTGAGGCCAAACGCACCGCTTTCGCCGACGATACAACCATCGTCCGTCACGCCGACCGGCAAAGCTCGCTCCGGCCTGACTGATGGCATGATGCAATACTCTCGCAAGCACCTGGCAGACGGTATGAACGCGCCAAAGACCGTCTTGCCTGCGCCTTTATACTACCGCGCGTCGCCCAAAGTCTTGCCTGCGAATGCAGTCGCTTCCACCTCGTCTCATTCACCTGCGCAAGGTTCGGGATCTGACTCGGGTCGATCTCGCTCTCATATCAGTTCGCCTGCGCTCAAGGCAAAGAAGAGTCCCAAGGTCGCACCTGCTCATCATGTTTACTGCGGCAGACCGGGCTGCCCCGCCTTGCTTATGACGGCCGGCTCGGCTCAACGAAGGCTCTCGCAACCCATGGCTTCTTATGACACATCGCCAGCTTTGGCCCCTTATGACTTTACATCTGCCGATCTCAATCGTCGTGCGCCGGCCAAGCAGGCCGCTTATCTGTCTGACGAAGCTCTCGACGCGAAGCTACGTGAGCAGCGCAGGCGGCCTTCGGAACCAGCATCGATGACTCATCGCATGCTCCGAGTAGGCGAATTCGATCATAACGACGAGAATTACAGGCCTTCAGCAAAGGCGCTTCATCATAATCATTCGGCTTTCGCAGACATACTCTTCAGACATCACAACACCTCGGCGGCGGCGCCGCCTCGCGACGCCTCTGAAGCAAAGCGTTCGCCGCCGGAAGCAGCAACGTCAGATTCGCTGAGGCGTAGCACCAGCGTTGGGCCTCATTTCCGCTTGGCGCAGTCATGCGCAGACCAGTCTCGATCTGTGAAAAGTGAGGAAGACGACGTCAAGCACCAGCCAGAAGCGCGCAGGCGGACTTCATCACGACAGATGCTCGCGCTCAGTGCTCGCCAGAGCTCACTGGTCACCTCTGACAGCACAGACTCGGACTCTGAGGACGAAGACGAGCCTCGCGGTCGACCAGGCCGTCGAGGAGGTGCAACGATAAATAGAGCTCGAGTCGATCGGGAGGAGAACGTGTCTGAAGCAGACGATGAGCAAACCGAGCTCGTCGCACCCTCTCGCCGATCGCAGGCAAGGACTTCGTCAGCTTCGACGACTGCGTCTGCAGCAGAAGACAGCGGCAGACCTAGAGGTCGCTCATCTCGGCGAGGCCCTGGTGCCGTACTGCGCAGCCGCTCGCCAGATCGCTCGCATTCGAGACCATCTCGGACGAGCTCAATTCAGGCGCAAACCCGTCGAGTTGGATAGTCTCACCAGCTCATACACCACTCTTGTTACCGATAGACTATCAAGTCAAAAGTTAAAAATGCATAAACCTATCTAAGACTAATTCACTTGAATTTCAGAGAGGCCAACGTTGCTTGTCGTGTTGCTCACTTGAAGTACCTTGAATTTCAGCGAAGTCGTATTGCGTGATGGGAATGTGAACACGGTAGCTGAACCGTCGTTCTTCAGGCTCGTCACTGGTATTGTGCTGTTGTCCGAGAAGATCAGCTGGCCTGCGAGAATTTGATCATTGTGATTCGGGCGATCGAAGAGCGTCACGGACGAGACAGAAACTGCCTTTGGCCATCGCAGCAGTAGCCAAGATCCAACGCCGCCTCCGATAGTTGCCCATTCTGCGCCAGGATTGGTAGGATAGCCAGACAAAACGCCGTCGATCGCTTTTTTGGCCAGCTGACGCGTTGCTGCATTGGCGCTCGAAGCTGTAGCTACAGCTGACAGCGCAAGGTTGCCGGCGGACGTGAAAAACTGACCCGGCGTTGTCGAGAACACCCGTATCTCGCTGAGGCCAATATCGGATGTGCTGTTGCCGACAGAGAGCACGGAGAAGCGCAAGGTACTCGAAACCCGAGGTGTAAAGCGAATCTCGGTAGCAGTTGACCCGTTGTTGTAGAGCGCGCCCACGTCGACTGTCGAGTTGTCGCCAAACAGTAGCGTGCCGCTCGTCACCCAGTCTTTGAGATTCGGGCGATCAAACAGTTGAACGCGAGAGATCGTCTGAGGCTGCGTCCAGGTAAGCTGAAGCCAGCTGTTAGCCTTTCCGCCCAAGGTCGCCCATTCATTGCTGATATTTCCGGCACCCTGGTAGCCGCCAACGATGCCATCGATCGCAGAACTGGCTTTCTGCCCAGTGCAGACATCCTCACTCGACGCCGATGCAGTCGCGTTGAGGGCAATGTTGGCATCGGTGATAGCTGCCGAGACTGGTTCTACAATCATACGTACGCCAAGGACTGTGAACGCTTTCGCGAGTGAGACCGCAGGGTAAGTCGAGGGCGCGAGAGCTGCGCAGGTCGTCGTAGCGGCCGCCTGGGCTTGTTGCGTTGTTGTCACGACTGGATCTGATGTGCTGTTAGGCTGAGGGAAGCTGAGTGGTATACCTGACTCGTACTGACGAGCAAGCCAGGCAGTCTCCGGTCGTCCTGCACATGCGGTCGCATTGGCACATTCGTTGGCATCAAACGGTGTGTAATCATAGAAGACGGAGGTCTTCTCTTGTGTCTCGATAGTATCGAGATTGGCATTCAAGTTAGCGATGGGATAGCCCTGATAGCCAATGAGCTTGAAAGGAACAGACGAAGGCACAAGAGCCGCGCTGGCGAGAACGATGCGTGCGATGGTCGCATGGTCTGAGTGATCACCTGCGCCGTACGCAATGCGATAGTCCAGAGTGCGTACGATGGCAGGCTTCTGTTGAACGATCAGAGCTGCCAAGAATGTTTGTAGCGAATCGAGCGTGAATGAGTTGCTGTTGTCTACCGTGCCCAGCGAGGTACATGAAGACTGGTAGAGACATTGTAAGGATTCGTCGCCTGACAGGGTCGTGCCGTGACCACCAAAACCTCCATCGAAAGCTCGCAAGAAGAGCTTGCTTATGCCTGTCGAGCGGGTATGGGTACGCTTGCGGACAGTGAGCCCAGACAGCGTGAACTGGGACGTCGTCCAATCGCCGGATGAGGAGCTGTTGGAATTTATCGCGTCTGCCCAGGCCGTCTCTACGCCTTGTTCGCGCGAGAGGTAGTAAGCCGCATCCTCGCCATTGTCGCCCGAGGTTGCATAGACTGTCGTCGTGCATCGCTCTGAACTGATGTCGTTGAGCATGTCAGGCGATACAACTGGTACACTGTATCAGCCCAACCTCCGGATAGCGCGCAGCAGTGGGCTTACAAAGCAAGTCATCGTCTGGATGGGCCACGATGATTACCGTGCCGCCTGTGCATAGCGATGACGCTCGGGCGACGGAGTCCGCCAAGTAAAAGAGTGTGGGTATAAAGGCTCTCATACTGCATGCGTAGAGCGGCGTAAACGGCCAGTCGGAGGAGCAGAAGCGCAGCCTTGTCATTCGAGGGTCGACGCGTCGTTGGCGAGCTCAGACCGCCTTGACGAGGTCCGGGCGCTCCTTCTGCGCAGACTCCGTCACGGGTGGTTCGTCCACAAAGTCGGGAAGCTCGGCCGTATCATTGCGCAGGTAAGAAGGTATGCTCGACTCTTCTTCGAGCAGGTCGTCTCCGAGCGCTTCCAGTTCTATGAGACAGCTCATCAGCTGCTGTCACTGTGTCTGACGGGCCATACCACTCGCCTGCTTCGAGATCTGCTTCGTCCACTTCGTCCGGGACACCGTAGGTCCTGCTGAGGGACTCTTGTATCTCATTGGCTTGCTCGATGAGATCCTCCATGTCATAGTGGATCGACTGAACGCGTCGTGACAAGTCAGAACGTGACGCGTAGGCCGCCGTGGTGGTGGACGAACCTCTATCTTGTCGATGTCGAGCTTGCCATACTGACGCTTCATCTCCTTGTTGGCAGTCTTCATGGCGTCCACGGTTGCCATCGTGTTGCGCAAGTTCTCTGTCGTCATACTGGCTTGCTCCATGTTGAAAGTCTGCTGCTGGAGCTGTCCGAGCTGTGCCTCGTACATCTTCTTCTGCTGGAGCACTCGCATGGCTCGCTGCTTGACCGCATTCTTCCCCGGACCCTCCTTGAGCCGCTTCATCTGGTCACGGTACTTTGTCAACTCTGCGTCGAGTTTCCTGATCTTGACCTCGAAGCCGTCGATCCTGACATCAGTCGAAGCGATGGCATCGTTCAACGAAGGCTTCGCTTTGCCCTTGCCGCTCCCAAAGATGCGATTCATCGTCGCCAGCCAGTCGGACAGCAGCGAGCGAGAGAGCCGGCGCGTTCCTCACAAATTTCTGCAGAGTGGCCACCCGCTCGCTCACTCGTCAACGACCTTGCGCCGCCTGTAGACAGCTGCTGGACTCACGCCTCTTGCCAGTCAGCTTCAGTACGGTCTAGTGGACACCGAACCAGCTCGGTGATCTGCTACGAACCGAAGAGGCACCCTTTGCCACCTTTTGATATTCTCCATTGATCAGAGATGTCGAGAAACGATCCCCAGCTCGCTCTCCATGAGCTGCCCAAGTTCAACCCTGACCTCAGTGACCGACCCAAGGATACGCCTGAACTTGACACCAAGCACAGCAGCGGCGGTATCGAGCAGGAACAGGACTGTGACAGCAAATCCCTGGCATCCGCTCGCGGTCCCAGCTATGGCGCCACCGGCCACGACGGGCTGGCAACAGGCTTGAAGCATGCTGTCATTGACGGCAGGACCGTTCAGCGTCCCAAGGTCGTCTTCAACCAGGGGATGGGCACGTTCTTTAGCACTCTCTTGATCCGACTACGCTCGATTTTCACTTTGCGATTCATCGCTGTACTCGTTGGCGGTCAAGTCCTTTCGCTCTGTATCACCTCTACTTCGACCGCCACCACCGAGCTCGCCCTCAATGGCTGGGTCAATCTGCCTCTGACGCAGAATCTCTTCAACTACGTCTTGATCAACCTGATCTACACGAGCTATACGATCTACAAGTACGGCATTGTGGCATGGCTCAAGATGATCAAGACAGATGGATGGAAGTACTGTCTGCTTGCTGTCTTTGACGTCGAGGGCAACTACAGTGTCGTCAAAGCGTACCAGTACACCGATTTGCTATCTGCTTCCTTGCTCGAGTGCGTTCCTGACGCTGCTGCTCATCGATCTCAAGCTGATGGTGCTGCAGTGCTTGGGCCACGCCAGTCGCAATGGTCGCGTGCTACTTCCTCGTCAAGGCTCGCTATCATTGGTCACAGATCCTCGGCGTGCTCGTCTGTATCGCTGGCCTCGGACTGCTCGTCGCGAGTGACACTATCACCGGGAAGAACTATCAGGCGACCAACAAAGGTCTGGGCGATGGCCTCATGATCATCGGCGCATCATGCTACGGTATATCGAACGCACTCGAAGAAAAGTTCATCCGCGGGCGTCCGCTTTACGAAGTCGTCGGACAACTCGGCTTCTGGGCTACATTGATCTGCGGTATCCAAGCGGCAGGCGTGGAGCATAGCGCCATGCCCGAAGCAGTCTGGAACGGGACCACTGTCGGCTACTTGCTCCTTTACACCTTTTCGCTGACGATCCTGTACACATGCGCGCCCCTGCTCTTTAGATATGCCTCCGCGCCTTTCTACAATATCTCCTTGTTGACCAGCGATTTTTATCTGCTCTGCATCGGCATCACCGTCTTTGTGAGTGATTGTCTGCCTGCACCCCAGACGATCTGACCTGCTGCTCTTTGGATAGCATTACTACATCTATTGGCTGTATATTCCTGCCTTTATCCTCGTCATCGTCGGACTCGTCATCTATTTCTCCGTCTCGCCACCGGAATCGCAAGGCGAGAATGACATACAGACTAGAGGCAAACAAGCTGTCAAGGACGAAAAGCGTGACTCTGCCGAGCTAGCATGAGCATTCGATCCTTCAAGTTAGGCATGCATAAGAGCACTCATTCGTCGCGTCAATCGGGGCATATGCAACATATAGGGAAGGACGCCGCGATCGGTCGTCACAGCAGACGTTCTTTCAAGGAATGTAACATCAATAGGAGCAAGCGAATCAACGACGAGAGGTCATCAAGCGTTGTGAGGTACTTCTGAGATCGTGCCGTGGACCGTGCAAAGACTGCATTGTGTGTGTGGTATCGCGATTCGCGCTCCAAGGTCTTGCAGCGCGCCGCGAACGCGGGGAGCGCACATCTAGCTCGTGAACAGACGTTAGCGCCGTCCATTCGCGCCGCTTACGGACGGATGAGTGCGCGCGAATTTCTCACGGTCGCGCTCCTCGCAACGTATAAGAAGAGTGCAAATTTGTTTTCCCAGCTCAACTCCAGCTCGACTCCAACTCCAGCTCGACTTCACCTCTGGCAAAATTCTCAGCCCGAGAGTAAAGAAGGAGAGCGACTAAGCATACTGCCCCTGCAAGTCCCGCCATACGGGGGGGCACTAGCCCGCCGTCATCGTCAAAGAAGGGTCCCGTCTGCCGAAGTCGACTCGACGCGAGGTGCCATGACGCTGTGGTCATTGGACGGGGCTCATGCCTCGGAATCGCGGCGCCAGCTTGAGGACGCCGATATGAGCTAGAGCGCCGTCGTGGGCACGGACTGCCGATCTGGGCGGCTCGACTTCATCAGCACGACATTAAACCCCATTGCAATTATGACTCTACTGTTAGCGTGACATGACCATGAAGGCGCTAGCTTGCTTGCCTCATACAGTGACGGCTCTCACACGTACATCTGTCAGCCAGATTGAGCAGATTGCGCTGACGTGGATGCTAGTAGTCTCCGTTTGCATGCTCCTCTCCCTGCGCGCGATGCTATCGACTTGCGCTGTCATCACAGGTTTGCCAGCACGCATGCTCCTGCCCCGTCGAGATCTGATGAGTGACGAATAGTCAGCGACACCGCTGCCCGTGATGCCAGCACGGATGCAACAGGGCCGATGCTCCTCAATGAACTTCAATCTGCAGGCTACTCTCTACCAAGTCGAGCGCATTACATCGTGCCAGACGAGTTGAGCGCGATCAGAGATGCCGTACGGTGTGCTGCCGTGTCTTCCCGGCTCGTCGTCACCACGGGCGGCACTGGCTTTGGCTTGAGGGATGTCACGCCAGAAGCAGTCGGGCCTCTCATCGTCAAGCACGCTCCCGGACTTGTACACCTCATGATGAGCACGTCTCTCGCAGTCACGCCGATGGCAGCGCTCTCCCGACCCGTCTGCGGTGTCACACAGGAGGGCGCACTCGTCGTCACGCTGCCAGGTTCGCCAAAGGGAGCAAGAGAGAATCTGATGGCTTTGCTCAAAGTCCTGCCTCATGCACTCGAACTCATCAGCGGATCTACGGGCGAGGATACCCATCGCGCGATGGGCGCACCAGAGCGAGCGCCGAACATGACGGACAGCGCTCATATCTGCGTACACCGTCAGCGCGACGAACCGCGAAGTCTGCAAGAGCATGCGGCGCTCAGATCTTTCGACCCTACACAAGGAGGCAAGGCACATTGCCTTCTTCTGCTGCAATCAGCCTGACGTTTGTACAGTTGCAAGGCGGTACAGGCGATCACCCTACCCTATCATACAAATGAGCGAAGCTCTCGACCTCATCCTGCAGTACGCAACCGTCGGTGACGTGGAACGAGTGGATCTATCGGCCATCGTAGGCAGGGTACTGGCCGAGACCGTCATGTCTCACGTCGACTTGCCCTCGGTACCCACAACCAATGTCGATGGCTATGCGATCTTCTCAGGTGAGTCCTATCGAGAGCCATGAAGAGCTCATGCTGATCCGCACGTAGATGATAGCCAGCCAAGGCGTCGCCTGATGTCAGCAGATCAATATCAGGACTGTCAGGAGCTCGAGAAGTGGGCAGTCAGAGTCGCGACAGGCGGTCCTGTTCCTGCGCGAGCGAATGCCATCATCATGGTCGAAGACACAACAGTCAGCGAGACCGGACAAACCGGCGAGGAGATCACCATCGACATTCACGCTATTGCGAAGATTGGGGAGCACTTCAGGCAGATCGGCAGCGATGTTCGCGCGGGCGACACCATCCTGCGGCAACGCGATTTGATCAGTCCTGTAGGCGGCGAGGTCGCCTCGCTTGCATTCATCGGGCGTCATTCGGTACGCTTCGCTTTCGGTACAAGAAGCGCTTGCTGATGTGCGCAACAGGTGCTTACCTATCGCAAACCTGTAGTCGCAGTGATGTCAACGGGCAATGAGCTGCAAGAGCTTGTGCAAACTACCACACCTCAAGTGACCGCAGCCGGCGTGCCCATCGTCTTTGACAGCAACAGACCCTCATTGTTGGCTGCCCTGAAAGCGCAAGGCTTTGATGCGATCGATTTGGGGATCATTGGTGACGATGTCAGCAAGATCAAGCAGGCGCTCGAGCTCGGCCTGAGCAGAGCAGACGTGATAGTGACAACGGGTGGCACATCTATGGGCGAGAGCGACTATCTCAAGACAGTTATCGAGCGCGAGCTACACGGAACCTGTCACTTTGGACGCGTGGCCATGAAGCCAGGGTAAGCTAACAAAGCTTTCCCACCCCGGCAGCAGCCTGACAGAGTCTGCAGGAAACCGACAACTTTTGCTACGCTGCCCGGTCAAAGGCCGACACTCGTGTTTGCGCTGCCGGGCAACCCAGCTTCTGCTCTGGTCACGTTCTACGTCTTCGTCATGCCAGCGCTGCGGAAGGTGTCGGGTTACAGAGCTTCGGAATGGCACTTGCCGCGCGTCAGAGTCCAGGTCAGCTTGCTCGGAAAGACAGTGTGACGTATGCTCATGCTAGCTTCCCAGATCACTTCCGACTTCCCACTCGACCCGAGGCCCGAGTTTCACAGAGTGAGCATCGTCACGTCACAAGAGGCACCTTATCTACGTGCCTTCTCCACGGGCGGGCAACGCAGTAGCAGAACGATCAGTATGGCAGCAGCAAATGGCCTCGTTGCTCTGCCCTCCAGCAAGGATGCGCCCGTCGCGGTGCTCAAAGCAGGCAGTCTGTGTGATGCCATCCTGATCGGGCCTCCTCTGACATCCACACGAGACTGAGAGTACCCTTCGCTCTATGCATCTTGACAAACAGCTCCTTAGAAGGGCAGGACTCTAATGATGACCGTGTTCCTCTTCGATGCCTTGGAAGTCGATTGCATACGCTGCACAAACAAGAGGAGCTAAGCGCGTCGCGGGCCTGGCATGAATGACGACTTACCGCAGCCGCACTCTGGGCAGCGTGTTGCTTGCTCCTGATGCGGCACGACCATGTAGATCGTCTGTGCGCAACAAGACATCAGCCAGAGCACGGGATGGCAGGCCGAGAAGCAATCACATCATGAGAGTCGACTGTTTGTAGGGCGCTCGAGTCAGCACAGCCATGTCTGCTGAAGCCATCCCAAACTCACCTGGGAAGCCGGTGCATCCGACCGTGCGAGACTTGTCCTGCCAAGAGCGCATGAGCTCCGTGCGGATGCAGAGCCGGTCAGGGACGGACCAAGCTGGCGACCATGATAGGATTCTTGAGTGTGCCCATATGCTCGACCTTGAGCGGGCTCATGTCGAAGATATCGACGCCTTGCAGCTTTCCGAGCAGTTCGATACGCTCCAAGCCGGTAGATTGCTCCAAGTCGGTAGGCACCGTGCCAGGCTTAGCGCCCTCACCGACAAAGACAGGCACGCCGCCATGATCTGATCTCCTGCTGACAGAGGTCGCAAGGGAGCGTGCTGGTTGACGAGCTAGCACTCGCACTGCTGCAACAGACCGACGGAGCATCATCTTGTCGAGTGGCCGACTCGCTCGCTGGCCAAACGCAAGACTTTTCAAGGTTAAATACCCCTCACACGCGTGCCCAACATCGGCCGAGTGACGCGGCAGGTCGCACACACTCGCTGATCATCTAAGATCTCAAGCCAAGTTTGACTCCTGACGACTAACATGAACAGGTCGCAGGCGTTGAGAGGGCACGCCCGGTCAGCGATAGCGAACCAGAGGTTGCTACAGCGATCGAGCCATCCTTGCCGATGTCTGACCAGTCAGGCGACATCGGCGTCATTGCCACGATCGAGACTTCCATCTCATCCAAAGACTATAGACGGCCTTGCTTTGCCACGATCCGTGTATTCTGCTCGGACAGCGATCGGTGGATCAAGGCAATATGCGACTCATCAGCCAGACAAGGACGATGACAAGTCAAAGTCTCGATCGGATTCGGAGCCGTCAGATGAGCTCAGCAAGGCTCGCAAGATGATAAATGACGACCCGAATGTTCCGTTATGGCTCAAGAAGATGGTCGGCCTTCCCTCTGTCGGAGCAAAGACGGGCGGCATGGACAGCGACAAGTCAAAGGCAACTGTCTCTGCCTCGAGCGGCGAGTCTGGTAATGCCGGCAACAAGACGACAGGCCCAGATGGCAAAGCCAAGACGGGTTCGTCTGGACCATCGCCACCTAACCCTCTGATCACGCTCGCCATTGCGGGCGGCATCATCTATTACGTCGCCATGGGCAATACCAACGAGCGAGAGATCACCTGGCAAGAGTTCCGCACTGCATTCCTAGACAAGGGCCTCGTCGAGCGTCTGGACGTCGTCAACAAGTCTCGCGTGCAAGTCCATCTGCATTCCAATGCCACTGGCGTGCTCTATCCACAGTCACCAGCTGCAAAGGGTGGCGTGACGTATATTTTCTCGATCGGCTCGGTCGAAGCATTTGAGCGCAAGCTAGAAGATGCCCAGCGTGAGCTTGGCATTCCTTCGCACGAGCGTATACCTGTCTCCTACAAGGACGTCGTCGGCATAGGCAGCACATTGCTATCATTCGCACCTACACTCATGATCGTCGGTCTGCTCTACTGGATGTCCCGTCGAGCTAGCGGTGGCGCCGGAGCCGGAGGTGGTCCTTTCGGCAGCGGTGGTATCTTTGGCATGGGCAAGTCCCGGGCAAAGATGTTCAACGTGCGTTCCTGCATCAATCGAGGATCTGTGCGCTGACTCTGTCATGTTGCTTCGCAGTCAGAGAGTGATATCAAGGTCAAGTTCCGCGATGTGGCCGGTATGGACGAGGCAAAGGAAGAGATCATGGAATTTGTCAAGTTCCTCAAAGACCCCAAGCGATACGAGAAGCTCGGCGCAAAGATCCCACGTGGTGCGGTCCTGTCAGGACCACCAGGCACAGGCAAGACGCTTCTCGCCAAAGCGACAGCGGGAGAGGCAGGTGTACCCTTCCTGTCGGTATCTGGCTCAGAGTTTGTCGAAATGTTTGTCGGTGTCGGTCCATCCCGTGTCCGCGACCTCTTCGCGTCTGCGCGCCAAAACGCGCCCTGCATCATCTTCATCGATGAAATTGACGCTATCGGCAAGTCTAGGGGCAAGGGCGGCCAGATGGGCGGTAACGATGAGCGAGAGTCCACGCTCAATCAGTTACTGGTCGAGATGGATGGTTTCGATACCTCTCAGCATGTCGTTGTGCTCGCAGGCACCAATCGAGCAGATGTCCTCGACTCTGCTCTCATGCGTCCTGGGCGATTTGACAGACACATTACCGTCGATCGACCGGACGTAGGCGGTCGCCAGCAGATCTTCAAGGTCCATTTGCGCCCTCTCGTTCTCAAAGCAGGTGGCAAGCCAGAAGCAGACCCGGCCGCTTCTCAGTCCGAGAGCTTAGGCGGTGTCTCGACTGCAGCAGCATCGACGGATGCAGCAACAGAGAACACGCTTCCGCCGCTCGCCGCATCGTTGGGCAGCAATCCGGCTGCTAAGCCAGAGTCTCCAGACGATGTCGATACGAACCCATTCGTCACCAAGCTCGCGCATAAGCTTGCTGCCCATACGCCTGGCTTCTCCGGCGCAGACATTGCCAATGTCTGCAACGAGGCTGCTCTTGTGGCTGCTCGCAAGGGAGCCGATTGGGTGAACGAGAAGCATTTCGAGCAGGCCATTGACCGTGTCATCGCTGGTCTCGAGCGCAAGACTCGCGTGCTCAGCATAGAGGAGAAGACCACTGTTGCCTACCACGAGGCAGGACATGCTGTCTGTGGCTGGTTCCTCAAGCACGCAGATCCACTTCTCAAGGTCTCAATCATCCCTAGAGGCTCTGCTGCACTTGGCTTTGCACAATATCTCGTACGCCTTGCTTACATCAAATGCGAGACGATGCTGATCATTGCGCGCAGCCTAAGGAACGCTTCTTACATTCGACCGAGCAGCTCATCGATAGAATGTGCATGACGCTTGGCGGCCGTGTCTCCGAGGAGATCTTCTTCAAATCGATCACAACGGGCGCTCAGGACGATTTACAGCGGATCACAAAGATGGCGTTTGAGGTCTGCGCCAATTGTGGGTGACATGCCTCACTGGTCGACTCTGTGCTGACAGATCTCGCAGTCGGTATGAACGCCAAGATCGGACCCATTTCATACGGCCATCGTGAAGGCGAAAGCTTCACGAAGCCATTCAGCGAGGCAACCGGGCAGATGCTCGACGCCGAAGTTCGCAAGATGGTCAATGAAGCACACGAGCGCACGACGAAGCTGTTGACAGAGAAGAAAGATCAGATCGATATGGTGGCAAAGCTCTTGCTCGAGAAGGAGGTCATCTCTCGTGAGGACATGATCAGATTGCTAGGCCCGCGTCCCTATGCTTCCTCTGGTACGTCACCATTCTGTCTGCCACCTTCGCATGCTGATGATCACCTCAGAGGACAACATTGACGAAGCGCTCGGTTCTGGAGTCTCTGCACCTCTAGGCGGCAGCAAGGGTCCTGTCGAGCCAAAGGGTAATCCCGATCCCGTGCCTCAAGGCATCGACGGCGGTTTGTCACCCGGACTAGCAGCCTCGCCAACCCAACCAAGGCTATGAGAACATCGTGATCCTGTTGTGCCGCATATATTGTAGACCTGTGACTTCTGCTGCCTCTCCAGCCGAGCGAGCTCAAGAAATTTGACATCGCGTCGAAATCGATTGACATCTCATCCGCGACAGCACGAACGATGCCAGATTGCATCGTCATAGGCGCCGGCATTTCTGGACTGTGGGCTGGCTTGCAATTACTCCGAGCAGGACGGTCCGTCGCGATCCTCGAAGCTCGGTCTCGTCTAGGCGGCAGAATCCGTACAGCCAGTAAAGCAGATGGCCTGCCGTGTCCTGTCGATCTCGGGGCCTCTTTCGTCCACGGACAGCTGGGGAACCCTCTTGCGACCATCCTGAGAGATCTCCGCATCGAGCTGCATCATGCCGATGATCCTGGCCTGATGTTTGAGAGCAACGGCAAGCCGCTAGATGAGGAGACATCCGGTCAGCTCGCCGCCAGCGTCTTCACTACGCTCTTCGACCGGTCACGCGCAGAGGCGCAGACAGGCGCTACAGTGCCTTCCTACACCCGCAGCTTGGCAGACTATCTACTCGACAGGAAACGATCACCGCTGTACGATGGTCTCGAGACTGAACAGCTCAAAAGATATGCCACAAGTATGGCCACCAGCTTTGACGGCTGGTCAGGCGCATCCCTTCAAGACGTCAGCTTTCGCGCTTGGGGTGAAGAGCACGACTATGAAGGCGGCGACGCTCTAGTAAGGTACGGCTATGGCCAGCTCATCGACGTGCTCAAGATGGCAATACAAGCTCGTGGTGGCGAGATCCATCTCAACACGCAAGTCACATCGGTGGCATTGTCAGAAGATGAGGATTCTGTCACCGTCTCCTCGCGCAATGCTAGCTCTACCACAAATGCGAGCGACTTGAGCGCACCTTTTGCTCTCGTCACTGTGCCATTAGGCGTCTTGAAGGCTAATCGGATACGATTCGAGCCCACTTTGCCACCCCGGAGGCTAGCGTCGATCGACAGACTGGGCTTTGGCCTGCTCAATAAAGTTGTCATGTCATTTCCTCGCGTCTGGTGGCCAAAGCAAGGTAGCTGGACAATGCTGCTCCGTGACTGCGACCCCGACGGGCGACACCCTCTGTCAACTCGCACGATCATGTTCCAGAGCTATGCGAGTATCACCGAATCGCCAGTGCTGGTTATGTATCTCGGTGCTCGAGCCGGCGAGGCGATAGAGCAGCTGAGCGATGAGGAGGCCAAACAATGGGCTCACGGCTTGCTTGTCGACTATCTTGCACCCTCCGTGCAAGGCGAGATCCCCCAACCCGAGCGAGTCATCGTGACGCGTTGGCAGAGCGATGAGCATGCCCTGGGATCCTACACGTACACACCAGTGGCGACAGAGGCGCAGCTCAACAAGGGCGAAGATCCTGCTACTCTGCTCGACTATTTCGAGCTCAGCAAGCCCCTCTGGGAAGGTCGGCTTGGCATGGCAGGTGAGCATACCTCACAGCAGCACCAAGCAAGCGTCCACGGCGCCTTACTGTCCGGTCAACGCGAAGCAAGGCGGATCCACCTCGAGCTCGCCGCTGCAGAGGACGACTTGGAAAGTAAGCAAGACGCAGTAGACGAGCTGATGCCTCTTCGAGCACGGGAGCTCGCTATCAAGCCTAGACTGTGATATCCTTGTTGCAATACAAGTGCTACGACTTCTTCCTCCTTTATTTCGAAATCATCCTTACTTGCTGGGCGTTGCGGGGCTGTTGATGGTCCGATTGAACGCGCCAATACTTTTGAGCATGCTCGCGAAGCCCTTACGCGAGTTTGGCGCATCGTCGATGGACGGTGGCCGGCCTTTGAGTGTGCTCGCGGCCGAATGCGTCGATTTGGCTGGTGAGCTTCCGCCTTGCGCCAGCGCATCTGCGACTGCTACGATCGCAGGCCGCAGGGCGATAGGGTCTGAAGGCGCTTTATCAAGCGCGGCAGCTGGCGCAGGTGCAGCTGTCTTGCTGGCAGCAGCTGAAGACCGCTCACTGATTGAAGCCAAATCGCGAGCTGGCAATGGCGATGGAGTCTCACGTACATCTTCGAGCGCATTGAATGCGCTGTTGGCGCGCGCAGCCGTGTGCTGTTGGGCCGGCTTGCTACTACGCGAGAAGGCTGTTGGCGCAGAGCTGAGAGAGCTAGCATGGCTGCCAAAGCTCGAAGCCGGCGTCTGATTGGATCGCGCAGCGGACGATGACCTGGTCGAGCCAGGTGATACCTCTTGCGTGCGCCAGCTCTGTTCCAAGCGGCCTCTACGGTTTGAGCTAGAGGCCCAATGACCGCCTGACCGACCACGATCGTCGTCGACTGCTCCGCTTGACCAAGACTGTCCACTTGCCCAAGATTCGCTTGAGGCGACAGAGCCAAAGCTCGAAATGGCCGAGCTCTCGTGACTGTAATTGCTTCGATGCTGAGGTCCGCCCAGCTTTGCAGGAGCGCTCCAGTTACCTGCGGATGCGCCCTTGCCCTCGTCGCGTTCTTTCACGCGTTGAGCAAATGCTTGTAGATCGGGATTGCCGTTCATGAGGGCGCCCTTCATGCGATCCATGAAGCCGATCTTACCGCCTCGCTTCGTCCGGTCACCAACAGGACTGAGGCTTGGCGAAGCAGGAGCAGTTGAAGCTGATCGATGGGAGCCATTCGGCCGATGGGTCTTGCTGACCAGCCGAGCCAGATCCTCGGTCTCGGCAGCCATACCATCGAGTCGTTCGTCGGCACTGGTGCGGCCCGCGCCGCTGTCTGGGGAAGCTGTATTGGCTGTAGAGACTTCTGCATGCAGACGATGTCGAGACTTGCGGGCACCGCGCTTCCGCCGACGCGCGCGATTGGCGCTCGTCTCGCCCAATGCATCCCTCTCTGCTGATCCATCTTCTGTGTCGTCTACGTCTGCGACCTGCGCAGAATCTTCGTTGTCTACTATTGTGCCAGCAGAGGCACGTTCGTCAATGGGTAGCTTCGCGGCGTGCAGATCTGTTTTGTCTGGTGTAGCGGGCCAGCTCACGAGCTGTGAACGCGTGGTGCCGTCCACAGATGGAGACCCTCCACGTGTATTGGCGATCTCTGGACCAAGACCGCTCCTGCTTGAAGATGGCTGCAAAAGAACGGTGGCCTTGGACGCACTTGCATGTCGGTGTCCCTCGCCCATGAAGCGAACGAGGCCGGTAGCCCAATGACCAAATGCGCCAGCCGAGACTCGATCGTCATTGCAGAAGACACGGTCGGCAAGGTACAGCGCTACGTCTTTGCCGATGCCCTCGAACCGATTTTCGAAGAAGGTGACAGGATCTTGTCGATACTCGGCAAAATCGGGATCTGTGGTTGTCGGATCTTGCCAAGGACATCGATGATAGAGCAGATTGAGCAATACGATGCCCAACGACCATACGTCTGCGCCCTTTGGCTTATACGTTGGGTGTAGGTTGTTTCGACACTCTGAGTTTCTCGAATCAGCTTTGGATTCCAAGCACATTCTTGACTGACCATATGCCATATATGGCTTACTACCGCAGTCAAAGTCGCCACACTCGTCTTCCATTGTACCGAGACCCCAGTCCGTTATCTTCACGACTACCTTGGCTTCTGATTCCATGCCCAGCGAAGCCTGTCGCTCGCTGACAGCAGCAAGTCCGTCGAGTGAGGCGACGCGCGAGATGTACGCCGAGTCGTTATAGCCATGGCGCCCGCGATCGTCAGTGACTATGAAATTCTCCGGCTTGATGTCGCGATGGCTGATACCGACATCATGGCAGGCTTGAACGGCATTGCACATTTGCTGGAACATCCGGCTGATGAGCCGCAGGCGACGCCTCGATAAGAGCGTAGTATTAGCAGTCGATGCGAGCAGATAAGGGTCGGGAGGCGTGCGATCCTCGCCGTTCTCATCGAGACCAGTCATATCGCTGCCGTGTAGATAGGTCTTCAGTTTCTGCGTCGGCGAGCTGAGTGCGGGCGAAGCCAGCCCGAGGTCTTGCGTGTCACGCGCTTGCTCGAGCCAGTAGAACAGATCTTGACCGGTGCAGTACTCCATGACAAGGAAGAGCCACGAGGGCGTGGCGAAGGCCTGCCACGTGTAAGTCAGATTATGCTGGCTCCTTATTGGGGAACGTACTCGGTGAAGCGCGGCAATGTTGGGATGTGCAGGCAAGGAGCGATGTAGCGTAGCCTGCACTCGTATTAGCTTTGCCGCTCGCTATGCTAACCCGGATAGCACTCACTTCAAATTTCTGTACTTCGAGTAAGTCGTCCGACAAATTCTTCTTGCAGAGACACTTGAGTGCAAATTCTTTGCCGTACACAGTGCCCCTGACGCTGTGATCGTCTGTAGCGAAAGCGGCATCCTCTGGTGCGTCGTACAAAACCTGTCGAGCAAGATAGACCACAGCATAAGATCCATAGCCTAGTTGTCGAATGATCTCTAGCTGGAAGTCGCCACCGAAATCGCCACCGAGGTTGTCTGCCAGGCCGGGCGAATCCACGCGAGAGTGCGCAGAAGGCGAAGGCAGCGTGATATCGGATGCAAACAGATCGACCACTAGCTGACCTTCATGCATCGTCCCAAGTCCGAGTCGATCGCCTTCGCCAAAGACGTTGAAGTCAGGCTCGCCATCAAAACCGAGCGGCGCGTCTTCGTCAAGGTAGGGTTCTTCTGTATCACTCACCTTTGGCGATGTCGACAGACCGGGCGTGTAGCGGAAATTGTCGTGGCGCGCAGACTTCTCGCCGTCGCTCATGCCGACGGGAGAGCGCAGACGCGAGCGATTCGAAGATGCCATTGACATATGATCTAGTTCCAAATCGAAAAAAGAAATCGAGTCGGCTCGCTCTCGAGCTGCTTCCTCGTGCCAGGACGGTATGCTCGAGGCTTGTGACGAGGCAGCAGAGCTGATTGAGGTTGCACGATGAGATCTTTGAGGTAGCGGGGAGGTCATGCCGGACATGGCGAACATGTTGCTTGGTCTCGGTGTGACACCGAGAGTGCTCGTACTGTATGCATGAGGTGTCTTGCCGAAAAGATGGTCATCTTCGCCGCTCGATTGCTCATCGCCCGGCTCTTGATCCTGTCGCGTCTCGAGCCATTTCCAATGTCGAGCGGCAGGCGTTTGTTCGCCCTGCACATCGTCGATCCGAGCGGTCTGCTCGCGTTCATGATGCAGACCAGATAGATTGAGACGCCTCGACAGATCCAGGCTCTCACGACGTGAGGATGCAGCAGAAGAGGGCGAGCTTGTCAGATCTGGTCTGCCTGCAAGACGACGTGGCGAATTTGCAGCCGAAGAGACGAGCGAGACTGCAGTCGATGCTTGCTGGCTAGACGCACGCGAATGACCCAGCAAAGACGGTGAGCGAACGCGAGCGACATGCGCCACACCTTCAGCGAAGCTCTGCAAACTGACGAGCGAAGGCCGCCTCGACCGTCCGCCAAGTCGGCCTGCGCCGGTACTGTCCGTGTGCTCGATTTGGGTCGCTAAACGAATGCGGCTCTTGCTAGTGTTATTGCGCGAGCTGACAGCGGAGACGTTGGTCGAGACGGACGCAGACGAGGACGTGGAAACGCCACGCTTAGGACGTGATCTGAAGAGCATGGACTCGTCTCCGATGCCATTCCTGAGATTAGCTTCTGTTATCGATTGCCGATGCGGTGATAGCAGATGCGAGCCAGGCATCTGTGGCTCCCTCGGGGTTTGAGGTCGTGATGTCGTTGTGCCGTTCATGGAGACAGGGTAGACGAGCGGCGGCGGCGCATTGACGAGATTGCGCTGTCTTGACAATGGCGACCGGGGCGGTCCCATCAGTCCAGCTTGCTCGTGCTGTAAAATGTTAACGTTGCTCTGAGACAGGACGAGCGGTCCAGGCGGTCCAGGCATCTTGTCAACAGGGCGCTGTTGACTCAGGCCTGATGCTCGTGGCGAGGAGCCGCTTGCTTGACCGGCGATCGGTCGCTTAGACGGGCTGTCTGACATTGCTGGAATACGATTTATGATAGCAGATAGGAGGTGACGTATAGGTATTCGAGGTGCGATTCGTCAGATCAAGAGGACAGCAAGAAGCTGGCAGAGGGGCCGATTGCGTGCAGGCCCTCTACCATCTTCGTCGTGGAATGTCTGAAGCAGCCATCTTATCTAGAGGCGCAAAGTCGGAATGAGTCATACCAACATGCGATGACGTGCTCGTGACCTACCTAGTCTGAATGAGTGCGCAAAGACTGGCCTGATCAAGTCGCACTATGCTTAGGCTGCCGTATGGATTATGTCAGTGCCCTGCCGGTCGGAGGTAGTGCTCGCTGACTTCGAACGACGATAGAACGGGCCGAGCTCGTGTGCCTCGTCAAGCTTGTGCGCACGGTCTGCCCGGGGATGCGGCTCAGAGCGCAGCAGTAGCGGAAGCTGTCCTGGGGATAAACAATGCTTGCGACTTGTCGCCGGCAGTCCACAGGCTCGATGAGCGACAGCCGGTTGACGAGTCAGCTGACGCAACGGCAGAGACCACAACAACCTTGTCGTTGCCGTCGTCTCGCGGTGATTCGCCAGGGTCAGAGCTCGGAGGTCTGATATGACTTCTGCTTCCACTCGTCGCAGCACTTCCTTGCCTCGGCGGCCTGGCGATAGCTGCAGGCTAAGTCGCCGTCCTGGTCGACTCAAGAGCTCTTTGAGTTGCTGTCTTGGCGAGACCGCTCACGCGCAGGCTGGGCTTCCGGGTCAAGCTCTCTTGTCACCTAGCTCAGACACGCCTGACGGCCGCTCCGGCTACTGAAAGCAGAAACTGACCGTCAGCACAAGCGCCGGCACGACTTATAAGACACGACGCTAGCGTGACACGCATGGTTGCCTTCTCTCACGCTGTTGGCTTTTTGCCACGTGTACAAAACACATCATCATATTACCGACACAGCTCAGCAAGTTGTGTCCTGACCTCTATGCAAATTGTCAAGACAAGACAGCAAGTGATCTGGAGTATTACACTGGTGTGGCATGCATACATGGTGGCAACATCATATTACACCTGATGATGAAGGAGGCTCTTGATCGTCGATAGATTCCGCATGCAGTAAGTGCTCTTTGGAGGTGAAACCATCGCCGCGCAGATGCAGAGCAAAATCTTCGCCTACGAGCTCTTTGACGGTGTAGACCATACGATCGACACGATTGACAAAGTTCCAAGCGAGGGTCGTCGCTGTGCAGAACTTGAGATAATCCTCACTGTACACGACATCCAAGTTGATTGTGTGAGGGAGACGCGATTCCGTATCGTCGTCGAGCACGAGCTTGTAGCCATACTGATGGTCTAACAGACGAGTTGCTAACGGCGTCCAGTACCGCGGCAGGGGTGTCGCGTATCGGAGAGCGACATGAGCCATGTGAAGTGCCGATTCGAGCTCGCCAATGAACTCAGGATCGCCCAGACGCGTCCGTGCTAGTAATGCCCGCGTCCACTCTGTGTCGAGCTCAGCGATGACGCTGGCCAGTTGGGACAGAATGTCGACCATCTCTCTGTATTACTCGTTAGCGCCAGCCTCGCCCTAATCGAACATAAGCCTCACAGCTGCAAACTGAGCAATCTCTGATATCGTTCCTTCGGCCATCGCCCGCGAAGATTGTACTCGAAACTGACAAAAGGAAGCTGCATCGCAGTCATGCGCAAACGGGTGCGCAATGCGAGCCAGTTCTTCGCGATAGACTTCGGAACTGTCGTAGACTTGCCTTGCTTGATGTTTGCAAAACTGATTATTTGACAGAAGAGGACGCCTGTTGATTGTAGGCTGCGCGCGTGCACGATGCGCAGGGTCTTCTTGTTGGATGTATGTGGCGGGAGAAAAGCTGCCAAGAAAGCTGCCGTGACGCCGACAATCACGAGTACACATCGTTTCCAGGCGGCTTCCCAGCCGTGGCCAGTCTCTTGGCCCACAGAGGGATAGTGCGTATCTTGCCACGAGTATCCGACGACGAGGATAGCGGTGATTCCAGCGATTATGCTGTTGATGACTGCAGGGTAGTACAGTCGGATCGCCATGATAGGTAGCACGACAATAGCCCATACGACGCCCAGAGCGTAAGCGTTGCCATCGCCGTTGCCGGCTGCGATGTACCATATCACGAGGCCGACCACCGCGCCAACGATGCTGCAAGCGATTCGGTAGACGAAATTGAACACAGTCTGTCCGACGAACTCGGTGCTGGCCAGTCCGACCATCAAGACGGCCCAGATGCCGCGCGCACGGTAGAAGAAGCCTGCCGATGAGCGCAGAAAACAAGGTAGAGAGACGAGCCCAATGAGCACAGCTGACTTGATCGCGAACAGGATGTCTGTTCGCTTGACGAAAGTGCTGGCCTTGTGCAAGAAGATGCCCAGCTTCATTGATCGACCGCCAAGAATGACGTCCGGATCGCGAGCAGATGTATAGCCATAGTCCACGAGACCCGGCACCCTATCCGGGTCCTCGTCCGCATACGTCTCCCCTGCGCTCGAGAAGAGACCAGAGAAGGGCCAATCAACAGGCGCCCACAGGCGCTTCGTCGGCCTTCGCTTCTGTATCTCGACAAGCTCACTGACAAGCGCTCTGACCTTGTCGGCGAATTGCATCAAGGCCCATTGATATTGCATCGAATAGAAGAGGGCGCGATGCGAGGGCTGCCTCACACGCCCATCATGCCGATGCAGACGATCGAAGAGGGGCGCAAAGGGCGTAATGATCTCGAGTCGCTTGATCGTGCGATATTCGTGAAGCGCTGTCTCGAGTTTGGCAAGAGCCGACGATCGCTCGCTTACTGGACCCCAGACGAGGTTTGAATTGCGGAAGATATCGGTAATACCGGAATCGCCTGCACGTTGAAGTAAAGCGAGCAGCGAATCCATTGCGTCCACCGTGGCATGGAGCAAATCGGCAGACGAGCTATGCAAGAGCGCGACGACTTCTATGACCGCATGCTCATCGTCTGCATTGCCGATGCGCTCTGCAAGCATATGATATTGCGCGCTCTCGAACAAGCCGACAGGACGGTGCCTGGGCTTGCGATCTCTTGATCTGCGAGGCGAAGAGGCACCTGATCTGCCGACCAGGTGATGCAGATTGAGATGTGAATGCTGGTGGCCGCTTCGAGCTGATCTTTGTAGGCTGAAGGGATGCAGTTCATCCGCCTTTTGAGACGCCATTGCGGGGTCTGGCGTGCTCGCGCCAGTCTGCATATCCCCAAGATCTTCTTGGCTCGTTCCAGGCGTGGGGTTGTGCGACCTAGGCAGGCGAATGATGAAGTTGGCCTCTGTAGCTACCTGCTGATCCTGCGTGGCGCTGGCACCAGCTTGCCTATCGAATCTGTTGCTAATCATCGACTGGAAGAACAGAAAGCTCGAAGCCCGTGCAGAGAGGATGCGTAAGTGGGTCAGTATCTGCTGGTCCGATCAGTTCCGATCAAGCACGAAGTAGCCCCATGCTGACCTTGCTGACATCGCTCTGGCTCATGCGCATCCATGCGATATCACGACGAACGTACGTCTCAGTTGCGTTCAGTTGCATGAGCGCCTGACCAGATTGAGCTAGGCGACCTTCGTTGCGCTTGTAGATGTCCCACTCCTCGCAGAGCGGAGATGTAGCCAGCATGGCGGTTTGGTCTGCTGCGATGGCTCTTATAGGTGACAAGGCTGCACTCATTCGCCGTACAGTTTGTGCTCCGAGCTGCTCAGGGAAGATGAGCAGGGAGCATGCCAGGTTGACTGCGCTTTGCCAGATATACGGAAGATAGAAGGTTTCGCCAATGATATAATTCGGATAAGGGTATAAATGGGCGAGCGTGCAGACAATACTGATCAAAATCATCGACAGGATGACGCCAAATAGGGCAGGAGATGGGCCTATCCTGCCCCTGACCCACATGAGCGTAGCCATGCCGATGCTGAGCCAGATGGCCATGACGAGCGACGGTCCGAGTTCCACGAATTCTCCAGTGACGATGGCCATGCCAATTGCGTTCGTTATCTCGGCAGCAGACAAGCCTTGCTGGGCGAAACGAGCGGCTTGGAGTTGTGTGAACTCAGCTTGACTATACTTGAACTCTTTGCGAGTGATCCAGGCGATTCTTATGCCCACGACGCCATATGCCCATGCCGCAGCAATCATTGTGCCGTACGTGAAGGTTTTCCGCAAGGTCAGGGAGACTGGGTCTGAAGGCGGTACGAGGATTGCAACGATGAGGAAGAGGAAGGCTGCGTGTCCAGCTGTCCGCTGAGTAGCATAGACGAGGTTGAAGAGCATTGCAAGCCATAGCGAGACGGCACATCTGAAGAGTGTCTTCAAATCCCGTTCACTTCGTAGATGACTCGTGAGCCAGGGCGGCAGGCTCTTCTCGGCGCTCTGTATCAGTCTGCGGTAGCGACTCGTTTTGACTGCCCCCTGAACAGGTTCCCCTGCCTTGATGGCCGCCGCGACTTTTGAAGCCGAGCCCGTCACTGTCTGCTCGGAGCCACTGTCCCTGCTTGCACCTGCCTCCGCTTTGGCCTTGCTATCCATGTCGCCCATGGGTATGTCGGCCGTCTTGAGATCAGCCATCCTTGCATGTGGTCTGTGCGAGCGTCGATCGCCTATGCATCGATGGAGGACCCGAGGAGGCAGCGCCGCGCTTTTTCGCGACATGTCATGATCGTCGCTGCTTCACAACGGGCAGTGAGGCCTTCTCCATGCATCTCCTGTCCTCAACAACATGCTCAGCATACGCACGCTGACCCTGCTACTAGCACTGCTGCTTGCTGTGCATGCATGTCAACCCTCATCCGCTCGCCGCAGGACAGGAGGTGTGCAAATTTGCCAATCTCAGAAGCTCGCTTAACGACGAGAGATAGCAGCTGAGCCTATGCCCGGACAAGTCCCGCAGCTACCTCTCGGTGTCCGCCTCCAGCCTACGCCAGTCATGACGCGCGAGGAGAGTCGTAGACGCGCCAGGCTAATCGATCAAAATGTGCAACCCACGTCGATGCCAAAGTCCAGGACGACCAGTGCACAGCCACCACGACCAGGCCATCGACCGCAGGTAGCTGTGCGTCTCGGGACTTCTCACGACTGTCCTGGCTTACAGCCTTAACAGGAACCAACCGGGGCGACGCGTCAGACACAACACTCCAGCTTGACAGACTTTCACTGGCAGCGCATCCTCAACGCAATCGCGCTCGCTGCTGGCTTTCTTCTCGGAGTGATCATCACATTGTGTTAAGACAGGCAAAGATACAAGACCGTTCCGACAAGACATATCGCCAAACAGAAGGACTGCCCATGAGCTTGTGTTAGATTCGGGTTTCAGGGAAGCCATCTGGTGAATGCGATTGCAAGAGTTGTTCTTTTGATGACGAGGCGTCGTCGCGGAGATGCAGAGCGAAATCTTCGCCAACGAGCTCTTTGACGGTGTAGACGATCCGATCGACGCGATTGATAAAGTTCCAAGCCAGTGTCGTCGCCGTGCAGAACTTCAGATAGTTTTCACTGCTTGCAACGTCCATGTTGACAGTGTGCGGCACGTTGGAGCCCATTTCGTCTTCAAGCACCAGATTGACGCCATACCGATGATCGGTCAGGCGAGTTGCCAAAGGCGTCCAATAGCGAGGAAGTGGCGTGGCGTGCCTGAGGGCTACATGTGCCATATAGAGCGCGCCTTCCAGCTCGCCGATAAATTCGGGCTCACCGAGTCGTGTACGGCTCAGCAGCGCTTGGGTCCAGTCCGAGTCTAGTTCGGCGATGACACTTGCAAGCTGGGCCAGTATGTCAACCATCTCTCTGAATTACCCGTCAGCACAAGCCTCTCTGTACACGAAGACGAGCCTCACAGCTGAAGAGTGAGTAATCTCTGGTAGCGCTCCTTGGGCCACCGACCCCGCAAATTGTACTCGTAGCCAACAAAGGGCAAATGCATGGCCGTCATGCGCAAGCGAGTGCGCAATGCAAGCCAGTTCTTGGCAATAGACTTTGGCACCGGATTCGACGGTCCTTGCTTGACGTTCGCAAAGCTGATGATCTGGCAGAACAGGACGCCTGTTGATTGAAGACTGCGCGCATGCGTGATCCGCAAGCTTGTCTTGTCCGACGTGCTTGGCGGCAGAAAGGCCGCTATGAAAGCTGCCGTGACACCGACGATGACGAGCACGCATCGCTTCCAAGCTGTCTCCCAGCCGTGGCCAGTCTCTTGTCCAGCTGAAGGGAAGTGCGTGTCTTGCCAGGAGTAGCCGAAGACTAGAATGGCGGTGACAACGGCGATGACGCCGTTGATCAGTGCAGGGTAGTAAAGACGGATCATCATGATTGGCAGCACCAGGACAGCCCAAACGGCGGCAAGAGCGTACGCATTGCCGTCGCCATTTCCTGCAGTAATATACCATATTACCAGTCCGAACAGTGCGCCGATGACAGTGCAGATGATTCGATAGAAGAAGTTTGAGACCGTCTGTCCGACGAATTCGACGCTCGCCAAGCCCACCATCAAAACGGCCCAGATACCTCGCGCTGTGTAGAAGAAATGAGCGGAGGAACGTAAATAGCAAGGCAACGATAGCAATGCGATCAGAATGGCAGATTTGATGGCGAACAAGACATCCGAGCGTTTTATCAAGTTGCCTGCCTGGTGCAGCAAATTACCAAATCTCATCGTATGTCCGCCTAAGATCACTTCTGGATCACGAGCAGATGTGTATCCAAAGTCCGAAAGACCCTCGATTACGTCCGGATCGTATTCGCCATAATTCTCGCCCGTTTCGCCATGCGACGAGAACAGACCAGCAAAGGGCCAATCAAGAGGGGCCCACAGTCGCTTTTTCGGGCTCCGCTTTTGGATATCGACAACCTCGCTCACGAGCGCTCTGACTTTATCGGAGAATTGTATCAATGCCCACTGATACTGCATCGACCAGAACAGGGCGCGGTGCGAAGGCTGCCGTACGCGCCCGTCGCGAGCAAGTGTTGAATCGAATAGTGGCGCAAAGGGCCTAATGATCTCCAGCCGCTTCTTGTTTCGATAGTCAGCGATCGCGCTATCGAGCCGTGCCAGAGCGTCTGATCGCTCGGTGACGGGTCCCCAAACTTGCTCAGAATCCCGGAAGATGTCGGAAAGACCTGATCCGCTACCCCGGCTGAGCAACGCCAGCAGCGAGTCCATTGCGTCTACGGTAGCATGCAGCAGATCGGCCGACGATGAATGCAGGAGCGCTACGACTTCGACTACGGCGCGTTCATCGTCTGAATTGCTGATTCGCTCTGCCAGCAGGTGGTATTGCGCGCTTTCGAATAAGCCAACAGGACGATGCTTGAGCTTATGCTCTTTCGGCTCATGCGGAGAGCCTTTGCGAGCGCCGCTCGGTATATGCAGCTTGGGATTTACATGCCTCTGTTGTCTGCCTTGAGCATCGTTCTGGTTGCCTAGTGTGTCAAATGTGCTGGCTGACTGTGCCGTGTCCTGTCGGACAGGCGAGCTCGTACCAGAGTGCGTGTCTCCGGCTTCCTCCTTGCTATCGTCCAGCGTCACACCGCGCTCTTTTGGCAGGTGCAGCATGAAGTTATCTTCCGTAGCTACCTTGCGGTCTCGCTTAGCAGATTCATTAGGGTGTCTGTCGAATCTGCTGCTGATCATGGACTGAAAGAATACGAAGCTAGCTGCTCGCGCGGAGAGGAATCGTAGATGCATGAGGATCTGGCTGACGATAAGCGCGCGAAAGGTCAGGGCAAAGTCGGCTCACCTTGCTGACATCCTTCTGACTCATTCGCATCCACGCAATGTCCCGCCGGACGTAGGACTCTACCGCATTTAACATCATGAGAGCTTGACCCGATTGTGCCATGCGACCTTCGTTGCGCTTGTAAATGTCCCACTCTGCGCTGAGTGGCGATGTGGCCAGCATCGCTGACTGGTCTGCAGCGATCGCTCGAATCGGTATAAGGGCCGCGCCAATCCGCCGCAGTGTATGCGCGCCAAGTTGCTCAGGAAAGATGAATGCAGAGCAAGCCAATGTGACTGCACTCTGCCAGATGAAAGGTATGTAGAAAGTCTGACCGAGCAAATAATCAGGATATGGATACAGATGCGCGAGGGTGCAGACGATGCTGATGAGGATCATCGACAGAATGACGCCAAACAGCAACGGCGAGGGCCCTATACGTCCCTTGATCCACATGAGCGTGGCCATACCGACGCTGAGCCAGACAGCAATGACGATTGAGGAATTCGTTTCGATGAATTCGCCATTTATGACAGCGATACCAATCGCACCGGGTATCTCGGCCGCGGGAAGACCTTGTCGAGCAAAGCGAGCCGCCTGCATCTGCGTGAACTCGGCTTGCGTATACTTGAAGTCCTTGCGAGCAATCCATGCGATGCGCACGCCAACGACGCAGTATGCCCAGGCCGCGGCGACCATGAAGCCGTAGATGAAGGTCTTCCGAAACGTAAGCGAGACGGGGTCAGAAGGCGGCACGATGACGGCTACAATCATGAACAGGAAGGCGGCTCGTCCGGCTGCGTGCTCAGTGTCCGAGACGAGGGTGAAGAGCATAGAGAGCCATAAAGAGACTCCACAGCGAAAGAGAATCTTCCAATCTTGTGAGCTCTGCAAGTGCGGCGCGAGCCACGGGGGCAGCACGGAATCGATGCGTTGTAGCACAGAGCGGAAGGCGCTTGGCCGGTCTGATGATCTGGCTGGCTCTGCAGTAAGCTCCGCCTCCGCGGCCTTCGAGGCTGAGATAGCCGTAGAACTGTCGGAGCCGCTGCGCTTGCTTTTCTCGGCCTCGGGATTGTTCTGATTGTCGCCAACGTCATCCAGAGGGATGTCGTCGGCCTTATTGTCAGTCGTCATGTCGAGATGCCGCTTAATGTCTGATGGGCTTGAGCGGGGCAGTCGCTAGCGCTGATAACAGGAGACGCGACTTGATTAGCGCCAGGCTGTCAAAAGTTTGCGGCCGAAGGCCAGGCTGTCGATCTGCTGAAATGTGAGAAAATATGATATCATGTGTACGACAACAGGTGTGCTAGATTGTCTTCGTCAAAAGCGGGCAGATCAGCGTGACGCGATGACATATCAAACAGTGAGCTTGGATCAACAGTGAGATCTTGGCTCGAGACAGGCATTGGCTCGGCAGACGAGAGAGCATCTCGTATCCGCCTGATGTCCTCGCTGACATCCGGGTACGCCCAAGACAGGTTGCATAACACCTCGAGACATTGTCGGAGCTCATCTTCTTTCTGCTGAGCCGAGAACAGAGGCAGATGGGCTGCGAGTCCTGTCGCGGGAAATTCTGCAGGCGTAGCGGCAGAGATGACCTGTGCCAGACGGCCGAAAGAAGTTCTGATGACCTGCATATGGAAAGATGCGCATATGGAGTCGAAGCTTTGCAAGTCGCGATGGAACATTGGCGCGAGCAACCTTGCAAGAACGAGGCGACGGGGAGCCATCTCTTGCTCGAGCTGGAGAGCGAGCGCGGATGGGTACGTCAGCTCTTGAGGCGATATCAGTTCGCCATCATGCGATGACGGTGCAAGGTCAAGAAATCTGAACAGGCCCGCGCGAGTCGCCTGTAGATGTCGCAAGAGGGCATCATTCGCGATTTCGCAGGCGGACACGGCTAGGGTCATGAACAGTCTCAGCCAGTCAAGCAAAGGCTGCATGGGCAAGCCGGTCCGCTTGGCCTGAGTCTGAAAATCGAGCATCCACTGCACCTCGCCGTCGATCAGACCAAGCGCCTGCTGTAAGACGCCTAGATCGATCAGCTCGGGCGTGATATGCCGGGGAGTGATATGCAGAGCGAGCAGCCTGGTGGCCATCAAGATGGATCTCGACAGGCCGAACAATGGGAACGGATTACTTGCATAGCTGGGTTCTCGTGATCGATTGATTGCGTATGCGAGGGCTTCTCCCACTGGCAGGTAGGGCAGCAGGAGCGCCTCGCCAAAGATGTGCTGTATTGAGGCATTACCAATATTGAGTGGCATGCGAAAGCGTGCAGCCAAACTAGCATCCAAGATTGCCGCCGCCCACTTGAGAGGACCCTGGGGCATATGCTCGCCTGCCTCCTCGACTTGCACGAGCGAAAGCCGAGCCGATTCTTGGCACTCGTGCAACGTGAGGAGCTGTGACATGGCAGTGTGGGTGAAAGGATGCCCCTTCCATGCGGTGTCCTCTGATTCGTAGACCAGGTCGAGCTGCAAGACAGCGGCGACACTGTCTGGTGTCGGAGGGATGGCGAATCCCGCTTCGAGCTTGCACGCACTCTCTGCCAGTTGGACGAGTTCGATGCATACCGCATGCCGCCTCGCTGCGTACTGGCTGAGATCGCTATCGCGCATTCTCGATAGATCTGTCAGGCTAGGCGCACCAGAGCCGATGATCAGGGGATGATCAGACACTCTCGCCGCGATGGCCAGACAGAGCGAAAGGCGTGCGCGCATGACAGGGTTCATCTCAGATGGCCGACGAGCTGCTTCCTCGAAAGCCAGTCTGACGGGCTCGACCGTCATGCCGGGCAACTCGAAACCAACATTGCGAGCGTAGAGGCCTAATAAATGCGCGGCGAGTTGACCCACGACTTGAGTGGCTCCCAGGCGTGTAGACACAGCGCTCGGTCCGAGGAAATCATCAGAATCGCCAGGCGAGGTCTTGCTTGAGCTCGGACGAGTCGCAATCGCGCCTGTACGAGCTGAGAAGGTGCAGTGAAGCGAGAGCTTTGCGCAGCGTCGACACAGGGTCGAGTCAGTTTGGGCCTCGCATTTGACCCTGCGCTTGCGACAGGGGTCGCATGCGATCGCTACCGCACTTCGCTGCTTCCCTGACATAGCCCTTCGCGGACACGTCAGCCGCTCCGTCCGGTCATGTTCTTGTGTGTCGTGTCTGTGTGTCCCCGCCGCCTGCCGCCCTGCCCTTCACCAACCAGATCGATAAATCTGTGATCGGCATCGTTTTCATTATAATCAATATTCCACGGAGGTAAGACTCGCGCGCGGCCGCTCTATCAGCTCCGCGCCGTCACTGGTCGTTGCAACCTTGTGCTGTGTGGTCATGACGAGGACGGCGCAGTGCTTCCGCACGTTGCAAACACATAAAGAGTGGCTTCTCGGGCTCCCTGGGGTGTTGAGCAGATAGATCAAGCAGAAGGTTAGGATGAGCAGCGATACATACGTCAATCGCATTCTTGCCCACAATCCGGGTCTGACACTCGCCAATGTCACCTTCTGGCCTGATCTGACCGGCTGTACCGATACGAGTCTGATACCCTCGGACTATCTGGATGGCGCGCCGATCTACCATTCTGCCACTGGCAAATGCTACCAGTTTAATAACGACGGCTCGATTGCCTACTATGCACAGTATGGTTACAATCCTGCACTCGCGACCGGCGTCGTCTTTGCCGTCATCTTCGGTCTCCTGACTGTTCTTCACTTTGGGCTCGCTGCCAAGTCGCGACGCTGGTGGCTCTTTGTCGTCGGCGTTGGCGGTATAACCGAACTCATCGGATGGGTCGGCCGTGCGCTGTCGGGCACTGACAATACTGCGAGCGTCAACGCCTCGAACTACTTTCTCGTTCAGATTGTCTGTCTCACTATCGCGTGCGTGTCCCTTTGCACGTGATCTTTCTCAGACTGATCCCGTGAGCAGGCCTGTCTTCTTCAGTGCGGCATGCTACGCTACACTTGTCATCATCGTCGCTCATCTATCCCAATTCGGAGACACGCACTCACGCTTCTCGCCCAGGCGGCTGACCTGGTTCTTCGTCACGACTGACATTATCTCGCTCGTCATGCAAGCTGCCGGCGGCGGCATCACGTCTGGCGCAAATTCAATCTCTACGCAAACTACGGGCACGCACATCTTCCTGGCCGGTATCGCCTTTCAGCTAGTCTGCATGGTCATCTTCTCCGGCCTATACGCGGAATTCTTCTACAAATACACTCGCGACCACAAGCTGCCACGGAAAATTGCCTACTTGGGCAGCGGTGTCGGTCTTGCTTCCTTGCTCATCATCATACGTGGCATTTACCGGACCATCGAGCTCGCACAAGGTGAGCTTTGACAACATCAACATCATATCAATACCAGTCTGACCCGATATTGACAGGCTGGAATGGCTATCTCATCACGCGGGAACGGTACTTCCTCGGCCTCGATGCAGCCATGATGGTGCTCTGTATGACCGTCCTTGCCGTCTCGCATCCTGTCTTCACTTTGCCAAAGGAGCCCGGGACGACGCCGGGTGCCTCGGATACGATCAACAGTACAAGCTCGCAGAGCAGCTTCGATAGATCTCAACCCAAAATGGAAGAGATCAATACTGCCTAGCTTGGCCGTTGGAATCATTGTTGCTACGTGTATTGTAGAACTGGGACTCCAATGCGCTGCCGTCGTCTACTCCTCCCACCCCTCGCGTCTCGCGTCATCGCGTCGTCGATGCATCTCGCGGCCTGTGACTTTTCTGAACATTACACGTGCATATGCTGCTCGCACTGCCGCCTGAGCTCATCGGCAAAGTCATCGAGCATGTTCTGCAGATACGGGACCCCAAGAGACTGTGTGACCATACCTCGCTCCGTCCATTGTCCTCAGTATCTCGCTGGCTTCGCGACATTACGATCCCTTTCCTGTTCCGAGTGAGTTACAGTATGACCGTCAATCGGCGCAAACTCATGTTCGTCGTGCAGCAAGTTGCCATCAAGGGCGGCGTCAGCGAGACTGACAGAGTCGCTTTCCTTGCGCTAGATGAGCGTATCAGACGGTCAGTCCGACAGGTCAATGTTGTCTGTCAGCTTGACCCACCCGATGAAGACGAACCGGCGAATATGGATGATCAAAGTCAGATCGTAGCATCAATATTACGCAGTGTGCCTCTACTCGAAAGTGTTCGCTTCGACCCTCGGGGCTGGTTGGCAGCACACGCGATGTTCTCAGATCCGATCGATCTGCCAGTCTGGACAGACAGTCTCAAGGAACTCAAGATTGGCAATCTCGACGGTGGCCTTATCGTTGTGGAAGAGCAAGACGAGATTGCTCTGGAAGAGCAACCTCGAGGCAGTCCTGCTCGATCGCTGCTCAAATGGCTCCATCATTGCAAGGCGATAGAGACATTTGGCCTTGAGCAGGCGCCTTACCCCGACCTTCCGCCGCGTGCTGCAATATGCGAAGAGATCAGACGCGCTTTGGGTTCTCTGACCGAGCTGCGCAAGATCGACCTCTTGCGAACAGAGTATTTGCCCAGAGCGGGCGATGCGCCACATCAGCAGGCTCGATTGGAAGCCATCGTGGCAAGAGCAGCCCTTACTGACTACACCGCTGGCCCTTCGATCCTATTGTCCCATCTTCCAACGCTGAAGAGTATAGACTTTTACTCGTGGCATTCACTGCAACCACTGCAAGGTCACAATCGTGTCATGCACAGCATTCAGCGGGTCAGCACACTGCTGAGCCACCTTCATCGCGCAATGCGCTGGGATTTCCCACATTTGACAGAACTCCATATACAAGAACACAGAGCGCAGTCCGAGATCCGCCATCTTACTGGAGCGCTACTCGCAGGGACATGGCCGGCGCTCAGAAGGCTGTCCCTCTGGAGCGCTAGCATGCTCTGTGTCGAAGACCTACATGCGCTCTTCCAGGTCACTGTCGCTCGGAGCATCACTATTCGCTTGGGTTTGCAGCAAGATGCGTGTTTTCCGTACAGCCGGACCATGCCTGCTTCCTTTATCTGGGCAGAGCTTGGTCAACGCAGATTGTGGGAAGTCGACGTGAGATGGCATGCTGGCGTCGAAGCATTCCTAGCAGACCAGACGCGCGTCTTTCTGCCAAAATATGCACAATGATGTTACACCTTTTTCTGGGTCTTGCGTGACTCTTGAGCATCACTTCGGACGCGAGATTTCTTGCTCGACATCTTGGGCTTGCCAGAGTCTCGCTTTGTGCGCAGCTTTTCCTTTTGCTTCGAGCGAGAGTCTGCTTTCAACAGCGCTGCCTTTGCGCGCTTCTTCTCGAGTCGCCGGGCGAGGCGTGACTCGTCGTTGGCTTTGTACTCTTTACGCTCCTCTTTCGAGAGATCCTTGATCTTCTCGCCGATGTCTTGATTCACGCGGACTTTGGGCAAGGGATGGGTCTTGTGCGTCCTGTCGCGTTTGGGATCTCGCTTATCGACGGCGGCTTTCGAACCTTGAAGAGATCCAGCAGCAGCTTCTTTCTTGACCTTGATTGATTTGAGCGCGGCCGACGTCTTGCACCTTTCCAAGCGGACTTTTCGCTTCGATACTTTGACTTTGCTTGCTTCAATCGCAAACATCTCGTCCACGCAATCCTCGTCCTGCAGGCTGATCAGCTCAGTCCCGAAGATATGGGCAAAGGCGCACGTGAAGGAGCACGTAAGCGAATCCTTTGCCGAGGCCCGTATCGCGATCTCTGACAACTCTGACGCTTTCGACGTAAGGCTTGCCAGCAGGAGGGGCACCTCTCTCAGCCCTGAGCAGGTCTTCAAAGACCTTCCGGATGCCTTCCTCGTCCTGGGCAAAATCGAGGTTGCCTACATAGCAGGTCCGCCGTAGATGATCGGCGCTGTGCGAATCGGTCTTGCCTGGGCTACTGGCTGCATCGCTGGCGCTCTTGACGAGATCGACACGCAGAGTACGCTCTTCGAATACTGTAGCATTCGCCGAGGTAGCGAGCAATGTTGCCAGATCTGCCGAAGTCTCGAGGTCAGCAGCTGGGCTCGTGAGCTGCAGCACAGCATAGGCATTGCAATTTTGCCCAGACGGATGCAGTTCGTGCTTGATGAAGGCTACTTTGCGCTGCTGTGCTGGTGTGAGGTACTCTTGCGCCGGTTCTTGGGAGGCACCGTTGGCGTGTTGCTTCCATTGCTCTGCTCGCGCTTTTGCGTGTGACTGGGAAGACTTTGGCTGGGTGACAGGGGCAGCAAGAGGTAGCGAACGATATCGTATCGACTCGCAACGGGCGACAGCCTGGACTTGTTCAGGCAAAGTCGAAAACAGATGCCGCACGAGCGCCTTGCTCGTGCTTTTACTTGACGCGGCGGCAAGGACGACATTGCCAATGAAGACGGTGCGAGCGTTGCGCTCCGAAATATCTTCATCCGTCAACTTGGCCTTCTTTGCCTTGCGAGGCTTGCTTTGCCTCTCCTCGCCGCCCGGCAAAAGGCTGACATGGATAGGCGGCGCTGAGTCGCTGTCAGATTGTTCCTCTGCCGATTCTTCCGCCTCGGATGGCGTGCTTCTTCGTCTCTTCGCATTGCTTGACTGCGTTGGCGCCAATGCTGACGCAGTTGGGGTGAGCTTGGGAGTTCGAGAGCTTCTTGCGGCTACGGAAGCAGCTTGACGCTTGATTTTTTCCGCTGCACGCCGTGCTCTGGCTTCCGGTGAATCTGCATCCGTCTCATTCGAACGCTTGATGGACACCTGCACATCACTCGGCATAAGTGCGAGCATGACGACAAGGAGCAGGGCGCACGAGAGGCTTTGAGGAGCTGAAAAGACTGTTCAAGTCGCTGTCCAGCGCGACTTCTGTGCTTTTGAGCAGGAAGCTTGACAAGTCATGGGCCGACGCTTCTTCTGCTTTCTGCTTGCCCTTTGACTTCTTTGCTGGTCTGGCAGTGTCCGCCATCTGACGAGAATGCTTGTTGCAGATTGCCAGGAATCCGTAACTTACGCTGGCCTCTGCGCGTTATTCAAGTTTGTGAATCAAGGGCGCCTTATTATATGCGATCAAGCCAACGCTCGGCTCGACTCGCTTCGACCCAAGATCGCACTTTGGCAGCTCGACATGGCCATTCGGATATCTTGCAGAGACGTCTACGAAGGCGGAGCTCAGAGACGTGATTCGCTATCCGTCGAGGACGGGAACAACTCCGCTCGAGGCTGATGCAGCGAATGAGGCGCTCGCCGATGACTTGGTGACCGCCTGCGATGCTTGCAGCCGTCCCTGGGAGACACCCCCATCGTCTATGATGGAAGATCAGGCTCGGCAAGAAGACGACAGCCGCATTCAGACTCCCTGCCTTGCTCGACGATGACGTGAGGCCCTAGACCGGTCTGGCAAGCCGGTCCGCCATGGGGTGATCCATCTTCACGTCTAGAGTGACAAGCAGCGAGCGAGAGGTCTATAGCCCGTGACGGGGTGGAACTGCGATGGAGCTCACCGCAATCGCGTGGAGGCGCTCTTACTCGTCGTGGAATAGAATGCGGTCGCCAAGAAGACGACAATCACGATCAGATCTCTGCTAGACCTGAGGACCGACGGACCTTGAAGGCCAAGATTTGCAACCTGATCTAGGAACGGGGCACCCCGTCCGAGGTGATGCAGCCTGCGAGTTCGACTTTGCCAACGACTCGTGACCTGCCACGATGCTATTGGCTGTCACGCGGAGGCCGACTCGCTTGCCGTATGCATGTTCGTGATCGACAAGAAGACAACAACCGCCTCTTCAGCTTGCAAAGCCCAATGAGGTCTTGAGCCCGGAGGAAGCCTTGCAAGCTTCCTGTGATGGAGGCCGAGCGCGAGGGAAGAGCAGCTTGCGCGTGTTTGCCAACGACCGGTGATCTGTCATGTCGCTCGTGACCGTCACTTGGAGGCGCACAAGCTTGTCGGATGAAGCTCGCGGCTCGATACTCGACTCGACTCGACTCGACTTGACTCCCTCCGAGCGGCATCCGCGCCCGCGATCGCCGTCAGCACCTGACCACGTCTGTCCTCAGACTCGCTAGCGCAAAGGCGAAGCGCACATGCGCACACTCACTTTCTTTTCGCACCGATCGCAGTGATCTGAGGAGCAATGTCTGCATGTAAGCATTAAGACTGTCTTCTTGAGACATCGGGTCGTCTCGAATATGCATGCTTGTAAGATGTGACACTTGACTTTATTTGAGCATAGCATCAAATTGTCAGCAGTCAATCTTGTAGATCCTCGCAAGAGACATGCACAGCATCAGACATCGTTACTCCGCGTCGGAGTCTGCTGGGTCCGCAACGTCTGCGAGCGTGGACTGCGAGGCACGACGGCAACGCGTCAAATCATTTGACAAACCCGCACGGACGATGCATTGACGCTGACTCGCCAGCCTGACAGGACACAGTCAAACGGATGTGTATCACTTTCTACAGTCTCAGAGTGGAGGCATTCAATCGATATGCCCAAGCGGCGCGCGACATGGCCTGCTACTCGCTCGACATGGGACATAGTGCCAGCTCACATCAGACGTCCTCGCAAGCTACTCTTCACCGCCGAACTACCGACACAGGATATTGTTCATCAGTTGTCATGCTGGAACATCCACGAGCTCTCACTCTGGCCATGGGAAGCCCTACAAGCTCAATGCCGCCGGTACAAGCTGGCTGTCGCGTACGACGACAGCGGCGATGACCTGATCGCGCGACTGACTGCCCACGTCGAGCAACTTGATAATTTCTGGCCATCAGATAGCGGCGGCAATGCTAATCGTCTCCCGCCGGAATTGATACGGCGCATCCTCCGCTGCCTGCGCGACAGCTACGACGAGCGGCTCGATCTTTCGGACGAACGACACGAATCCACCACAGTCGCGATGCCGACGTCCTTGCACGCCGTCATCAACCTCGAAGCGACCTGTCGCGCTTTCCGCAGAGGCATCTATGGGGACAACTTTATCTGGGACCTATACCTTAAAGATGCCTCAGAAGTGCTCGCATTGGCTCGATATGGTCGGCCAGACACCTGGCTTGAGCACTGCTCAAAAGCTGCGACATCGCGCTTCAAAGCCATACGCGCAGTCGCTATGACGTGCGAAAATTGCCAGAAGTGGCGTGTACCGGAGGAAAGGCTACCCGCTGTCGAACTCACTCGTCCTTCCTTCATGTGGCAATGCGCAGGCTGCGTCTATGCAAAAACATTGACGCGCGCGGAAGCAATGGCAGTGCTCGCACCTTATGAGCATCTCTTGGACCAGATCGAGCCTTACCAGGTTTGTCCAGATCCTCCGCCGGAAGCGGAGCTCATACGATTATGCAGGTCCGACCTAGTCTCTATCGACAGACTGCTGTCTTTGACCAAAGGCAAGGCGAAGATTCAGCTCGCGCCAGACAACTCTTCTCGACTACAAACGACGGATCGTATGCTCCCTTTGTCCGAATCTGGCCAACAGCGGAAACACCGCTCCTCAAATGGCCGCACCGACTGGATTTTTTCGTGCTCGAGATGGCTCGCAAGCTCATTCTGAGCAAAGAGTCTCTCGATGAGAGTCATACGCGGGCTGTCGAGGAAGCTATGCAAGGTACGGCTCTCTTGTCGTTTCGTGGCTGCACTGATGACTTGGCCGTAGTTGTTGATAAACGCTGGCGTGACTTCATGGAGCGTGCTACACGGCTCAAGAGCATCACGAAGACGCTCTACGAGACTGACCCGGCGAGTAAGCGATGGGTAGCGCAGTGTCCAGAGTCTTTCTGGCGTATACACTGTCGCGTAGCTCTCGTGCAGACAAAAGACGACACTGGCCGCCCGCCGCAGCATCTGGACGAGCATCTCGACGATTCCTGGCCAATCGATATCATCAGACAAGATCCCTGGCTAGTTGCTGCGGGCGGCATGCACCGCGCTGATGCAGAAACGCTTGCGCATGCATTCATACGATGGCTACACTACCAGCAGGCAGCGGTCTGGATCATCAATACAAGACTGGTAGATTACGGGGCCACAGAACATCCGGTTCGACAAGAATTCGAAGGTTCCGATGTGCAGCGCTCGTCATGGACAGTCGACCTGCGCAGCATCAGACCGTGCTTGCTGGCATTCGTGGGTGCTCATCGATGCGAAATCTGGCGAGAGCGTCTTTATCGGGCCTTCCAAGACGGATCGCCTGGTATACCACTCGGTCTATGCATCACTCAAAACCAAGCGGAGGCTCTGACGGCCAGATGGACACGCTTGGATCAGCTTGCTTTCGATAATCCCCGCCAGTGTGCCAATACAGCTTGCACGAGAGTGTGCGCCTGTCCCTGACTCCTGCATTATCGTCCTGAATGGCTTGACAGGAACCAAACCGAGTGCATTGCCAAGATGTGCGGCTTTTGCTGCCGAGCCGACTTTGCCACAAGGCGCGAGCTCAAGCTGCCAGAGAATTGCGAGAGACACTCGATCCTACGTTAGCACGTGCATCATGGTGACATCCTGACAGAATCTCATGGCCTCGAGCATGCAATGACTACTGTGTTGGCTGCCATTTGCCGATATTGATGCCGTTGCACGCGAGGCCGTAATTATCGAGCTGTCGATCGAGTACATCTTAGTCAGAGGTACGGCGCTGACTGACTGGACTTGCATCATTCATGTCCGGATTCTGTCCGCGAATCTTTGCCTGACTCATTCTGAAACTGGACACGGTGCCATCTGGCTTAGCCCAAAGATGGATCGTGACCGTGAAATCTGAGCCAATGACTACGACGAGCGTCAGCGGTTGTAAAGCAGCTTGTGATCGCTTACACGACATTTCCGTGTACAATGAGCCATCGCTAGCAATCACGCCTATAGGTGATATACCAACCTGACCGCCATCGCCGATGTTGACGATAGCAAACAGCTGGCTTTGTCATTAGTTCGCTCATCACTCGTGCCGCGTGTGCTACCTTGGAGCTCGAGTCCTGAGCAACAGCAAAGCCAGAGACGAATGGAGCACCCGCAAGCTTGATTTGGTAGCCGCAATAGGAGACAGGTTCACGCTGGACGAGCTGATGGACCGCATTGTGAGCTGCTGCTTTGACAATACTGAGGAGACCGATGAGTATCGCGAGGACGAGCATCATTGTGTACATGTTTGGCTGGTGATGAATGCGGATGCAAGATTCGCGGGACCGCCTGGTAGAGAGGGGAGGCAACCTGCGGCAGTGCCATCGATGTCGTCGCGTCATCGATGACTTTGACTCCAAAAGTTCGCGAGCCTCGCTGGCATTAGCGACCAGCTTTACGCCGCCCGTCTGGGCAGGCGGTATGGTCATACAGGCAGGTCGACACTGGTCGGACCATTTCAACTTCTTCAGAATCCACCTTGTTGTCTTTATCACTCTACCGCTCATTCTCAGCGGTATATTTTATGCGATCAATGTCGAACCGAATATCGCCTTCATCGACTGCCTGTACATGTGCTATGCCGCCATGACTATGACTGGACTGCAGTCTGTCCTCTTCGCCAACATGACGCGAGCACAACAAGTCAGTCGGACGGGAAATCAGCCAACTCTCGGGCTGAAGGCAATTCGCAGGGGATTCTCTTCATACAGCTCGTCCTGGGCTCCATCGTGACAGTCTCGATAGTGACCATCGTCGTCAGACTTCGCGCATACCCCGCACAGTCTGCGAACACGGCGAGGTCATCACGAAGCGGCTCGACCTCTCTCGAGCTGGCGCGGCGAAAGCAAGATGGCAAGCACGTCAGATTACATACAGGTCTCATCAGGCGCACTGCTGATGAGGTGCGAGTCAACGCGCTTTCCAACGCGGGCAACGAAGCCACGCCGATGGAGTCTCGCTCTCTTCAATGTCATGAGCGCATCCCGTCAGGACCCACGCAACTCACGTTTGATGAGACGACGCGCTCGCCTGTCCTCCGTCATCGTCGGTCTGATAGCACCACACATCGGCCGTCAATCTACAGAGGATTGGGTGGGTTCGAGAACCCAGCTCACTCGCTCTATCGGGTCTTGACCGGCCAGGTAAGCAATGCACACGCCATTGGCCGAACGACGACTCAAATCTCGACCCACTCGCATCGTCATCATCTCGCTCTAGCTGGGACGAAGCCTATCTCGTATCTCAGCTTTGATGCTACAATAGGTCGAAACAGCAGATACCTCGATCTCGCGCCCGAAGAGCTGGCAGAACTCGTGGAGCTCGAACAGCGCGCTCTCAGGTTGTTGCTCATCATAACGACAAGCTATTATTTCGGGCTACAGCTACTCTTCGTCGCCGTACTCGCGCCGTACTTCGCAGTCGGGAACTATAGTGAGAACTTCACGCAAGCCGAGGGTACAAGCAGCTCGATCTGGTTCGTCATCTTCAATACCTGGTCCGCCTTTGGCAACAATGGCTTGAGTTTGCTGGATGCCAACTTCACAGCTTTCCAGAGCTGCTACCTGCTCATCCTTTCGACTTCGTTTCTGATCCTGGCTGGCAACACATGCTTTCCTGTCTTCTTACGTGGCATCATCTGGTCTTTGTCCAAATTTGTCCCGTCCGAGCACACGCGTGGAGCGCTCCACTTTCTGCTGGATCACCCGAGACGCTGCTATCTATATCTATTCCCAGCAAAGCAGACCATATGGCTTGCCACTATCGTATTCGTCTTCACAGCCATCGACTGGCTCTCCTTCCTCGTGCTCGATATCGGCAACGATCTCATTGACACGATACCGCTCAACGTACGTGTCATTGACGGCCTCTTTCAGTCGACCGCCGTGCGAACAGCGGGCTTCTCGATTGTACCCTTGGCAACTACTGCGCCTGCCGTACAAGTCTTGTTTGCTACGATGATGTATATCAGCGCATTCCCCCTGACGCTGTCCATTCGCACGACCAATGTGTACGACGAGCAGGGGCGGGCCTCTGAAGGTAGCGAGGAAGATCGTCTGGCGCATCATGCAAGAAAACAGCTCGCCTTCGACATCTGGTGGGTCGTCCTCGCGATCTGGCTCATCTGCATCATCGAAAGGCATGGCATCAATGATCCCAGTCAAACCTCTGTCGGGATTTTCGCCATCGTGTTTGAAGTCATTTCCGCTTATGGCACAGTCGGACTGAGTCTGGGCGCGCCGGGCGGGACATCGCTTTCTGGCACCTTCCGTACGCTCTCCAAGCTCATCATCATTGCCGTCATGATTCGAGGTCGACACAGAGGTCTGCCCAATGCGCTCGATCGGTCTATCTTGCTGCCGGCCACCATCGAAGCACTTCGACTCGATCAAGATCAGGACGAAATGAATGGAGAATGCGATGGCTCAAACGACTCCCGGCTACTTGACGACAGCAGATCAGGCTCGTCTCGAATGAACACTGGACTCTCTCTTTAGCAATCTGAGCTAGTCTGACGCGTCCGACCCCATTGAGGCCAAAACGCTCAACACGTCTGCATCTCACTGGGCACCTCATCATGCGCACACCCGTGAGTGTAGTGCTATGCTGAGCGATGCAGCTGATGCGATTGCGCAGAGTCTGCTGCTGCTCGTCAGACGCACCAGCTCGACGTGTTCAATCGACTGCGCACATGCGAAGGCGCACCTCGAGTCTGACAGTGCAACGCTACGGACGGATCACTGCAGAGAAGACTGCCTCGCGGGCGGTACATCTGTTCAGGACACCATACAGTCCAAGCTGCTGGCATGACGCGTGCGCAAGGCGCTTAAAAGTCGACATCGATCGCGAAAGTCGCCTCATGTGCCACCGGTGTGCGACTACTTCAACTGCAAACACTTCACATCGCTCGCTTCAGAGGTTGTGTCACTCTCAACCAAGCGAGCGAGAGCTGAGACCGACAGTAGCACTATGCAGCAAAGGCCGCGCGCGTAGGCCGCAGCGTCGAGGGAGTTGTAGTCATTTTTGCAAATTCCGCGCGCTCGTCCATGCACCTTAGACCGATCTTGAGATGGCAGAGTCTGCTGGAGTCCTCCCCGTGTGGCTGCCAGCGCAGATGGGCATCAGCCGGCACGCCTTCATCGCCATTGACGGCGACCGCTACCGCCATGCTCGCACAGCGTCAGGTCCAGGTTGACATGCGAGATTTTCCGCCAGAGAGGATCCGGTCGTTCACAGTGATTGCGCACATTGATCACGGCAAGTCGACGTTGAGCGATCGCCTGCTCGAGCTCACAAAGACGATCCCCGCCATCGCTGGCTTCAGCAACTCACAAGTCCTCGACAAGCTCAAAGTCGAGCGAGAAAGAGGCATCACCGTCAAGGCCCAGTCGGCGACGATGATCCATAGACACACAGACGGTCACAGATACCTTCTCCAGCTCATAGACTCGCCCGGTCACGTTGATTTTGCATCGGAAGTCCATCGTGGCCTGTCAGCGTCGCAAGGCGCTTTGCTCCTCGTTGACGCGACTCAAGGCATACAAGCCCAGACACTCTCTGTCCTCGAAGCCGCTCAACAACGTGGTATCAGCATCCTCGGCGTGCTCAACAAGGTCGACTTAGGTCATGCCGAGCCCGCGAAAGTCGAAGCGGAAATGCGCACGCTGCTCGGCCAGTCGGATGAAGAGATATACCATGTCAGTGCTAAGACTGGTCTGGGAGTCAAAAACCTTCTGTCTGCTTGTGTAGACCATCTGCCGCCCCCGCCGCGGCTAGAAGACAATATCACGCCAAAGGCGCTCGTTTTCGACAGCTGGTACGATGGCTTCCGGGGCGTCGTCTCCTTGCTTGCCGTCAAGTCTGGCTCTTTTGCTGTCGGCGACAAGATTGCATCCTATTATACCAAGAAGACCTACACCGTCACCGACCTGGGCATCATGCATCCAGACCAAGTCAGCCTCAAGCCTGGCCAGCGATTGTCGACAGGGCAGATAGGCTGGCTGACTTGCGCAATGAAAGACCCTCTCGATGCGCAATTAGGAGACACCTTCTATCTCGCTGGACAACCTGTCGAGCCTTTCGAACAGCACAGTCCGCTCAGAAGCATGATCTTTGGCGGAATTTATTCGCAAGATTCGCGCGACTTTACACGGCTTGAAGAGTCCGTCAGGAGACTTGCCCTGACGGATCGCTCTGTGCAAGTATCGCGCGAGAGCTCACTTGCACTGGGTCAAGGCTTACGGCTCGGCTTCCTCGGTGCGCTGCACATGGACGTATTTCGCCAGCGCCTGGAAGACGAATACGATGCCGATGTCATCGTCACTAAACCTTTCACGACGGTCAAAGTCATCTACAAGAAAGGCACAGAGGAGATGATCGACAGCCCCAATGACTTTCCTGAAGTCAAGCTCATGTCCTCAGGAGGCATCATCGACCATATCGAGGAGCCAATCATTAGGGCAACGATCGTGACGCCAGACGAGTTCGTCGGACCTGTCATGGTCCTCTGCACCAATCATCGCGCTCAGCAAGACTCGATGACGTACCTTGACGCCTCTGCTTCGGCAACAGGCGAAGGACTCAGCGGTCGCCGAGTTGTCATGACCTATACTATGCCGCTCTCTTCCATTGTGACTACTTTCTACTCGAGCCTGAAAAGTATCACGAGCGGATATGCCTCTTTCGACTATGACGATGCAGGCTGGCAGGCATCTGATCTCGTCAAGTTGACTGTCTTGATCAACGCAACACCCGTCGACGCACTCGCGTTTGTCGTTCACCGATCCGAAGTCGAGCGCGAGGGCCGAGACATTGCTACTCGGCTGAGGACCGTCATACCTCGGCAACAATACGAGGTTGTCATCCAGACAGCTGTAGGCTCAAAGATTGTCGCTCGTGAGCGCATTGCTCCCCTTCGCAAAGACGTGACTGGCCATCTGTAAGCCTCCTCAGAGTCATACTCAGTAGCGCACTGACGAGCCTGTCCAGCTATGGCGGTGATATCACTCGCAGGACAAAGCTCCTTGATCAACAGAAGAAAGGAAAGAAACAGCTCAAGGCAAGGAGCGTTGGCAACGTCGTCTTGCCAAATGAGGTCTTTTCACGCGTTCTGACAAAGTAGTCGGGCTTCGAGCTCAGCCAGCAGTGGCTTGTACAAACAGAGCACAACAGTGATTGTTGATACAACATGCAAGGATGCATCAAGCCGAAAGCGCGGCGAGATTGGTGTTCTTGATGGTCAAGGTCCGACTGGCGTTGTTCACCTGAAGAGGATGTGTGTGAGCTTTGCGCGTGTGCAGCACGAGCTACCCACCTTATAGACGCCACTGAGGCGACGCGCAAGCTCAAACATATCGTTCCGCAAGGAGATGATGATGTATTGAGCTTGCTTCGAGCCATCCTTGCCAGCACGATCAGCGATCCAGTGCTACAGCCGCGTCAGCAGGCACTACATGCGCAGTGCGAAACACATACAGCTATGATCGAGACGTTTCGAAAGTCGAGTGCAGCGTCGATCTCGTCAAAGAAGTAGCATGGCGTTGGCTTGTAAGTTTGAAGAGCAAACACAAGCGCTAGAGATGACAAGGTCTTCTCGCCGCCGGACAGATTACAAATGTTCTGCCGTTGAACATCAGCTATTTGAACCGGGTAGGCCTAACGAGCTTGCCTTCCATGACTTTTTAGGTGGCATGACAGAGAAGATGATGCCTTCCGAGAACGGGTCGAGCGAATCGACTAATTCAAGCTCGGCATTTCCACCGAGTGTGATCATCTGAGGCTGGGAGTGAGTACGACCGCTTTCAACTTCGGAAGCCTGCTCACCTGGTACATCGCCTTGAGCTGATTCGATATCTGGTGGAAGCCTTCCATAAAGTCGTCAAAGCGTTGTTTGCGCATCCGTTCAAGTTCCTGCTTTGCTTCGTCGCGCTTTGTCGTAACACCGTCGAGCTCCTGTGCGCGCGTGGCGAACTCTGCCTCGCGCTTGCGATACTCCTTCAAGACCGACAGATTCGGTTTGGCATGATCGATTTGTTCTTCCAGTACCGCAATGCGTGCAATCGTGACGTTGGTCTCGATCTCGCGTAGCTCTTCCCCGCTGAGCTCGAGTAGTTCAGCTGTCTGTGCCTTTTCCGCCACTTGGTCTTCGTTCTCGTCGTCATCTGCTAGGTCATGCAGCGAAAGTCTCTGAAGCTTTGCACCGAGAGTTTCGATGAGCTTGTGGCCCTCATCGACCTTTTGCTTTGCTTTATCAATGGCGCTGTTGAGGTCGACGAGCTGTTTGGACATTCTGTTGACCTCTGCTAGCTTCGCATTGAGCTCTGTCTTCATCTTATTGAGGTCGTCGGTCTTGTCATCCAGCACAAGCCGAGCATTCTCGGTCTCCCGACGTACTGCGTCCGCCGCCTTTGTCTTTTCCGCAAGATCACGCTCGACGACCGAGAGGCCTGCCTGACAGGCCGCAATCTGCTCGTCCAAGGTACCGAGACTTTTCTCAGCTTTGCTTTGATCGCGCTCTGCTTTGCCCTTGCCGACTTCCGCCTTTGTAAGCCTTTCATTGGCGTGCTCGATTCGTTCGCGGAGATCTTGCACCTTGACTTGTTGTGTGCGCAAAGCCGTGCCACCTGCAGCGTTGATCTTCTGCTGCAGTTCTGTGATCCGCTGTTGGGCGGGCAGCACAGATGCCTCGACGGCCTCCAATTCAACCGTGAGCTTGGCAATGCTACTGTCGAGCTGCCTGATCTTTGCGCGCTCCTCAGTACTAGGCTCGACACTCGAGCTGACGCTAGAAATGCGACGTTGTGCATCGGCCAAACGCTTCTCGTTGGAGGAAGCTTCGAGTGTGATCTTGGAAATGTCAATTGCGAGTCGGGCTCTGTGTTGCTCCGAACGACTGATGCTTTCGGCGAGCTCATTCTGCTCAGCAGTGTGGCGAGACAGAGCAGCATTGGCAGCGTCTGCGTCTTGCTGCAGCTTTGCTAGAGCGGCAGGAGAGAACTCTTCGACAGGCGCGCGAGAGCTCATGGCACCGCGAGAGATACGATTCCCACCACCAGACATCGTGCCGGACGTATCGATGAGGTTACCATCGCGTGTGACCACTCTGAAGCGCTGTTTGCCAAATGCTACCAACTTTGCTTCCGCTAAGTTGCCCGCAACGAGGGTGTTGCCGAGCACTTGGAAGAAAGCAGGCGCGAAGCGCGCATTCGATGGTGTTATGAGATCGTACAACCTTTCGACACCAGCCGGCATAGATGATAGAGCAGCGGGCGGCGACATGTCCTTGTTCGATAGCTTATCGAGACAGAGGATAGTTGCTCTGCCGATCTGTGTGCGATGAAGATGCTCGAGGCAAGCCTGAGCGGTCTCGACCTTGTCACAGACGAGATTGTCAAGCCCAGGAGCAGCAGTAGATATGGCGACATCGTACTTATCGTCTATCCGGCCGAGATCACCGAGACGGCCATGAAAGCCAGGCAGTCTGCCTTGATCGCGCAGCTTCAACAAGCTCTGCAATACCGCGCCGCGACTTGTTCGAGCAGTTCCAGATGACTTGGCTTCCTCTGATCTGCTTTGGGCCGCGCTGGCTTCCAATCTCACAGTTGTGGCACTCGCTGCTAATGATCTCTGGCGCTCGTTAAGCGTAGCCAGCTCGTCGTCGAGCTTCGTCTTATTCTTGATGAGATCAGACAGCGTTTTCTGAGCCGTTGCGCTTTCCGAGGCAACCCTTGCCAGTCGCGCTTGAGCGTCCGCAAGCTCCTTTGCAGCTGTCTCGCCGGCTTCGAGGAGCATAGCGCGTTCGCCCCTGACGGAATCGACAGCGATCTGCTTTTCGAGAACACGCGCAGTCAGCGGTTCCAAACCGCGCTGTTCTTGCTGTATTGCGAGCGTAAATGCCTCAGTCTTGCCTTTGAGGCTCTCTTGCACCGCTTCTAGCTTGATCTCTTCAGAGGCGATACGTGTCTCCAGCTCTTCAATCTCGCGGGAGATGATCTGTATTTCCTCTGAGAAGTTCTTGCCGGCTGTTGTGGATTCGCGGAGTGTCTTTCTGCTTTCGTCTATGCTCTTTGAAAGTTTCTTGAGTTTCGTGGAGGCGTGCTTCTTCTGTTCGACCAGCTGGACTTCCTCCCGTTCTAGCTGACCTAAAGATTGAACAAGCTCCTTTGTAAGGCTCTCTACTTCGGCATATTCTTTCGCAATCTCATCGTATTCGGTCTGTCGTGCTTGAGCTTCGTCCCGAATACCTTGCTGTCGCGCATCCTCTGCAGCGAGTCGCTCTTTCGCTGCCGCCTGCGTACTCCATCAGCTCATAAATCAGACAGGCGTGACAGACGAACGAGCTCTGTCTGGGCATTGTCCGCGTGTCCTCGTGCATCCAATCGCTGACGCTGCCAGAGACGATTCTGCAACTGAGCCAGCTCGTTCTGCGCAAGCAGGAAAGCATCCGCTTCCTTCTTGCGAGCCTGCAAACAGATGCTGGGGTGAGCTCTATTATGAAGCATGGCAGCTTATTCGTACACCCAGGGCTGACTTTTCGCGTTCGACGAGCTTGAGACGGTTGATCTTTTCGCCACGCTCCTCGTTCAAGCTGTCGACTTCAGCCTGCGCTTTGTCGAGGGTTTCTTTGTACTGTCAAGGCAAGATCGATGAGTTCTCGGGCTCATATAAAGTCAGCACGACGCACGTTGGATGTGCCGATAATATCTTCTAGATATTCGAGCAGGCCATCCTCGTGCTCGTTGGGTGCCTTTGGCTTCATCTGCGCAATACTCTCGACTTCGCCCTGTCGTCAGCGTTAGCATCATATGCCAGTGTACTGCAAACACCGACTTGTAAGATGAGGAAGCGCTTGTGGTCGAGATCGATGCCTTTGGCCTTGAGCAATGTGGTGACTTGGGAGAAACTGCTGGTCTTGCCATTGAGGACGTACTTGCTCGTGTTGTTCCTGCACAATGTTTAACCCGTAAGCGTTGTGGTAGCGCATCGTCTTGGAGCTCGCCTGAGAGCCTCTCGCATGACGATAATGTCTGAATTGGGTATCGTGTGAAAGGCATCCGGACCGCGATGAGGCAAGTCAATGATAGAGCGAAAATGAACTGTCACGCTGCACGAGGGAAGGTTCTCGCGTCCCTCGGAGTTGTGTATCAGCTCGCTCAGCTGCAAACGATCTTAGAGTCCAACTTTCGCACGGGCAGAGCGCCAAGATGGGGCGTACTTTGGCCTGACGCATCTTGCTAGCTCGGTAGCCGAACACAAAGAGAAGGGCATCGATGGTATTGCTCTTGCCTGAACCATTGGGACCGACGATACTCGAAAAGCTCTGTGTGTAGTCCAGACGCAGGTCGTGAGCTATGCCAGCTTGTCTAGCAAAGCGGATGGCCGACCTTGTGAAAGGGACCAATCTCCTGTGTACCCGCGTAGGACTTGAAGTCGTGCAGTACAAGCTTGTGGATAACCAGCCGACTGTCGTTCTTGGCTATGAGCGCTTCAGTCTGAGCAGCCGAGACGGCAGAATGTGACAGAGGTTGTTGTGCCTTGCTTGGGCTCTGCGGTAGCAGGCTGGCCTTGCTGGGCGACATGGGCAGCCTTGGCTTCAGAGCCTGTTCAGGTGATCGAACGGCCGCCATGCGCTTGCCGCTGACCGCTGCTCAGCCTTCTTCTGCTGTAGGTACTGTACTTGGCTGATGAGCGATGAGCGCCCAGTTTTGGAATGTCAAACTCGACGCGTCGCGTGCTGCAGGCCATGCCTTGCCGGCTATGACTGACAACGTGTCCGGCGATGCTACAACAGCAAGTCAAGAGGCTACAGTCTAGCAGGCGCGCCGGCAGGAGTCTGCCTGGACACCATCGAGCCAACGGAAGCGATAGCAGGACCGCCCGCGATGGATGTGTCGGGTTGCGTGAGCACAGAGGGGCTCGACATGTCATGCTGACCTGCTTCCCACTGTCGGAAGGCCATCGTACTCGGAGCGACGCCAAAAGTGGCAGGAACGTCCAAGTTGAGCTCGCCGGAGACGATGACGCGTATGAGCGAGAAGTGATGGACTGAGATGCGATCCATCGTTAGCTCGGTACCTGCTTGTAGAATCAGGAGTAGACTCACTGGCATGCAAGGAGCAGAACCACAACTGAGCGACCACCATACGATCAGCACGAGCGAGACTTCACTGAGCAACCTGCCACGACGGACCTCTCTGGCAAAGTTGGTGTCGAATTCTTGAGGAAACGGCGTGAGCGCAGAGAGACGGAATCTGCGTGTCATGATCTTCTCGGCTTGTCTGGACCGTCCCTTCAACCGGTCATCGAGTCCTTTGAGCTTGCTCAGTGATTCCGATCGAGAGGTCTCCATGGGTACATTGCGACCGCGTGCGTCGTAGTTGAGCAGGTCATTGGGATCATCGAGTGCAAGCAGCAAGAGATTGAAATGATCGTAGATGTGTCTGCCACAGCCCGTCCATCAGCTCTGCGCATCGCATAGCATCACGAGCAGCCCACCGCAAGTGCTTGCCGACCGTCGAGCCCGGAATATGTGAGGAGACGAATTGCATGGCTTCGTCCGTCTGTACTGACCGCTCGAGCAAGTCTTGCGCTTGCTCGACCAGAGCCATCGCTACTGCGAACATCTGGTGCGCACCCTCTACGTCGGCCATGATGGATCGCCGACCTACGCTTTGGCTCCCTCCTCACAGCTCGCCGGCCTCACAGAAATCTCTTGGATCTCTCCGCGACTTTGCACGAGTCGCCACAATAGACAGACACGTACACGGTGACATCAACCAGCAGCACCCGACTCACGATAGCAACCTACGCCAGCCCGAAACAGGCTTGTTGCGCTTGGCCGGCCTGGTCTCTGACTGGCTCGTCGTCAGCTGTTGAAGGCTCCTCTTGCGCTTGACACTCGCAAAGCGCGGTCGCGTGCGAGTATAGATAGCCGGCTCTTCCGCTGTCTTCTGACCTATGCCGAGCTCATCTCCGGTTGGGATGTCCGGCTTGACATCTTCCTCTTCTTCGACATCCCGTGTCGCCTCGATCGAGACCGCAAGCGGCACTGGCGCGGAAACGAGCTCGCATTGGCCCTCGCGAACGAGATCGAGTCCGACAACCCGGATGAGCGCCATGAGGACATCCGGTTCGAGTATCGCAGGTATACTGACGTGCTCGGTAGGCTCGCTCAGATCATGCGGATAGTCTGGCAGCGCGATGGGCTGTCCGTAGGAATCGTCATCGACTTCGCCCAGGTCTTCCATATCGTCTTCCGTGAGATCCTTGCCGGCGATCGAGCAAAAAGGCACAAGAAAGATGTAGTGCGATCCATATTCGTCCATATGTCCCAGACGGTGGTAAGGACACCTTGAGCGAGTCATGTGTGTCGAAGTGGTAGGTGCCCCGTGGAAAGACGCTGCAGACACGTTGCCATGCTGGTGACGGCGACGCATGCTGGGCGACTCGAGCACAGACGGCTCGCGGGATTGGATACGCTGGATGCTTGGCGATCTCTTCGGCGTTGCGCTTCGCCTCGGCGTGACGCTGCGTCTAGGCGTACTGTCGCGGATCGGCGTCGATTCCTGTCGAGATGGCTGCCTGCTGACTGCTGTCAAAGGATCGACAGCATCTTCTAGGAATTTCGTCGGCTTCCTTGGCCTAGAGGACCGTCTCACTGGTTCGTCCGGAAGATCCTCTCGTGTCTCAGCAGCAGATAATACGCTGTCCTCGCTGCGACTGCGTAGTCGGGCGCTCCGTCTTTCTGGCGATCCGACAGAAACGGGCGTGTCTGGCTCGATCTCTGGCTTCTGCTCCTGCACAGGCGCAGGAGCAGCATGAAGATCGATAGGTATCTCCTCAACGATGATATCCGCGTCTGCTTCGCCATTCACAGTCGGAAAGTGTACTTCCCTCGCAGAGCGATCATCTGGGTCAGACGCCTCTGCTTGCTTGAACGGTTTGAGGAAGCCGAAGACGCGTTTGATAGAAGGTAAGCCAATCCGGTGGCGATGCGCACTCCTCACTACCTGGTCGAAGAGCGGCAGAGCGGCGGGCGATTGCTGATCAACTTCTTCAGCAGTCAGTTGCTTTGGCGCTAATTGCATATTTTCGGGCACAGCCTCGGCTTCATCGGGTGCGTCTGACTCGTCCGCCATCTCACGGGTTTCGAGAGATGTTGCCGAGGAGCTCTTGCCAGTCTGAGAGCTGTCAGCGGAAGTAGGCTTGTTGTCCTCAGATTTCACAGCGTGAGGCTGAGCAAAATCGACGGCAAGTGCTGGTGCATCGGCAGTATGACTCTCTACATCTGCTGATGAGTCCGTATTTGCGTCAACTAGCGCATTTGCAGAGTCGGTTGAGTCGTCCATGCCCTGAACTTCTTTAGAAACGTCCGGCGGTTGATCCGATCCCATCGTCTCAGGAGCACCCATTTGTGGTCCAACTTCATCAACTTGCACACTGTCTGTGGGTAGCTTGACGTCCTCGTCGGCTTTCATCCGGTCAGCTTGCTGAGCGTCAATTGAGGTATCAGCGGCCAAGCCGTGAGCTTTGACCGCTTCTACGGATGACTTGTCGTTCGCAAACGCTGGGCTCTCTTGCGAAGCTTGTCCTACATCAGCAACGGGTGTGTTGCCGCGTTCGATCGTCGTTGCACGCGTTTCTGGCGCAAACGTATACAAGCGAGCGTCGACGACAGGCAGAACATCCGTTTCAGTTCTTGTCGGCACAGGCTCGTCCTGCAAGTGATTCGAATGGTCCTTCGGATCAGCGGTCGTTGGAGGCTGCTCTGCGGCCGTCGGATCGATACCGAAAGCTGATGACAGATGACTCTTGAAGTCAATGCGCGCCTCCGCAGCTGTACTCTCGGGCATAGGCGCGGATTCAGGAGCCTGTGCAGAGGGCAATGTCAGCGTTGACGGGTGAGAATTGATCTGACACACCTCTTCGGGAGCAAGCTCGCCTCCGGTCTCTATCGAGTCGGCATTCGCAGATTGATATGCTCGTGAGTCATCAGTGGCCGACATCGTGTCTTGAAGGGTGGCCTCGTCTGCGATCGCAGAAGACTTTGTCTCTGCCAGCACATGGACAGGCATTTCTGGGGAATGATGAAGACCCATCAGCTCGGGGATCGGGGAGCGACTCCTCGCACACCTTCGGCATTTGCTTTGACGCGTCCTGCGAGCGACGTCATTGCATCTTCTCCCTCTTCCTCGATCTCTTCTGTTGTATCGATCGCCTCATTGACGGGTCTGAGCGGTTTGCTGGTCTGGCTGCGATCTTCGACAGGCGATAATGACGGCGATGACGGTGTCTGCGATGCCTTGGCGAAAGTAGCGCGACGTCTCCTGCCCTGCTCATCATCGCTATCGCCCAGTAGATTCTCTGCTTCTTCATCGAGACCGCTCCTTATGCGTGAGAAAGGTGTGACCTCTTCTTTCATATGCTTCGACATCGCTGCTTGTAGAGGCCGCTCATTGTATGAAGGCTCGTCCGGGTCAAACAGATCGTTATCGTCTTCGACAGATGGCTCTTGCATAGCCTCTGACGATGTCTCTTCGTCGTAGTCATCATTCCCTTCATCTATACGCCGAATAGCAGGCGGGGAAGCCGAGCGTGGACTGGGTTGCTGCAAAGTGGAGCTAGGCTGAGTGATCGCCTGCACCGTCGCAGCCGCTGCAGCAACTTCTGCTCGCTCGTCCGTGTCCGATGCCTGAGTTGGCTCGTCTTGAATGTACTGGTACATATCATCGTCTTCGTCCTCGTTTGCGTCAGAATGATTTTCTTGGCTGCCTTGCTCCTCGGATGCTTCAGACACGGCGCGACGGCGTCGTTGGAGCATGGCTTGTCTGTAAGCGGCCCGACGGCGACGGTCGCGCTGATAGTGGTCGAGCGTATATGATGAGGGTCCTACAAGAGGCACAGAAGCCGATGAGGCGGGCGAGACGGCATCCTCAAAGTCGGCAACATCGGCCGCTTCTTCCGACTCGGCGTCCCCTGCCTCATCGTCCTCGGCCAAATCATCTCGATGCTCTGGCGGCGGTGAGCCCTGTTGAAGTGTCGTATAGGCATTGATATGGTCAGTGAGCGCATCGTGCTGCGCGACGGGATCGTCTTGCTCGCTCAGCGGGGTCAGAGGCTCCACTTCCTCTCTTGGAGCGACCGCCAAGTGGATCATAGCGTCGTCATCTTCCTCTTCACGGTCTGAGACGGGCGGACTAGGCAGCATAGTCCTGCAAAAAGGCTCAGTAGGTCTCGTGCGAGAAGCTGGTCGGCTTACTGCTCCTGCTCGATCGGGTCATGTTCGATAAGGTGAGGCAAGGTGGTATCTGTGACGTCCGTATCGACGAGAGAGGGGTCGAGCAGACTGGGATCAATTTCTATGTCGTAGGTAGGATGTGCGAGTGTACGCTGTGCGATGACAGGAAGAGGCTCAGGTGTCTCGTCGTCTGTCACCACGTCCTCGTCATCGTCGACTTCCTCTTGATCCCCCTCATCTCGATCTTCATCATCTTCCTCGTCTTCGTCGGGCTCCTCTTCCTCGTCTTCGTCCTCTGCTTCATCATCGTCGTCCGATGCGCTGTCTGCGCTAGACGATCCGAGATCGATCGCATCTTGTTCTGTGGCTCCGCCGGCTAGAGCACGGCGCGCTACCGCAGTGTAGTCGAGCTCTTCGCTCTCCGCGCTGGCCTCAGTAGATCCGTCATCAAGGGATGCTTCGAGTCCGCTTTCGCGCTCAGAGGTTGAGTCGCGTTTGCTTTCGTCGTCTTGGGGTTCACTGTGCTCAAGAACGACTGCTGTCTCCTCGAGACTGCGTGGCGAGGCTTGCTCGGAAGTAGCAGCTCGAGATCCCTCCTCTGTCTCGCCTGCTTCGTCTAGAAACAGATCAACTTCCGCAGATTCACTGAAGGGGTCGAGCTCTGGCTCCTCCGCTTCCTCGTAGGACGCGTGCTCGTCTTGCTCTACCTCACTATCGTGGCCATGTATAGACGTCGCATCTTCATGCGTCGGCGTGTCAGCATCGCCATCCTGAGCTTCGAGGGTCGCGAGACTCGGCCAGTCGAGCTTAGCAGGTCGGGGCAGGCTTGGCTTGGGTCTACGCTCAGCTAGAGGGATCTCAAAGTCGAGTGCTCGCCTTATGCGAGTACTGATGTCGTCTACAAAGTCATCAAAGGCTGCAGCAGGCAGACGCTCGTAGGGATTTGGCCGTCCGTCGAGCTTAACAGGGTGCTTAGCTCTTGAGTGTCGTCTGGCAGGCGGAACAGCTGAGCCATTGGCCAGCATGACCGTTTGTGGTCACTGCTGAGCGATGTGGAGGTCTCTATCGGCTTGGAAGGGTCATTGGTAGTGCTGGGCTGCTTGCTCGCTGTCGACCAATAGCCGCCGTCGATGATTTATCGCGAGTCAATCTCGGTTAAAACGTGCTGCTCTGCCTGTCAGAGCAATCAAGGGCAAGTCGATCTTCAAGGGTCGTGCAGCCATACGCAAGACTCGGGACACCGTCCGACAGTCCTGATTTCACACTCTCACTGGGACCGGGGAATGAGCCAGGATGACACGGCGCGACAGTCTCTCGAAGTGCAGATTGCCGCCCCGCTAGCATCCAGTGAAGCTGTCCAGTCTGAGCCCGTGCCTGTCACTGCCCCAGCGAAGACCGTCGATCAGTCTGAACCAAGACTAGGCTCTGTGGGACCAGCGCCAGTCGCGATCGCGCCTCTTGACTCCACCAGCGCGACAGAACGGCTAGAGCCGCCAACGAACTCGGAGCCCATTGACACCTCTCCCCTTGACCCAAGCTCGACGCAACATGAGACTAGCGTCGGACAAGCCGAGCAAGATGCTGTGCCCAGCTTGTCAGCAATGCCAGCGCAGGCAGACGCGCAAGAAGCTACTACACTGCCAACAGGAGGCGAGACAAATGTTAGCGAAAGAATGGAGCACGCTGCGAGTGCTACGCAGCCGGCGATCGAAGCGGCTGCTCAGACAGCAGCAGGAGACCCTGTTGCCTCGAAAGCCGACCAGCCAGACGCGTCTCTTACCGCGGAGAGCTCGAGTACTGATCCGTCCTCAATGTCAGCCTCAGAGCCGCTTACCTCGGAGGCGTTGCAAAGGCTACCCTCCATTTCGGCTTCCAGCGTCGGTGACCTTGCACGGCCTGATACGCCCACCTCGCTTGCTGCGAGCGATAAGGACAGACCTCCGCTCGCTACTGCCAATTCTGGCGCGTTCACCGCTAAAAAGACGTTTTCTAGCAACCTCAGCGTCAATCGCAAATTCCTCGAGAAGCGAGTGCATACCCATGCAATGTGTCCCCGCTGACATTTTTCGTTATAGAGCGAGCAGCGCCGTGCCGGACGGTAAGCCTGCGGCTAGTACCACCGTGCGATCGGCCCCCATAGGACTGGGGGCTGCGGCGGCCAGTCGAGCGTCAACAGGCGCAGCCGTCTCGCCCGGTATCAGCAGTGCAGCCTCGCCTCTTCCGCCCGGACCGCGACTGCTGACGGGCAAAGTCGCGCCTACCGCAGCTGTCATGCCTCCCGCAGGAAGTGCGGGTGCAACATGGGGCAAAGCGGGCTCGCCTGGCATGACAGAACGACCTTCTCCCTTTGCAAATTTCGGCAAAGGTCCTCTGCCGCCTTTTGCCCATCGCTCTCCTGCCGAGAGGCCAGGCGCATGGACTCGTGCAGGACCCGGAGGTCCCAACAAGCCTTCGCAGGGGTTCAGTGCGGAGCGCGACTTCCCCAGCATGGCAGAAGCCGCAAGGAGTACGTTTGACTGTGACACACTAGGCTGCATTCTGAGGAGACTGGCTCGTACAGGCAAGCTGCTGAAAGCGCAAGCGCAACAAGCAGGGGTAGCTAAGGAGAAAGCGAATCAACAAGCTGCAGCAGCCGCATCCGCAGCCTACAATCAGCATCTGCTAGAAGGCCTTGACGCTTTCCGCGGCACTCATCTTGACCCGAACGCTGTACATTGGGACGAGGTACGAACTTCCGTCAGATAAGCGTCACCCGCGCTGATGCGATGGCATGATGGTTACAGGAGGAAGACGACGGCGATTATTACGACGATGTGATTGATTTTGGCGACGGCAAGCAGTATACGATCTCGTCTGCTACTGAGCCAGAAGCCATACACAATCTCGCCTCAGCACTCGCAAATCAAGATCAGGAGGCGGCAACAGCCGCAGCTGCTGCGTTTGAGTCGCGGCCTGCTTCGGCGAGACCGCCAGCGAGCGAGTGGGACCGTGGGGCAGGACCTGCTGCACGCGAACAAGCGAACCAGAAGACTCTGTTCAACGAGCGCCTGGGTCGCTTCGAGCCTTACGCTGGCAAGCAAAGTAAGAAGGATGCACCTGCGAGTGCGACAGAGCCAACGATCTTACCCCGAAGCAAGGGTGACGCTCCAGATGCTGGCCAAGCGAACCCGGCGAGGCCCCCGAAAAGCGCCCGAGCTGCTTCTGGCTCCAGAGAGACTCAGACAGAGCCAAATCGGCCTCGCAAAGAGTCGGCTACAAGACCACCCCAGTCGAAGCCGGCAGCCGCTTCTGCCCCACTCCATAAACCTATCGCATTGCCTGCCATCACGCCACCCACGCTTTTGCAGTCCAGTGCAACGACCGTACCGCTAGCATGGTCCGCGCCAGCCGAGTCTGCAGCCAAAGTAAGCGCCACTCAGTCGAATGTCGATACTGCCTCCGCTGCGCCGACAAGAGATATCGAAGAGATGCAGCGGCAAGAGATGATGTCAGCTGCCGATCGCGCGAAGAAGCGAAGACAGGAGGAAGAAGCGATACGACAGGCCGAGATTGCACGAGCACAGAAGCGCGCTGCAGAGATCGAGCTCAAGATGGCTGCTGATCGACCCAAGCAGGCCCCAGCGGCAGCCATCAAGCCGCCAGATAGCCAGCCGGCGATCATCAAGCCGGTCGCGATATTGCATAAGCCAAATGAGCGCACGAAGGAGGCTCGCAGGCCTTTGCCGACGCAGGATGAGGTCGCGCTGCAGGCCAAGCAGCAAAAGAGTGACGCAGCAGCCGCACGGAAAGCAGCAAAAGCGAGCGAAAGTGCAGAGCCTGCTCAACAGTCTACAGACAAGGCCGTCTCTGGTCCTCAAGATAAATCGCCTGATGATCGGCAATGGCGACGAGCGGAGCTGACAACGACGCCGGACGCGGTGCCAACGGTACGGATGCGGGGCTCCAAGGAATCTGCTGCAAAAGCGCAGACTGTAGCAAAGCAAAGCTTTGCGAAGCCATCCGAGCCTTCGTCTATCGACGTAACTATGTCACGCGTCCAAGGCGCCCTGAACGCGGCTGAGCTGAGTAATGCTGCTAGCAAAGAAGCTCGAGCAGGTAGCAGAGGCAAAAGGATGGCCGCATCGGAAGAGCGGCAAGCCCGGCCCCAGCTACCCTCGACGCCTAGCTTCAGATCCGAAGATGCTTCCTTTACGTCTCGGCAGCTCAGGTCGCCGTCGCCTCGGCCGGCATGGAATCGCTATACTGTCAAGCTCAGCAGAACCAATCCCAGGCGGCCAGCTTCAGCAGCACAGAAGCAAGCTATGCTCCAATCGCGACCGGGACGTGTAGTGGGCGTATATACATGGCACGGTGATACTGGTGATCGCTTCGCCGGTAGTGAGCGGCGTCTCTTCTGGGTAATGCCAGGCACCTTAGAGGTCAAACTAGCCAAACGTAGCAAGCCCGCACGACCTGCCTCGTTCCTCAGTAAGCCGGAGAGCTGGCCAGCTCACGAATTGCGCACTATCTCAACGGACAACAGTCGTTCCGCGGCAGTCTCATCTTGGCGACAGACGCCAAAACCTTCGCCGGCAGTCGAGGAGACTGCACAGACTCTGCCAGCCATTGAAGAGATCATGCTTGAAGAGCAAATGTTGCCTGCGCCCATCGTCAGCTTGCCCAGCCCCAACAAGGATCGCAAGGCGCGGCGCGTCGTTACTGCGCCCACCGCGTCAGGCCAGCGGGCGATCGTCATCGATCTCGGTGGCGATCGCAGGAAGGCTGCTGCAGTGTCGCCGAGCGAATCACAGGCCCTCGAGAACGAGAACACCGATTCTTTGCCTGCCATGGCACCCTCAGCGCGAATTAATGGACTGCCAGACCTCGCAGCACCAGCTCAGGTATGTCTGCTCACCTTATCAAGTGCTTAGCTGATATACTTTTCAGACCGAAGCCAATGCGCAGGAACATCTAGCGCGGACAAGTACGCCACCCGTACTTCCGCCCACAGCAGCAATCGCACCAGCACCTTGGACGAAAGATCAGCCTGCGATATCTGTGGCTGATCCTGCGCTTAAAAATGTCTGGTCGAAGCCTGTCGAGGAAGTCGGTCTGCTTTCAAAGCCCAGCAATTCACTGGAGGGGCTCGCAGACGACTTTCCCGCGGCGCTGCCATCGTCCGCTAATGAGCTGAAGCTTGACGATGGGCAGTCAGAAGCTTCGCCGGTGCTAACGCGCGACGTCTTGCGTCCAAAGCCGACAGCGACCGCTCAAATGAGTGCGCTTACGCCATTGCCGGTCGATATGAGCAGCTTAGCCGCGGGCAGCAATCCGTACATGGCTACAGCAGCGGCTGGCGCTTACAGCGGGCCGAATGGCTATGGCTACGGCTATCCGAGCAGCCATGTGCCGACGTCGCAGCTCGTCATAAACCAAGGCTATGGATATTTGCCCATGCAGAACGCAGCGGCGATGCAAAGCGCTGCAGCGCAAGGCATGTGGTCACAAGGTCACTATGGCGGCTATCCTGCTGGACGACTTGCTGGAAGCGACTACTCCTCGGCGTCTTATCTGAGCTCACCCCTTTCGCCGGGCATGTCCGTACTGAGCACGCCAGCGAGTTTTCGCGGGCCAAATCGCGCCGTCACCGGCGGTAGGGAAAGCATGAGCTATGTACAGAGGCAGCAAGAGGCTCAAATCAGATATGGATCATCGCCTTATGCTAATGGCGGACTCGATTACGGGGCGCCCGGCCGACCGCAACAGCTGCAACAGCAACAGCAGATGCTGCGCGCCGTGTCACATGCTGCGCCAGGTGTTGGCATGCCCGCTTATGCGGCTCAATCGCCGATATATCCAGCGATGTACCCTGCAGGCGCGACGCCTGGCAATGCGTCGACTTACGGCGCACCACTGAGCGCGGAAGCGGTCGCAGCTGCGAAAGCGAGATACCCTTCGAGCATGTATCCGGGTGGCTCGCAGACCGATCCTCGATGGTAGACAGACCACGGGAATGCTACGTAATGTCCTCCTGTTTGTATGCTGAAACGAGTCGTTGTACAACATGAACAGTGTTTTTACCAACAGTAGATGCGCTCATGCATGTCTAATCGATGCTCATACGTCCGATACTGATCGAGCTGCCCAGATGATTGAATCGACCGTCTAATTCGGTCTTGTCTGCCACTGGCTTCCGACTCGTCACTGTCTCGTGGCTTGAGTCTGAGGATTGCTCGGAGCGCATACGACTTACTGTGCTGCTTCAATCCGCGATCAAAGTTGCCCAGGCAGATGATCGCGACGGCAAAGGTAGCACATAGCAACACGAGCGAGAAGGCGGCTGCATGCGGCTCAGTCTTTGCGCGAATCCAATGCCTTGTGAAGCTTACAGAATACCGTCAAGGATTTGAAGACGAGGTGATACGCGCCAGCCTTGCCTTGATAGATTCTATAGAGCTGCGAAACCGAAGGCCAGTCAGACTTGTGGGGATACGAACGAGCGCAAACGCACCTTGAAGGTAAAGTAGGCTCCACCAACGACACACCAGCCGATGAAAGCCGTCATCAGCCACCTGACCTCATTCCGGACTGCATAATAGGCCGACACGAGGACGGCGAGCGTGAGTGGCGCAGCTGCGAGAGTGAGCCATCGTTCTATGTCGCCTTGGTTGAGGACGAGGAGGACGAATTGCAAGGAGAAGCAGACGAAGAAGAAGTAGTCGAATTTGAGGATGCAGATGAAGACTATCAGCCGGTAAGCACGGTGGCCTATGACCAACAGAAGAGCACTGAAGCCACCTTGGTAATGCAGGAACATCTTCTTGACGCGACGGTCTGCTCCTATCTGCTTGTAGACTTGCCAGCCGAATTCGCGGTAAAGCTTCCACGAGAGCGACAGAAAGATGATCTCGGTCACTGAGATGACGCTGTCCGTCTGTGTGAGCTGAGCCTCAGGGTGCAAGCACGATGTTACGCACATGGGTATGACGTTGATGAGCACGTTCAGTTGCTTGTTGATGCTCGTGAAAGCCTGCCTTATCTCTTGAATCTGTCATGACAGTGTGAGACATCCTCCTGTAGCGCGTGCGGCAAAGGCACGCGCCTGTATGATAGCGTAGAGCAGGAAGAGCGCATTGAAGAGACAGAGCCCGATGATCTGGATAGTGTTCTTATTCTGTATGGCATCTATCGATAGCGCAACTTGGAAAATGCTGCAACAACGGCGCTCAGAGGGAGCCGCCAGACGCGGGTCAATTCAAGCCTACTGGGCCAGCACAAAGATGCTCAAGTAGACCGGCAGAGCTGATCGCTCGCTGACGGGATCGCTGCCTGACACGAGACCGTGCAGACCTTCGAAAGTGTCGAGCAAGGCTGCCTCTATGCCTGTGCGTTGTTCGCGGTGAGCATGTCAAACGTCCTGAGCGCCGGCCAAATAGCTTGCCTATATCGATGGTCGACTCTAGTAGGGTCGTCAGCAGAAAGAGCTGCGTGTAGATGGTCTGGGGCAGCCACTGACAATGACAGCTTGTCAGGTCAGAAGGCTGTGTATTGACTTTTTGCGCGTAGCACTGACGCTTGTCCAGCCAGATTGCGAGAGCTTGTCCTTTGTCGCTTGACTGAACATGTTCTCTCACAAACTACAGCAGTGCCAGAGCTTGAAGCTCATCAAGCGGTCGAGAGGCCGTTGCAATGTCAATCCACCTCGAAGCCTCGAGCTCGTGGCGAAGGCGACGCGTTTCGTGGAGCCGAAGATGTCAACGCGCGACATGTGGGGAGATTAACCCACCAGGCAAGCGCTTGCCATGGCTCGACCTGGGCCAACGAAACGCCCGAGGCCGACTGTCGAGCCTGATGCTCAGACGGAGCCAGACGAAGAGGATTCGTGCGAAGCCGAGGGCCCAGAAGACGACGAAATTGGCGATTTAAGCAATGCCGTCTGGGCAATCATCGGTAAGCTCGAGTGGCTCACGCGAGCACAAGTAGAGAAAGCCGTCAGCTTTGCCAATGCGTCAGTGTCAAGTCATACGTGGCCCAGAAGGGGGATTTGACGCGCGTCTGCAGTACGCTCGAAGCGAACATTTCGTCTCTGACGAGTCATGTCTTGCTCAGTCGACGTGCATCTTCACGTGAGCTCGACCTACTCCGGCGCTCATTCGCCGAATTCACGTTTTCGGAAGACGAGTTCTGCGCTCTCTTTGCCATCACGCAAGATGTTCATGGCGCGAGGCGATCACAGTCCCCCGAAGTCATACCCGTTGATCCTGCCTTGTCGACCGTAGGACAGTCCGACAAGCACCAAGGGTCACACTCGCCCGTGAACGCGCCAGCCTCACCCTTCGAGGATTTGGCATCACCTGAAGATGCGCTACAAGCGCCGTCGAGTGCGCTCGAGCGCGTCGTGCGCACATCAAGCAATGGCCATCAGCTCGTCCGATTGCTCCAAGACTCGCCTGGATTGCAACATCTGCTCGATATCGAGTTCGAGCGGCAAGAAAGTGTTCACAAGACTGCGTTAGCGGAACTATCGGCGCAGTTCGAGGCAAAGCAGACCGAGCTGCAGCAAATGGTCGCACAACTCGTTCAGCACATCGCAGACCATTCTACGGTGCCCTACACGCCGCCGCACATCCCCGGTCGGGAATCACTAGACGGCATGCTGACGAACACGCACAACAAGCTCAAGAGCAAGCTCTACGCCAAAGTAAAACTCGACCCTGCTGCTGCCGCCATGCGCATGCTCCCTGCACCTGTCGAAGATGATGCAAGCGACGAGAAGAAAGCGTACCAGCAAAAGGTCAAAGATGCCGTGCTCGGACGGTACGGTTGCAAACTGCTTGGTGTTCCGCTCTTGTGGTCAGACGAAGTTCTAGGCGGCTGCTGGATTCCGCGCTATGAGTTTCAGCCGGTCCAGACGATCAGAGATGTCTGGGAGGAGCATCACAATGGGCTGAATGGCCTGATATCGATCAGAGAGCTCGAAAGAGATTGGAAGTCGCATTGGAAGTTCAACGAGGGGCGGATGAAGACGGAGCATTCTCGCAGGCGCCATATAGTGAATTATATGACCAAGTCTCTAGCGGCCGGGGTGCCGATGGAGGAAGCCCTTTCGACGCTCGAGGCTGATTTCCCACCGGGCACCTCACTCAGGACGGTCTACGATACGCTGAAGCAGCGCAAATTCTCTGCACTGCCCACGCAAGTCAATCCGCTTCGACCGGCCAAGTCAGATGAGTCATAGATGACATGCGATGTACTGTTGTTGACAACAAAACAAGGGACCTGCTACTTCTGCTCCATCAAGCTGCGAGCTCTTCTACATGGGGCACAGATTCCTCTTGCATCCTCCTGACGAGCTCGCGCATCATGTCGGGCGCATTCTCGTACTCCTTTGCTCGGAGTGCGAGCGTATATCGCGCATCTTCTAGCTTGCGCAGCGATTGGCCGGTCACGCTGAGCTTGCGGTACATGTGAGGCACATGAGCCGCGAGTGGCTCGGTGGCATTCTTGAGGGCCCGAACGGCTAGCTCTGCTTCGGCCAGCGCGTTCCTGTGCATGCTCAGACCGACAGAACTGATGCCGAGCCGCATGAGTTCGCCTGTCAGGTCTGCTAGTCCGAGCAGATAGTCTGCTTCTGTCAACCTGATACTGCGCTCCTGCAGGAGTTGTGAGGCTTGTGCAAAGGTGATGATCGATCGCTCTGGGCCGAGGTAGTGCATGAAGGAGACCGCCTCGAGCTGCAGACTGGCGTCAGCGCATAGCATGCAAGAGGCAGGAGAGACGCACAAACTCTTGTATGCCTCCTGTGATGTTGCGCTGGTACCTGCCATTGTGGCTTCAACAGGGGCACACATGATTGCAGAGAAAGAGCCAATGCACCTCCAGAAATTGCCATCCTGGAGCTGAGGTGCGATCGACTCGAGCAGTTTCAGGATCTCTGTCTGCTTGACCTGCGCTTCGGTGAGGATGGATGCCGCTTTGCCGGGCTGGCCGGTCCGGTGAAGATGAAAGATCAACTTTTTGGAGAGAGCAGTCACATCTCTCGAGACTTTGATGATCGCCTCTCTCCGGTCGTGGTGCTCGTCGAGCTCCTCTCGGAACGATCGAAAAGCAGTCGTGATGTCATCTGCACGGCTCATTGCCTTGGAATTGCTTCGATGAGTGAGTTGTCCACGACGAGTCGAACAGGACACGATCGCGTCGGCCTTTACTCACTCCACGACCTCCACAGCCTTGCGACGACGGTTGCATCCTAGCCGAGCGCTGCCTCTTGTCGGGGAACGAAGCAAGCGAGTCGCTCGCGCGAGCCAGTCAGGGCAAGCAAGTCTACATGGCCTTGCGCGCAGAAGGCAGTCAGAGGCGACTCAGGATAGGTTTTGTCCATCCAGATTTAGGCATAGGCGGCGCCGAACGACTCGTCGTCGACGCTGCACTGGGGCTGCAAGAGGCCGGTCACATCGTCGAGATCTTCACGTCCCACCATGATCCTTCTCGCTCGTTTGCAGAGACACACGATGGTGAGCAAGCATCTTTGCTACTGCAGCATGCAGGGGTACTCATGTGCAAGCACAGGCACGCTCAAAGTGCACGTGCTAGGAAACAGTCTCTGTCCGCCGTCATTCAGAGGCAAATTCACGATCGTCTGCTCCATCCTGCGCCAGCTCAATCTCGTCATCTCGCTCATATTAGCCATCACGCTGCACCAGCTTCAAGGTTGGCCCTTGACCGGCTGGATTATTCCCGCCCAAACACCTTGCAAGAGCTCGGCCGACTGGTCATGGCGACGCGCTCAGGAGCCTTATGACGTCTTTTTTGTCGATCAACTGTCGGCTTGCCTGCCTCTGCTCAGATGGGTACTCCGCACCCGAGCAGTCTTCTACTGCCATTTCCCAGACTTGCTCCTCAATCCTAGCAAGATCGGCCACAACACCGGCGGCTTGCGCAATCTGTACCGCATTCCCATCGACGCCATCGAGGAATTCTCTACGGGTACGCTCCACTTGCTTCTTGAGCGCGAAGAGAGCTGACGTAAGTGTTCGAACAGGCCAAGCAGACAAGGTTCTCGTCAATTCGCTCTTTACCCAGCAAGTCTTCTGTCAGACGTTCCCAGCTCTTCAGCGCACACCGCGCGTCGTCTACCCGGGCATCGATGTCAAAGCCTTTCAAGAAACGTCGGCGACGAACAGGGACGATGCTAGCGTGCAAGCTATCGCTTCTGACAAACCCACCTTGCTCTCCATCAACCGCTTCGAAGCGAAGAAGAACGCAGCTCTCGCCCTCGAGGCTTTCGCCATCGTCGCAAAGCAGATGCCTCATATCAGGCTCGTTCTCGCCGGCGGCTTTGATCCGAGACTGCAGGACAACGTTACCACTCTCGGCGCCCTGCAAACACTCGCCAGCACGCTTGACCTGCATCAGCACACTTTCTGGCCAGCAGCACCGAGCCTGTCACAGTCGAGCATACCGCGAACGCGATTCGAGCCCGTCTTCAGTGCAGACCAAGCGCCAGAAGCTACTCAGGTCCTCTTCTTGCCCAATTTCACTCAGATTCAGAAGAGCTACATGTTGCAATCGAGCACAACACGGGCGCTTCTCTATACGCCGATGAACGAGCATCTTGGCATCGTACCACTCGAAGCAATGGCATCTGGCCTGCCTGTGCTCGCTTCGGACACAGGCGGTCCATGCGAAACGGTCATCGACCTTGCGACCGAACCGAGCGAAGGGACAGGCTACCTGCTGCCCAATACAGTCGAGCGCTGGACAGACGCGATACGAGCACTACTCGAGATGACAGATGAGCAGCGACAGAGAGTAGCCAGTGCGGGCAGGCGAAGAGTCAACGCGCACTTTTCGACTCGCTCGATGTGCGAAAAGCTCGATGTCGCCCTCTGGGAGACTGTCAGCATAAGGACGATGATCTGGCGAGAGCCCGAATTCCTCAATGCCATCATGATCTTCTCGATCCCGCTGCTCGTCATCTGCACTTTCACATTCGTCCTCTTGAACGCGCCACAGCATCAGAGAGCGGTCAGTCAGTCGATATAGCCTGCAAGATCTGGCAGAGTTCGAGAGCGATGTAGTGCCATGCATGAGCTTTGCCGGGCTCGATGACTGCGCGCCGTCCGTACTGCCAGACTAGCTGCCGTTTGCGTTCGTATTCCTCCAGAGTGATGCTCGCTAGAATCCTCGGCAAGTCGTGGGCAAGGTGCCGAGGAATCTGCACCGTCATCTCGGACCAAGGCAGATGCTGAGCGAACGGCAGAACGAGGCCGTCTGCGCCGATGATGACGGGCACGACGCCAAAGGCGAGATATTCCCATATGCGCGTAGAGTCAAGCGTGTGACCCGGCGGTGTGAGCCCATATCGAGCATGGGCCAGTTCGACAGCATACTCTGCATTCTCGGATTCGACGCTGACATCGAATCCCGGTAAGCTGGCAAAGCCATCGTGCGAGCCCTTTCGCCCGTAGAAGAGCGATCTGACACCGAGCGAATACTCATCATCCGGCTGGACGTCAGCACCCAGTCCACGAAAGTACGCCAATATTGTGCGACCGGTAGGATCTCGTTTGCTTGCAAACCACTTGCGTGCGCGAGTCGGCTCGTAGATATTCACATGATCAGACACGGCTGTGCCATCTTTCGGTCGCTTGGGCATCTGACTCAGAGGGTGGCCATGCTCGTCTAGATAGTCACGCGGATGATAGCGATACGAGTGAAGTAGGTATGTGGCTGACGGGATGACGACGTCTTTGCGCGGCCGATAGATTGTCCCGTTCGTACGTGCATCGCCATTCGTGACGAAGTATGACATCTGGCGCATCATCACACGAGAGTCTGTAGAGTAGTACGTATCGCCAAAGTCCATAGGATGAAACATGACGTGATCTCTGCCGCTGTGTCGTTGCCAACTCGGCTGAGATTGAATGTAAGCCATCGCCGGCTGTATGAGCTTTTCGTCGACATTGCAGCGCAAGTCTCTGTTCCAGCCTGCCGTATCCCAGCAGTGAAACAAGTAGCAGGCAGGAAAGAGTGGCACGAGGAAGAAGTTGGCTTCACTTGGATCGTGAGTGACGTAGCGTGCAGCTGGAGTTGATGCCAGCATGTGGGTGAGGTGAAGCTCTGAAGAATAGGCCGACCAGCGGCATTTGTCCTCTTGGGCTCGACCGAGACGGAGATGTTCGGGAAGGTCATAGACCTGCCATCGATATCAGCTGGCAAGCCTCAAGCGCACGATTGACTGACATAAATCTTAAGACTGCAATTGTTACATGCTGCTAGGTTCGCATTAATCTCAGCCTGGCGCAACAGTGCGAATAATTGCCTCACTCTGCGGGTCTTGCGGCCATTTCTTGCACGGGTCTTGAAGCGCTGGCAGAGGAGGAAAGGACGGGGGGCTCAAAGGCAGGCTGAGTGAGTGTGCAGTCGAGCTTTGCGCGTGTGAGCTGCGGCTGATACGCAGATAGACCAGGGTGCATGTGACTGCACAGACAAGGGACACCTTCGCAGGCGTGAAGACCGACGATCTCTTCCGTCGCTTCATCGATCGCGAAGATGCGACGGGCGTTCAGTCAATTCCTGTCAAGTCAAGTCGGCAAATCAGTCGCGTATGGCATGGCGCGCGTGCGCAGACCACTGGAACTTCGAGGGCTCTTCTCAGACCGCATAGACAGACCAGCAGAGGTAGGACACGCATTGCACATGGCAAGTAAACCCGAATGCTTGCAATGTCGAAAGGTCCGCTGCCCAAAGTCTATGGTCATTTGTACAAAGGGGCAAAGATAAAGGTAGTGAGGCTTGCTTGTCGAAAACCAGATAGCGGCAGTGAATGAGTGCAACGCGACCTAGGCATGGTATCCTTTGAGGTTGTGTGGTATTATAGTGCGAGCGCGGAGCTGCTGCCTCGCTCGATCTCTGCTATTTGTGCGGATCGGAAGAGGAGCTCGGCACTGGCACTGGCATTTGGAGTTGGCACTCGTGCTAAGATTGTCAAAGCATCGACAGAGACAAAGCGGTACCGGTGAGTTCGAGGGAGTGACAGAGAGCGTAGTGAAGACAACAGCGAAGGGCAGCAACATATCGAGGGTTCTTTGGGCCCAGATTCGGCATTCGAGCACGTGAACGTTTTGCGACGGACATCTCGTTCTGATCGGGGAGTACCAGTTGCCTAGTGGTTGCACTGGATATCTGGGCAGCTCGCTCCGCTACTGTAGCTCTTGGTGACTTTGTTGCAGGTTGAGGAGTCTGACGAGCTCGAGTAAGATGATTGCGGTGCGACTACGTAGCTGCAGATGCCGGGCTTCTTGTTCTTCGTCAGACATTGGCTGCCGGAAAGAGAGTTGACGATCGTGTAGGTCGAAGGGTAAGGGCAGCAGAGATAGCAAGGCTGTTGAGGCGTCTTGGAAGGTGTCGCTGAGCCGCCGCTGCTGCCGCCAACACACTTGTTCTGCTTGCTGTCGTATGTCTTGCCGACACATTGGCAGGCAGGCGCAGACGGATGTCTGTCGATCGATTACTTCAATTAGCACAAAGTGTGGCACAGTCACAGATTAGGCTGACCTGTAGACGGAGAAGCACTTCTTCGTAGCGGCATCGTAGCATTCCCATTCTGGGTTCGGGCACTTGGAAGTACTGACTGTGCCCTTGGCGACACAGTCATTGATGGCCTGGTTGTAGACTTTGCCGATCGATGCACAGACTTGTGTGGCTGAGCGCGTCAAGAGTCATGTCAGCTTGTACGCGCGGAGCGAGAATTGAGATAAGACTGACCTTGTGCGGGGGACGACCACCATCGCTTTTCGAGGCCATTGTGGTGACCGCTGATCTCGCGCTTGGCGAATGTGACCATGCCTGCACGGTTGGCAGCGGGTCCCCAAGTCTTTGCCCAGCTGGCGAGCAGGCCGGATGTCGATGGGACTTTGTAGAACGACGACGATCCGTCCTTGTTGATCAGCTCGAGCTTGTAGTAGTGCGCCGATGTGGTCTTGAGGATTCTCCGGAAGCCCGCTGCGCCCATGTAGTCCGCCTGTGCGCGCGAAAGCGTGTCAGTGCTGTCACCAATGCAGATAGCCAGGCCAAGTCCGGCTTCAGCGAATCGTATCGCCCAAACCGGACCAAGGCCGTCGATGGGAAAATTTGTAACTCACGTATGCCAAGTACTTCAGGTAGACTGCTGGGTCCAGCGCGGTACAGAGGACGGTGCCAGAGTAGTCTGCGTGCACGAGATAGGCATCAGCATGTGGATGAACCCGATAGATCCAGTGGTTGATGACTGACAGCCCTTATCGCTATTGACTTGCTTGATGAACGCATTCACAATCGCCTTTTGTGCAGCGCTGTAGCTTCGCACGCCGCCATCGATGTTGGTCGTCGCCGTGCTGTCGGGTGTGAGTGCAGAGACTGAGCTCGCCAGAGCGAGTCCGGCAGCAAAGATGGAAAATCTCATCGTTGGCCACGAATAGATCGTGAGTGCAGTGCGATGCGATGTGATGCGAGTCGACGGGCAATCAAAGCTCGACGGTAGCTAGCAACTGAACAATCTCCAACTTGGCTGGTCTGGCGTATCTTGCGAGCGAGCGAGAGAGAGAGAGAGCAAAACTTGTCGAGCCCAGACCTGGTCGATGTAACAGTTGCGACTGCCGATGTTCAAACGAGTGTCGAGGCCAATGTCCGCGCGCGTGCCCAGCCTGGCAATGTCTTGCGCAAGCCTCCTTCATGCCAGCATCCATAAATGGGCGCGCGCTGGCTTTTTCTCCCGTTGAACGGATCGAAGCCACAAATGGGATCTGCAAACCTTAATTTGGACCTGCAAGCCTGGCTTTGCAAGCGCGCCTGTACTTTTTGTGTCATGCACTCGATCGCCCAGGCGAGACTTGTCCACACTCGCAAAGGACCCGACGAAATCTGACACAATTGCACATCATCAACAAAGGCAAGGCCGGACATCTTGATCATGTTTGGCATCGGTCCACTTTAGAGAGTCCTGATCCCAAACTGACGGCTGCAAGTTTGCTGCGCAGTTTCGCACCTCGCTGTCCTCATCCCACTCGACCTTTTTCACGCGCTGCAACCCTGCATTTCGCTTATCGAGAGGCCAAGTCCGCGCTCACAGCGCAGCGCAACGCTTCGTAGGGAGATGTCTCTCCTTCATTCGGCAACGATGCATGCAGCTTAGGTTGCCAATTAGCAAGCCGCATAACGCATCTGCCGGCTCTTCGGTCCTGCCACCTTTCCTCTCGTCCGCTCCGAGCTTGTTCTATATCTTCCTCTTGATGAACCACCGACGATCATGAGCCGACCGCCTGCTCATGAGCGATCGATTCGGCGATCGCGCCGATACCTCCTTTCGTCACGATTGAGTGCAAAGGATCATATTCAAGAAGAATGCTTGTGGGAGCAAGGTTGATCAATGCCCTGCACTTGATAATTCCGCGAACTGCGGCCAAGCTCAGAACGTCGAGTTTGCCGAAGTAATCGAGTGCTCGGCACAAGCAAATGAGTGGATGGTCTTGCCTGCCGGCTGCAGCTGCGGACATTGCTTGAGGAGCTCAGATAGGACAGCGCGCAGCCTCCGCGTCCGGCCTTTTGCTCGGATGCGCTGCGCCGGGACAAGAGTGTTCGCTAGTACGAGCCGCCTGAATAGCATAAGATTTGCAGGTCACACTTCAACGATCGCGTCTCATAACAAGGACATGCATTCATCATCAAGAGTCATCTCTAGGCTGCAGGCTTCGTCTTGGGTTTACTCTCACGCGTGAGCAAGCTTGAGAGGCCGAAGCCACCCAGGACGATGCCGGCCAGGTAGAGCACGCCTCTTCTCTCGTCATCGTAAAGCTCCCGTTGCTCTGGCTTGAACGAATCCGCTTTGGCCTCGCCTTCAATCGGCTGGCTGAGGGGCGGCACCTTGATTCCCGTCACTTCCTCGAGTGAGCCGAGTAGCCGTGCCGCTCTCGAGCTGACGTCAGAAGCCACTTCGCTCGCCTTTTCTTTAGTCTGAGCAACGGCGTCGGGCTCGTGATGTCGCACTGAAGGCTCCTTGCTCGCCAAGCCAATGTCTTGCATGACATCCTTCCACAACGATCTGAGGCCGCCTACGTCTTCTCCCCCGGACTCTTTAATTTCCGTCCCGGGCACGGGATCCTCCTTGGATCGACGAGGATTACCCGGTCCGCGCTGAGCGATCTTTGCGCCCGTCGAGGTCGTCGACAGCGTGGAATGGGAAGACGCTTGCGCCTCCTCGCCTCCTGAAGCATGCACAGACAGACCTCCCGCCGAGTGTCGTAGCGATGGATCAGTGACGGCATGCACCTTCTGTGTGTGCAGTACGAAATGCTCGCCGTCTTCCTCTTCTTGACCTTCGGGCGTCGGCTTGTCTGGCATACTGGGAATAAAGGGGCCGACCTCTATAGCAATCGCTTTGCCATGATCGAACCGCGTGTCAGGTAGCTCGGCCAGCTGATGGAAATCTGTCCGCGATTGCTCCGGCACGTCATAGACGACCTGTCTGCCAGCATTAGGCGGCAGGCGCTTGTTGACTTCGTCCCAATCTCTCTGTGATACCTTGAGCATGCCTTCGCCATCTAGGGGAATGTCCTTGGGCGGACTAGACTGTTCGGTCGCAGGTGCCCTGCTTGGCGCAGAGGACGAGACAAAGCGCAGGTTGGGCGTCGACTTGACTGATCGGAGATCTTTGGGCGTTTGCGAGACGAGCTGATTGAGTTGCTTGAGCGTCACTTTGGTGCTTGCAGGTGTGCCAGTACTTGCAGTCGTGCTTGTGCTGATTGCGCCGGTGACGAGATCGACGGTGACACGAGAGGCAGGCGCAAACTCGATTGGGATGACAGGCACAGCGGGCGCAGTCGTCTGTCTGGCTCGCGAAGTCTTGGTCTTGAGGCTCGGCGCTGAGGTGACAGTGGCATCGCTTGCAGTCAATCGCTCGATCAGCTGCGCCTTGTTGCCAGATCTGAGCAATCAAAACAACGATCAGCCTGGCCTGTCCGACGATGGCACAGAGACTCACACAGGTAGTCGCCTTGTTTTGAGTTCATGTTTGAGCTGGACCAGCGTTTGCTTCTCCCAAGACTCTGCTCCTAGCTTGGTTGTAGATGTCGAGAATGAAGAGGCAACACTGCCTTGGGCGCTCGCCGTTCGACTGCGGGCGACTGGACTAGCATTGGAGCTCGTGGCGCTCTGCAAGCGTCTCAGATTGGGCGCCGACAGCTTCTTTCTGAGCATTGCGAGCTTGTTTACGGCTCAGGTTTCGGAGGTGAATCGACGAGAAAAAGACGCGACGGCGTGTGGCGAGTGAGCATCTACAAGGGACACATTTTGGGCGCAACAACAGTCACTGCACGAGCTTACACACAGATCCGGAAGGCTCTACATGCATCCGATGGATCACGAGATGCTGATCAAGTGAAGCCGACGCATCGCTCTTCTGTCGCGGGACTTCTGCTCCCCTTTGCAGTTGATAATGATCCGTTAATCTGCGAGTCGATCTTGCTATCGACGAGCTGAAAAGCCTGATGCTCGCTTGTTGTTCTATCGCTCGAGCGTACCTCGTCGTGCGGTAGGAGACCGAGTCGTTGCTCCGAATCAGCGACATCGTCGATCTCGTCTACTGCCCGGCGGGCCACGATCAGGATGTAAACGAACAAGCCTGCGCATCTGATGAGCTCTAGAGCGTGGTGTGCAATGAAGAGAAGCACCTATGCAGAGCAGGAGACCGATCGTACCTGCCACTTCTTTGAGGCGTCGGCCAGATGCTTCGAGCTCGATCGCCTCCCGAGCGGCATCATCGTCTGGCACATCGTCGCCACTGGCCTGCTGATCGGAATGGTAGGCCGAAAAGTTGCGGATCGTCGAGCCAATCGTCACATGGATGACGAGCTGTTTGCGAAAAGTCATACAGTGAGCTTCGAGCGAGTCATCGTGACCTGCGCGAACCTTTGGCAATGCTAGAGCGGTACATAGTGTGTACGTCTTGAATGACAGCTGCGATAAAACTCCTCAGTGCACATTCGTATCGCTCAAAGGAGGAGCGTACGCATTCCGATGATGCCAGTATCACGTTCATGACGTTGTAAGGGTAGGGTGAAAAGCGAATCAGCTACAGGCCGAAGTCAGCAAACCTGCATGCAAACAGGATCGAACTGACAAAGAGCAGGCGAGGCTTGCGATCTATCGCTCTGACGACCTTCTTGAGCCCAGGCGACTTGTCTAGCAGGCTGAGCATTTGCTGACGAAAGTAATATCGCGACAGCACAAAGACCACGACCGCACCCGAGAGAGCAGCGGTGTAGGAGATGACGAAACCTGTTGGCATGCCGAACGCATAGCCGGACAGGATGATCAGGGTCGAGTAGAGTGGCAGCGGCGGCATGGTAGTGATAAAGATTAGGCCGAAGAGGTAGCAGTACCCCTTGAAACCCAGCGTCTTCAGCCAGGCAGACAAACGATCCAATCCTTTGGGTGCGTCAGCTCGATACTTGGCGTGAACGAAAACATGCTTGCCTGAGAAGACCTCGGTATGCCAGACGAGAACGATGAGAGCAAACGCCAGACTGACGGCTGCCCAGATCATGAGCGGTATCCATGCCTTCAGGCCGGGCGGTATCTCCCAGGCTGACCGGGTGGTGGACTCCATCTGTATGTTCTGAACAGATTCGGGTGGGCCGTAAGCATGGATTTGAGCTCGCGAGGGCAGGCTGACGCCTGCGACGACATGCAGTGGCGGTCTGGGCGCGTTACTGTCTCGTCTGTTCTCTCTGCGAACGTAGTGCTGAGCGGGTGAGGCGGTCTGACTTGCACCGGGCATACTCCTCGAGCGTGCGAGCTCGCGTAGCTGGTCATGCCCATCGACGGGCGAGACAGAGGCTTCGTCCTCCTCGTCGGCTACTGCGATCATCGACTGGGAGTGCCCGTGATTCTTGAGTCCTCTGACGGCTGCATCCTTGAGATGAAACGATCGCCGTCTGGGCTCGCTCTCTCGTATCTTCGCTAGCCTGTGGGAGCCAAGCGAGCTTGGATTGATGGCCTGCTCGTTCGTGAACGCTGAGCGCGACTCGACTGTCGGCGTGACGAGGATGGACACAGGCCCAGAAGCGGTATGAGCGACTGCTGCTGGCTCACCGAGGGGATGTGCAGGCTCATCTTGGGCCAGCGCAGGCAGGTCGGTGTCTAGCTTTGCGAGTCTTGGCAGCGGCGGCGGCGGCGGATTCACACCGTCGGTACCCGTCATGTCAAGCGAGATGTGACAGGCTTTTGGCCGTGTTTGACGCTATGAGTCCGATGCGAAGCTTCCGCAGTGCGACCTTGACATCGCAGTGAGCTAGCGTGATGTCGTGGCAAGGCTAGCGGCGAGGCTGAGCGCTGAGTGGACGACGGGCAGTCCGTCGAGAGAGCGCGTTCGACGTTGACAGCGCTCACCGTCAGAGGTTTTGCGATCTCTTGGCCGGCAGAGAGAGGGCAGGAAGTGATGATGACATAGTCTGCGAGCTCTGACTTGGTGTTGACTTCGATCTGACCTTTGCTTCTGCTCCTTTTGCCCGTCATGGCAGACTACTCGCCTCGACCATCCTCCTCCTCCTCCTCTGCCGCCCATCCTCCTCGTCAGCCACGACAGGTCTCGCCCGATCAGCGTCAGCATCGTCGGGGACCTCACAGGAGAGATGAGCGCAGGCACAGGGAGACCGAGACGGGAGAGCCGAGGCATCATCATGACGATGGCAGACGAACATCAATGTCTGCTCACTCGAACAACGTCAGACACAGGAGCCGGTCACGCTCGCCTGATCAGCACGCATACAAACGCTCTCGACAAGGCTACGACGACATCCCTCGCCAGCGTGCGGCAGGTACACCCGAGGAAGGAGAGCTACCAGAGCCTGTTGAACCCACAGGACCAACAGAGCAGGCACACTCGCCTATGCTGGAGAGACAAGCCACGCCACCGCAGCCGCAGCCGCAGAGTTTTGAAGAGCAAGATCCTGAGCTCGTGCTCGCCGAACGTCGCAGGCAGCGAGCAGCATTGCTGGCTCGCATCGCATCTCTCGATGCGAGCAGTGCCACACCATCTGGGCAGGTGACCCCTAATGGCCCCGTACCGTCTGAAGCAGGCACAGGTGCGCTCATGCACACTCCTGCGTGGCATTGCTTATCGTGCCAGCAGATTCGCCTGTGGCGTCACCCCGAGGGCAAGAGGTGTTCGACCTGGTCAAAGATGAGCAAGACAGCGCGCCCATCGCTCAGACACAGACGCATAATGACGGTCATCAGAGTATCTCTGCTGCGGACTACAACCCCAACGACGACCGAATGCTCGATGATGCACGTCAGCTGAGATTGGAGAGGCAGGGCGTCCAAGGTCATCACGACACAGTCGGTCAGACTGCTGCAGTTGCTGCTCAGCCTGCTGCTGCAGCCCCTGCGCAGGTCATCCAAGTCGTTGCAGACGATGACGATGACGACATGTTTGCCGTCGTGTCAAAGCCCTTAGCCGCGGTCGATGCACCTACAGCTCAGCCGACCTTTATACCCGTCAGCTTCATATACTCCGGGCTACGAGGACACGCTCTAACAAATGGCTCACAGGTCATCGATCGCTCGAACGACCCTTCTGCTGCTCACATTGTGGACAACTTTGACGATCCGGAAGGATACTATCGGGTCATACTAGGCGAATTGCTCGATGACGGTCGCTATCACGTACACGCCAATCTGGGCAAGGGCATGTTCTCCAGTGTCGTCAAAGCAAAAGACCACCAAGCTGATGGTCGCGAGATGGCCATCAAAATCATCCGCAGCCAAGAATCGATGTTCGTTGCTGATTGACGCGCTGCCCAAGTCTCTACTGATGACCAAGCTGATTGCGACAGGTACAAAGCCGGTCAGAAGGAGGCTGGTATATTGCGCAAGCTACAAGAGACTGATCCGCTCGACAAGAAACACATCGTTCGGCTCGATCGCACATTCGAGCATCGTGGTCATCTCTGCCTTGTTTTCGAAAGTCTTAGGTAGGCCATCGCAAGTCTCGCTTGTACTTGCTGACGACCTCTTACAGCATGAATCTTCGCGAGGTCGTCAAGCGATTCGGCAAGGATGTCGGACTCAATTTGCGCGCAGTGCGAGCTTACGCGCACCAAATGCTTCTCGCCCTCAGTCATTTCCGCAAGAGCAATATCATGCACGCCGACATCAAGCCAGACAATATCCTCGTCAACGAGAGCAAGGCTATCCTCAAGATTTGCGATCTCGGCTCGGCGTCCGATACTTCCGAAAACGATATCACACCCTACCTCGTCAGTCGCTTCTACCGCGCGCCAGAGATCAGTCAGTCGATCCTAAGCTTGGCCTCCTGTTGCTAAGCGGAGCCTGCGTATTGACAGTTCTTGGCCTACCATATGATTGCGCTCTAGACATGTGGTCGATCGGTTGCACGCTCTACGAGCTGGCGACAGGCAAGATCCTTTACCGTGCGTATGCGAACCGCTCTTTGGTCGTTGCTCACAATCTGTGCAGCGGGTCGGACGAACAACGATATGCTGAGGCTACACCAGGAGCTACGCGGCAAAATCACTGCCAAGCTCGTCAAGAAGGCTCAATTCGGCCCGATGCACTTTGATGACAATGGCACCTTTCTTTGCGTTGAGAATGTACGGCAAGAACTCGTCATCGCTATCGGGCTTATACGCAGTACAGGATGCGATCAAGACGCTTGTCTTGCCTGCTCAGCCTGTGCATGACCTCAAAAGCCGCATGATGCCAGCAGGAGCAGCGAAGAAACTTCGAGACGACGAGAGGAAAGCAATGACCAACTTTATCGATCTGCTCAATCGCATGCTCGACTTGGACAGCTCCAAGCGCATCACGCCTAAGGAGGCCCTACTTGTGCGTTACCCTGACAGGCGCTTTACGATCAGCTGATTCGTTTGCAGCATCCTTTCCTGAAGTAAGCGGTGAGCAATTTGCAACAGGTTTTGCGATGAACAACAATTGTATTTGTATAACATGCGCTATGTCATCATTGCAACATCTGTGAGCATTCCTGTATCGCCTGCGTCCGTCGTAGCAATCGCTGCCAGTGCGGGAGCGTCCTCTGCGCTGGAGACCGACCTAATAGACGACTCGCGAATCGGTTCATCGATGATCATCTGATCACCATCCAGAGCTGCATCGACGGAGTCTTCAGTGATGGATTCTGCAGGACTGCTTGCTCGTGGCGGAGGCTGCAGCGCGCCGGGTGTGTTTGCAGCCAGTAGCCGAGCATGAGAGGAAGAGCCTAGGAAAGGCAACATGCTCTGCGCGGGCTCCTTCTTCGGAGCAGGCTTCTTGATTTCCTTTTGCAAGCCAACTTTGTCTTTGCGCTTCTTGGGTAGCTGTACCGGTCTGCGAATGCCATTGGGCAAAGCAGGGTTGCTACTTACCGGCGTCGAGATGACTTCCGGCGTGCTAGATCCGGACGCGATCGAGCTTGTTGGTGGAGTCTGCTTCCGTCCGCCTTGTGGAAGCGTGTCATCGCTGAAACTGTTCGTGAAGCTGACTTCCCAGATGGACTCGTCAGAGCTTGACTTGCGCATGCGACGCTTGACATTGTCCTTGGCGAGGGCCTCGATTGAAACCTTTGTGATAGCAGAGTCGCGCGCTTTAAAGGTAGTGACCAGCTCTGCGATCAAGCTTGGCTTGTTCGTCTTGCTCGACGCTTTGCATGCCGCCGCAAAGTCATCCAGCAGTGCCTGGGGAAAGACAAACTTGGTTTTCTTGCTCTTCTTGACAGCTTGCCCAGCGTCGTCATTCTCAGCAGCTTTGCTGTCTGACCTCTTGTGATTGCTTTGAGCAGTTGCGTTGAAATAGGCAGGAATGGTTGGGTATCTAAGCGGGTCGAAGCCCGGCTTGTTGTCTGCGAGACGAACATGATCAGCTGCTCTACATGACACCAATGTCCGTGTGACTTACAGTTAAGGAAGTGCACAGCATGCTGCCTGAACACCGGCAGTGGAGACTCGCCCAGCTCCGTCTCGAAGATCGGTCCGAAGATGACAGGCACCAGAGGGCCGGTCAGCTTGCGTTTCTTGGATTTGATGATCTGCGTCTTCTTTTGCACAGCGCGCTCTTCGCCGGCTTGCTCAGCATCACGATTCGCCTTGCCGCCGTCATTGAGGCGCTCGATCGCAGTTTCGAGATCGTCCTCAAAGCCTTCCATCATCTCGATCTCATCGTCAGAAGCAAGGAAGTCGCCCGAGATGACCGATTCGCCATCGTCATCGGATAGATTGTTGTCTGAGCCAACGTCTTCAACATCCCCGACGTCTTCCTCTTCCCAATCGAGCTCAGAATCGTATTCATAGTTGAGTAGCTCTGGGTCGACAGCGAAAGGATTGCGAGGCCTGATGATCCTACTGCCTTTCGTCCACGAGCCGTGGTAGCCCGGTCGCAGATCTTCGTGGAAGACGAGGAGCTTCTTTGGAATCATCACGCGGTTGTTGAGCATCGCGTACCATTTGCTGCCACCGTCGGTACCGCTCAAATCGCCTTCGGTCAAAGTTTGAATGATCTCCCTGACTGTTATCGAGGGCATCGGCCGAGGATTGCGGTTGAGTTTACGAAACTCTGGGATGTCTTTCGTGAAGTCGTACAGTGCCTCTTCTCGCGTCAAATCAGGCTTCTGCACCAGATCTGCAGGCCCTCTGCCAGGCGCTCTGAAATTGTTGATATTGGCGAGGCTGACGTCGCTCTTGATTTTGAATGTGCGGAAGGTACGCTCAAAGTCTGTTGAGCCCGTCTGGACACTCACGCCTGCGCTTGAGCTTCTCGGCGCTTGGGGAGACGTGCGGATCTGTGCGAAGCGGTTTAGCATCTCGGCTTGTTTTGCCTTTCGCTTGGTCTCTTTGTCGGCCTCGAGTTCCTTTGCACGTTTGGCTGCTTCCCGTTTGGCCTTGCTTTCAAGAGCAGCGGCTTTCTTCTCGGCAGCTGCGAGCTTCTTGGCTTCTGAGGCCTCTCGTCGCTCGCGCTGCTCGATAGTCTCAACTTTCTTCCGCTTCGGCTTTGCATTGGGATCCGCCGGCGTTGCTGGTTCGACTGGCTCGTCACTCCTCGCTGGGCCGAACACGCTGTCAGGATCAGGCTTGATGGCCGAGGCACTGCTGTCGTCCAGCTTTAAATTGCCGACTTCACTTGCAGAAGGCTCTTTGCTCGTTGATGGTTTGCGCGACGCTTTCGCTGTGCTGGCCTTAGAGGCAGGCTTCGCGGCGGCCTTGCCATTGATCGCTGCAGGCTTTTTCTGATTTTCTGGCTTGGGTGCGGCCGTGGCACTCTTCGCAGCCTTGTCGCCTGCTGCCTTCTTTGGTTTGTAAGGGATCGCTTCAAGCGCTTTCGTCGGCTCGTCGTATTCGAGTCGGTAATTACCCAGTAGCGTCTTGCGATCAAGGCCTGGTGCAGTTCCAATGAGCTGCAGTACGTCCGTGTGCGCCTGCTCGAGATAGCCTCAGCATACGAGACAGTGCCAGATTGGCGAGCTCTGACCTTTTGTCTTTCTTCGCGTCGACGTTCGAACGAAGTGCGAAAGCCAGCCGGCCACAAGTCAGAATCATTGACCTCCCAGCGATACAGTGCTAGCGAAGGCGGGATGGACGGCTTCGTGACGGCATCCATGTTACTAGCACGAAGCGTCAACAGGCTCTCTGTCAGGCCATAATTGACTCGTTTCGCATTGAGATCGATCGTGCGCTTGATGAGCTGTAGCGGCACTTTGTCTACTTCAAGGATGTCAGCGCGAGAATGTCGGGTATCACTGGACTTGCCATGTGCTTGTGCAGTATGCTGAGACTCTTCCTCTATGCTCGCGGGCTGGATGATGTCTTTGATGTGCTTTGCGAGCGAGTCGAGAGTTTTTTCTCTGCAGTCAAAGCATGAGTTGCAGCACGTCAATGCAGGCTGGTGACCTACGATTCTTGTACAAGTGCTGCAAGAAGAGGCAAGTGTTTCTCTGGGAATGTTTGGAGCGGCTCTGAACTCTTTTCGAGGTCGTCCTGAATGTCCATCTGAGCTCGGATGACTTCGCGAGTCCGGTCGACGGTGAGCGTCTTTTGCTTGAGCGTCAGCTTCTTGCCCTTGATCTCCACATGGTCGGACAGCACGACGGCAGGCTTCTTCTTGCGAGGTTTGCGGGCTGCTTTTTTCGCAGCCTTGCGTTCTTCCGCCGACGCTTCCAGCTTGCGCTGAAGTTTGTTAGCCTTTGCTTGTTCGTCATCCGAATCTGCCACCGATGACAGACCAGAGTCGTCATCTCCTTCGTCGTCATCATCCTCCTCGTCGTCGTCAACTTCGATTGCAGCTTGCTCGACCGAAGCAGTTGTACCGCTCGTGCTTGCTACTGCAGGCTCAGCGGATCTTTGGCGTGTATCTAACGATGGATTGATTTCTGTGAATCTGCTTGCCATGGAGATTGGGGGGATGCCGAGACCCATCTCTGGCTGGGCAGTGCCTAGAGCGGCTCTGACGCTAGCCTGGGCGCGTTCCACATCGGCTAGATTGTTAGCCATCAGAGCTGAGAATGGTCGCAGAGTTGGTGCTGGGACGTCAGACGCGTTGAGCAAGGACGCCAAGCTGGCGCGGCCGCTGGAACGCGATGGCGAGCTCATGGATGGTGATGTCCTCTCGCGCGACAAGTGAGGCCCGTCATCATCTTGCGAGCTGATCTCGATGATCTGTTGGTCTGGCTGCCCATTGGCATGACCCTGCTTGCCAGCCGACGGTATGGTTGCAAAGGAGCCGACGGTTGTTGAAGGCGTCGAATGCGCAGACGAGGTGCTCGAATACAACGATGCGCTGACCGCGTGCGAGTCGGCGTTCGATCCGTTAAGGGCCTGTCTGCGCAGAGAGGGCGCGGTCGTGCTGGAGCCATTGGACCCCTGAGAAACGTCGCGTCGATGAGAAATTGGCGTTGCCTGCATCTCTCCTTCCAGATCAAGCTCGATCATGTGGCTCTTACTCGAGCCTGGTGTGGCATTGCTGAGACGAGCACTCGATACAGGCGAGCTCGCTCCGTTGACCATTCGGTCGCGTAGAGGCGATACTTGGCCACGCTCCTGAGTGACCTTTGGCGAGCTGATGCTAGTCACAGGTGGATCAAGCATGATGACGTCTGAGCCATCTGATGCCATGCTGTCTGCCGTGATGACGGGATCAATCGTCGCACTGACCAGCCCGAGCTAGTTGAGCAAGTGCTTGATGCCAACGCGACGCGCGAGAGTCCCAGTCGCTTGAAGGCACCTACTTGGCTCGTCAAGAGCACCTTAGCGTGTCCACTGCTGCTCCAGCTCTTCGGCGGAGCTCAGCGGTGAGTCCTATACCAGTTTGAGCAGTCCTGCGGCAGCCAAATCCGTCTTTGCTACCTCGCAATCGGTCGTTCGTCGCTACTTCCGCCGGACAGGAAGAGAATTTGAAAAGCGCTCGTTTGCCGCGTTCTCGCAACTCGAAAAGGACACCTACGCGCCTCACCTGACGAGATGGACCGATTCCTGGTCCGCAAGGATGGCACGGCTTATACACCGCCTGCAAGCAAAGCGGGACCCTCTACGCCTAGCAAGGCATCAGCCAGCGGCTCACAGTCTGCAAGCAAATCGCCCGCAAGGGGGGTGCGCCAATCGGTCTCTCAATCGCCGACAGCGACGAGGAAGCCTTCCAAGAAGGTGACAGCTCCTCAGGGTCCGATGAATGTGGCCATCATAGACAAGTCCAATGGTGCTGTTGAGAGGAAGAGGCCTGTCCTTGCGGCACAGGCACAGCCGTGGGTAGAGAAATACCGTCCAAAGACGATTGACGATATCTCTGCACAAGAGAACACCGTCAGAGTCCTCCGAAAGTCTCTCGAGAACGCCAACGTGTGTCTCACTGCTCGCATGATCGAATGAGCTAACAGAACGCGTCTAGCTGCCGCACATGCTGTTCTATGGACCACCCGGCACAGGCAAGACCTCCACCATCCTGGCTCTAGCAAAGCAGCTCTTCGGGTATGCGTGCAGTCTCCCTCGTGGAGGAATAGTCTGACAGATCTCGCGCAGACCCGAGGCTTTCAGGACGAGAGTGCTCGAATTGAACGCGTCCGACGAACGAGGCATCACTGTCGTGCGCGAGAAGATCAAGAACTTTGCAAAGATCGCCATCTCGCCTGCCGTTGGGTCAGTGTGCTTCGGCCGCATAAACGACACTCGCTGACATTGTCTGAAACCCGTCAGTGACTATCCTTGCCCGCCTTATAAGATCATCATTCTCGATGAAGCCGATTCGATGACGCAAGATGCTCAGTCTGCTCTGCGTAGGATAATGGAGAACTACTCGAAGATCACGCGCTTCTGTCTGATCTGCAACTATGTCACAAGGTCAGCGGGCGAATTGAGCCAGTCGATACATGCTGATTTTGTCGCGCCCGCCCGCAGAATCATCGAGCCTATCACCTCGCGTTGCAGCAAATTTCGCTTCAAGCCGCTCGACACGACGAATACGCAGAAGCGACTCGAATATGTCTGTCAGAAAGAAGAAGTGCAGTGCGGCGAAGAGGTCAGTCGATGTCCTGTGGTCGGTATTCTGCATGCTCACGGGACGATGATCCCGATAATCAGTCCGTACAAGCGCTCATCAGATGCAGCGAAGGAGATCTACGCCGTGCGATTACGTATCTACAATCAGCTTCGCGTCTCTACGGCAAGGATAAGCCAGTAGACCCAGTATCGATCCAAGAAATCGCAGGCGTCGTTCCTGACCCGGTCATCAATAGCCTCGCACGAGATCTGGGTGTTGACGTGCCGGAATCTGCAGCAGAAGCAAAGGCGGGCGAAGACAACGATTTGATGCAAGTTGATCCGAAAAAGCCCAACAAGACGGGCGGCTTTGATGCTGTCAACGCAGCCGTTACTCGCGTTGTCAGACAAGGCTACTCTGCGACGCAGCTTCTCTCGCAGGCAAGTCTTCACTTTGTCAATCACTTGACTGACTCTGACGTTTTATGCTACGCAGCTACACGACGTCTGCATCTTCAATGTCTTGCTATCGAAGAGAGCCAAGTCGGCTATCGCAATGGCGCTCGGAGAAGCAGACAAGTGTCTGACAGACGGTGCGGACGAGCACCTACAGATCCTGAACACTTGCCTGCGCATTCGTGCTGCAGTCTCTCGAGGCTAAAGCTGCGGAGCCCAAATGTATGTTGTAAGCTCATCGTTGCAATACGTCGGTACAACGAGAGCAAAGCTCCTCTTGCTCTTGTCGGGCGAAAAGCCAGCATCTTGGGCATTTGGTGAGTGGCGCGGATTGCACATGGATGCCAACTCCGAGATGCACACTGGACATAATCCAAGCAGGCGCATGCACTGGCTTCATGTCACTCAACGCAGAGACGATGCAAAGGCGCTCGAGATCGCGGAGATGAGCCAGCAGGAAGTCGCGATCTGAGTGGTCCTGCGGGATATCGAGCTGAACAGACGCCTCGACTGAGCTGCCGACATACTTCGCCTGTCTAGCTAATTCTAACTGATAGAGAATCGCATCGCGCAAGGGCATAAGCTTTCCGAGCGTCGCTTTTGCCTCGCCGTCCTGGCATTGTGAGCTCTGCACGAGAGTGTCAGTCCATTGCGGGGCGTGCAAATCATGTACTCACAAGAGAGGGCCAGCCAGTTTGAAACATCGATTCGGACTCGGTGCAGCTTGCAATTTCTTCGACGAGCAGCGGCAGGATCGGCGCAAGCCAAGCACAGTACGACCTGAGGACTTGCTGCAACACATAGACAGTGGCCAATCGACGATGGTCTGACAAGCCATCGCAGTAGAGACTGTCTTTGACAATGTCGAAATAGAATGACGAAAGGGTCTTTGTCGTGAACTGTGTCAACGTAGAGATGGCACGATTGAAAGCAAAGTCATCGTAGGCAAGTCGTATGCTTTCGTCGACCTCCACAAGCTCGTTGAGTACATATCGATCCAGCTGCGACCTCTAGATGAGTAGGTATTCGCAATTTTGCAGGAGAAGACAGACCAAATCCAGCTGGACGTCATCGAAAGCAATGGGCGGATGGGAGCCAAGATTGCCGAGCATGAAGCGCGCGGAGTTGCGCAATCGACGATAATTCTCTGCTATCAGCTGAATGATGTTCTGTCCGATCTGCATGTCCTCTCTGAAGTCGACAGAAGCTATCCAGAGGCGAAGGACATCTACGCCAAAGGGCTGCCAGACTGGACCCTTGGCCGATCTGCCGCCGTTGATGACATCGTTCGGGCTAATGACATTGCCGAGCGACTTGCTCATCTTACGACCTGTCTCGTCAAGTACGAAGCCGTGTGTAACGACACAGCCATAAGGCGCCTGCTGCCTAGTGGCGATCGAAGTGAGCAGGGATGACTGAAACCAGCCGCGATGCTGGTCGCCCCCTTCCAAGACGAGATCTGACACTGGCTCCGATCGACTTCGCAGAGCTAGCGATTCGAGGAAGGACCAGGTGACGCCGCTGTCTAGCCATACGTCAACAGTATCTCTTCCCTGTATAAAGCCTTGATTCTGCATTACAGGCGGCAGAAAGTCCTCGACCGGCCCGTGCCACCAATGATCTGTACCTTTCTCCCGCAAAACGTTGATAGCATGGTCAATCGTCTCGGTCGTCATCATTGTTGTCCCATCTGCTGCTTCGAGTGCGAGGATAGGTACGCCCCAAGGGCGCTGTCGTGAGATGCACCAGCCTTTCCGTCCTGCAACGTATCGCTGCAAGCGCGCTCGACCGCCGGGAGGCACAAAATGCACCCGCTCGAGGCTGTCGAACGCACTTTGCTGTAGCGGCTCGAGATCGATGAACCACTGGCGTGTCGCGCGCGTGATGATGGGCTTCTTTGTTCGCCAGTCGTAAGGATAGCGATGCACGTGGGTGGATGCAGATACGATCGTGCCGTCCGATTGCAGCAGCTGTATGACCATATCATTCCCAGTGGTCAGGACCGGCTTGCCAACGAGCCGCTCTGCCCAGTCTGCACCAATGCGACTTCTCAGAGCTTCACTGTACCGACCAAAGCCATCTACAAGGTTGACTTCCTGACCGTTGCCTGTTGCGTGATAGGCTGAATAAGCCAGGTCGTCTTCGACGCCGTGCGCAGGCGCAGTGTGGACCAGACCAGTGCCCGAGTCAGCGGTGACGTGACTGGCGGGTATGATGGGATATGAAGATGCTGAAGGGGGCATCAAATGATGTCTATAGGTCGTGCCGATCAGGTCCGAGCCTTTGAGCATGCACTGGGGTATCGCCTGCAGATCGGATTTCAAGGCTTCTGACAACGCTACGAGACGAGATTGTGCCACGACATAGGTCTCGTTTGCTACTCTGTCGTGTGCGAGAACGTAAAGCATATCAGGGTTGACTGCCACAGCCTGTCACAGGCCTTGCCAGCTCAGCAACGCAGCTCGCGAGTGTGGACTTGACTGACGAGATTGGCGGGCAGCGTCCATGGCGTCGTCGTCCAAACGAGAACTGCTGCTCGTGCGCTTTGATCTACGGGGAGCTGGTCGAGCACTCGCTGCAGTGCTGGACTGGCCGTGTCGATGTGAAAGCGAGCGTAGACTGCGGTCGATCTATGATCGTCCTTGTACTCTATCTCTGCTTCTGCGAGAGCCGTCTGAGAGGAGGGCGAATAAGGCACAGGTTTGAACGCTTGATAGATCATGCCTGCATGTGCGCATGAGCTGCCTGAGACGAGAACGCTACACACGACGCTCGGGCTACCTTTCGCAAACATGTCGCGAAAGATCTCGAGCTGTCTGATCTCATAGTCATGATCTGCTCGCCAGTCAGTCGCGCGGATTTGCAGAGCATTCGCACGCACCCAGAGTCAGATAGCGGTCGTTCCAGTCGACCATGAGACCGAATTGCTGGAACTGACTCCGCTGAAGCGCAACGCCTTCGTGTGCAGCCTTTCTAGCTTGGGCGCGTACCCTCAGCGCAAAGGTTTGGCGATCTTCGTTGGACTCCGGTGGTCCTATCGCTTTGTGAGCTGCTAGTTCGAGTGGCAGGCCATGGCAGTCCCATCCTGTCACGTAGCTATGCGCGCGCGATCTCAGTGGCTTTGTCCGTATGCTCCGAGCTGGACTGACTTGACACGATAGCCAGTGAGGACTTTGTAGCGCAGTACGATGTCCTTGAGGATCTTATTGAGCGCATGTCCTGCATTCGCGTTCCAGCCGACACCACAAGCTTCGGGCGCGTCTACAGACCTATGTGGAGCGGTCCATTGGCGTAGGGCGGCCCGTCATGTAGCACAAAGAGCGGTCGATCTGTCTGTTGGTCCTATTGCTAGCGAGCGTGCGTCAGGACCAGGACCGCAAGCGACGCTGCTGAGCTCGCCTGCCAACGGTAGAGCGGCGTGCCGGCTCTGTCTCTCAATTCTGCTTGCTTGGACGCAGACGGTGCTCGCAGAGGGAAGCTCGTCTTTGGGAGCAGCAGCGTGCTCGCATATTGCTTCGCTTTGGTCGTCTGGTCTGCTGAAGAGGCATAGCTCCGTCGGGAGGCAGCATACCCGTCTTTTCTGGACGAGGTGCAGGGAGTACAGCAGTCCGCTGCTCGCTTGCTGGGAGGTCGTCGAGCACTGACAGGGTAGAGCCATCGCTGGCATGCCTCTTGCAGCAGTCCACGGCCAGGGTGCATACGCCGCTTGCAGGCAAGTCAGGCAGGTCGACTCGAGCCAAATACCCCGCGCCTGTTGGGCAGGCTGTCTGTCTGTCTGTCCGTCAACTGCGCCAGGCAGGACAATGACGACGGCTGGTCTGCTCGACATCGACATGACCGACGTTCAGCAGCAGAGCACCACGCTGCTCAGTCTACCACCCGAGATTGTGGGCCTCATTGGCTTCTTTGCAGGCCAGGCAGCGCACTTCACTCCGCCGACCGATCTGCTCAACCTCATGCTCGTCTCGAGCGACCTCTTCACTTGCTTGTCACCCAAGCACAACCCCGGACTCTACTCTGACCTGTTCCGAGACCGATTCGACAGTGCAGCTCTCAAGAGACGCACTCATCTCCCGCTCAAGCTCATCTCCCTAGACAGCGACCACGAGCAGCTCAGCGAGGACAGGGCGAAGATCCAAGCGAGACAAGTCGCCGCAGAGTATCAGCATCGTGTCAGGATCCTGCGTAACATGCGCCGCAATACGCTCAAGTATCCCGAGGAGATCCACGACCTCGCGCGAAATGGCGGAAGTGGCACTCATACGCCTGCTCGAGGCATCCTCCTCGACGAAGAAGAGCTGGCCCAAGAGCTCTGGACAGCCTATCTCATGCTGCTCGAGAATGGCAGGCCTCGCCTTGGCTCTCATCCAGCGTTCAGGCTGACTTGTCTCGACAGATGGCAAGAATATCGAGCAACTACGTCGGGCGGGTCAAATCCGCATCTACCTCAATATCTACTATCGGAGCAAGATGCTCAACGCCGCTGTCTTGCCCGGCTATTCTCTCGAGACGGCTGACCGAAGTCTCGCTCTGCACTTGATGTACATGCTCACGACGAACGGTCAGCTTGCAAGATTTCCTGACCCTGCACATGAGCTCATGTGTTCGCATGACGCAAACAGAGGATCTAGAAAACGAGGATCAGGATCGAGCGGACGAAAGGTTCTTTGTACTCAAGCCTTACGTCTTTGCCGCTCACATCGTCAGTCTCGTCGATGCCTTTGAACCAAGGCGCGCAGCTCATCGTGATCACGCAGTTTGATTCAGCGCACGCCAGCTGGGTCGAGCGCATTCTGCCCGCCCGACCCGGATTGTCGAGCAAAGAAATCGACGCATGGTTCCTGGAGCCCAAAGCGCCACACGTGCAGCGCCTCTCCTGCGTGACCCATTACGGCCGCCAAGTCTATCTGGCCAACCCCGTCCTGTCATCTGCAGCATGCCTGTCCTTCTTCATGCGCGTCGAGCGCGATCCCGAGTTCTCTACTCTGGGTCAGATGCCCATGAATGCCGAAGCGTTCGCCGGATTTGGGCAGCGCCAACCTCTGCTGGGAGGTGTCAGACCGATAGCATCTGATCGCGCGCCAAAGACACCTCTGGCGCCGCTCGAGAGCGCAGCGCACGATCTCGACTATCAGCGCCTGCTGAGCTGCTACCATCCTCTCGTCTCGCCTGGCTTGACAGTATCCCAGATCCTGAGCACCGCTTCGGGGTCATGGGAGGGTCGCTTCAGCTATTTCGATTATGACGCCTACAGGGACATGCTAGCAGGCGAGATGCTCAGCCTGTTCGAGGGTCCTTTTGGCTTCCAACCTCAGGTATGGACCCTGCAAGAGATTGCGGTCGAACTGCTCGGCGATGACATCGATTATGGCGGCAAAGGGTCCGTACTGAACGCTGGTCTGACACCCGCAGACGAACAATGGCTCGGCTCACTTGCACCACCTGGCTCACCATCTGGCTTCCACAAGCCTCTCACTCGCACGCAACCTCACATAACCCCTGCTCGCATTCCGCCATATTATCGCATGCTCGACGACAATGAGCCACTTCTCCCCAACAAGCGCTACGAAGTCCTCCTGAGCGGATCTGGTCATTCTGCTTGGGGCCAGTTCACGCTTCAAGGTCGCATTCGCACATGGGATGGTCACTTTTCGGTGCGTTGCCTCTAGCTTCGACCTTTAATGGGACAGGAGCTAATGCATGTTTGGACAGCTCGTCAAGAAGTACACGCCAGACGCAAGGGGCGCATGGCTCTATCGCGGGCAATCGCTAGGCAAAGACTGTCTCGTTGGGCGTTGGCGAGATACTTTCACGAGGGTAGATCAAGTCGGCTATGAAGGTATGCTCTCACACTCGAGCACAGTCCGATTGGCTATTCACACACGGAATTGTCAACAGGCTGTTTTATTATGAGTCGGCGAAGATGACCGTGCGATGATCAGGTCACGAACAGAATTGATGCATCGATTACTATTGCCATGTTCGGGTGATCAGGCTGAAATGTGGAGAGACTTCCCCAACCGCGGCCCTGGGCTGGATTTCGCTGGAATCTCGATGATCATCTAAAGGTCGCCGGGCGGCGATCAAAATTCAGGGATCGCCTACGTCAGTTTTCTATGTGGCGAACGCGGGGGTGGAGAGCCCGTCTCTTTTTCCTTTCGCTATCGAACTCCATCAGCCAGCAGACCAAGATGGCAAGCGTAGCCAACGAGAAGATGACCACACGATCCACCAAGGAGCAGACCTCGGATGATCCCAAGCAGGACTCTGTAGGAACCTCTTCCACCGCCAATGACCCCGATCAGCCCTCCTCGTCGGTCACCGACAGGACAGACAGCGCAGACTCTGGCGCTGGCGAATCGGGCGGCAAGCGCAGCGAGCGTGAGCGCCGAGGTGTTCGTGCGCCTGCCACTTGGATCCACAAGCCCAAGAACTTCTGGACAAAGATTCTTGCGCTCGATATCTGTCCCGATTCTGCCTATGACAAACGATTTGGGCCCGATCGCGGCCCTGTGCCACACCACAGCATTCGCCTAGAGAACGCCTTCATCCTGTTCTGGGGACTCTTCCCCCAGGTCGTTCAGTGGATCTCTTATACGCTCTACCCAGAGTACCAGTGGCCTGTCAAGTCAGTCACACTTTTTCCTTCGTACGGGCATCCTGCTGACGTCTGTCCTTCAGGGTCGCCTACCCATTCTATCTATTGAGCTTTGTCGGCTTCTCGCACACTCTTTTGGGCCGCCTACATTACTACATGGAGAAGTGTACGTCGACCGTACTCGTCAGCAATATAGTGACTCATGTCTTTTGCAGATGGCGTCTTTGACGAGGATGTCAGAGGACGAGACACTGTTGACGATAAGCATGCCGATCATATTGGTATGCTGCCTCTCGTTGCATAGTGCCTGCGCTGACCCGAAGCTTTGATCAGGCAAGAGCATCTTCGCCTATATCCTTCTGCGTGGCTTGGGACCATTCCTTTACGCCTACGACAAGACAGAGATGCCTCTCTCTGGCCTTTCAATGTGGTCATTGCCTAAGATCGCTATCGCCGGTGTCGTGCTAGACTACTTCTTCTATGTCTACCACCGATCATGCCATCAGTCTGACGCAATCTGGTTCATCCACCGATTCCACCACTCCACGAAGCACCCAACGGCCATTCTCAGCATCCAGGCCGAGGAATACCAGGAGCTGTTGGAGGTCATCATCATCCCGACATTGACGCAGATCGCCGTGCCCATGACCTTCTCCGAACTCTGGGTCGCCATCACGTAGGTTCATATATCATCACGAAGATGCCAGTCTGAACCGTTCATTCAGATACCTGCTCTACGTCGAGGCTCTCGGCCATTCCGGTATCCGAGCTGACTGGTCACACCCTCTCACAACACCGTTTTTGCGCCCTTTCAATATGGAGCTTGCTGTCGAGGGTACGTTTTCCCGTTACTTTGCAGTCATGGTCACATCTGATTATGTCACCGCTCCATCGATTAGATCACGACCTCCACCACAGATACGGAAAGTCAGGCCTCTCGTTAGTCTTACACACATACTTGCCTCTACATCCGCTGACCCTCAAAATCAGGTATGGCAAGCAATCTCGCGTCTTCGACACAGTGAGGACCTCATTATCACTTCATGGATCTTGACTGACATGTGCTGACAGCTCTTCAACACGAAGGCTCCTCGCGAGACTACACAGGACTTCGGTCGTTGGTTCAAGAGCTAGATCAAACGCTTCCCACGACTGAATACTCATCATGTTATCCGCCTTGCATGCACTGCCTGCGCACTTGATCTCTTCGTAATTGAAGTGTATGCCTCGCCTCCTGCGCCATGTGCGTGTATCCCTGCGAAGGAGGGAATGTAAGGTCATCGGGTCCGGTTCGGTGACGGCCGAAGATCTGGTCATGATCTCCAGCGGCCGCTGGGATCTGTAAATTTCGTGAGTTGACAGCCAGACGCGTAGAGAGGTACGTCCGCGTCGATCGCCCCTCCTCCGCTGTTGGTGATGGCGTCTATGTCAGAGTAGTATGTAGTCCCCGTACACTGACGATACAGCGGCTGGCTGACGAGCCTCGATCAGTGAGAAGCAGCGGCTAGAGAACATACGCCAAAATGAAGGCGTGTCTCCTCATTCGGACCGACCTGCTCACCGGCTGACTTCATAGAGCGTCCGCAGAGCTACTCAAGTCGCTCTCGCTGCCAGCGACACAACCCGCTCGCAAAGCACGAGCTCCTGCGCCCAAGAAGAAAGATGATGCAAAGAAGCGCAAGAGAGAGCCCAGAGAGGCTGCAGGGCCAGCTCGTCGATCGTCACGAGTGGCAGGACTTGCGGTAGACAGCCAGGAAGCAGAAAAGGCGCAGGAAGCGCGTGAAGCTGAGATAGCCGCTCTGGCGGAGGAGATGAAGAGGAAAAAGGGGGAAGATCGTTTGATATCGCTCGTGTCCGGCACAAACGGGCGCACGATCGAAGTAGGGCAGGATGACGAGCTACAAACCGGTCTAGACGCGCTACTCGCTCTCATACGGCAGTCAGACCATCCGAGACCTTCGTATGTCGCGGTCAAAGGCGAAGCAGGCCAGACCGTCGCGTCCACGCCCGTCAAGTCTGAGAGCAAGCCAGACGTCATCAGCCCTAAAGCCAAGCGGGGCAAGGTCAAGCAAGAGGACATCGAGACGGACACGACGACACCCTTGAGAGCTCCCAAAGTCAACAGGAAAGCCAAAGTGAAAGATGGTCAGGTCGAGCTTTCCGAATCGGCGGCCGCAACGCGCGCCAATGCTATCTCGCCGAAAGATGTCACGTCTCTTCGCGAGTCTTTGTCGACGTTAGTGGGCTACAAGTGTCCGGGCGTTGTTCCCAGTCGCATATACTCCATGGCCGTTCACCCCACGGTCAACACCGACCTCGTCTTTGCAGGCGACAAAAATGGCAATCTTGGTTGCCTACAATTCAAGCTTGGAGCGAGCGAGGAAGAGCAAGCAAAGAGCTGGACGTTTCCGAGTCATAACGGATCTATCAGCTGCATACGCTTCGATCCGGTCAATTCACACAGCGTTAGTCTTGTCTGCACTGCGAAGGAAGCGCAATGGCTGATTCGAAGAATAGGTGTATACCTCGAGCTACGATTGCTCGGTTCGCAGGCTCGACTTTGAGACGAAGCTGTCGACACAAGTGCTCGATGTCGATGCTATTGTCAAGGCAGACTTTGAAGGCGAAAGCCTGCTGAGCGCATTCGACTTCACCAGAGATGGCAACGAGATTTGGCTGTCCGATACTCGCGGCGGTATACTGCACCATGACATGCGAGAAGCGCAGAAGAAGACTCGTCGTTGGCTCGGCGGCGACAAGAAGATAGGATGTGTCAGTCTTAACCCGATCAATGAGCGCTACATCGTCACTGCGCATCTCGATCGCGACGTTAGGTGCGTCAATAGCAAGACCTCGGAAGCTCTTGATTGACATCGGGGACAGAGTGTGGGATGCAAGAGCGCTATCAAATTGCTCGGTCATATCGTCGAGTCAGACGAACGTCAAGGACGCTTGCTTAGCGCGGTACGAACACGGCTACGCCTGTTCGTCTGCATACTGGGATCCATCTGGCTCGCACATCCTCACGACGAGCTATGACAACAAATGCCGGAGTGCGCATGACTTTGCCATACTAGTGATGAGGCAAGCTGACGCTGGCGTGCCAGTCTGGGATGTAGATTCATCCTCTGCAACGGGCGAGATTGGCTTGCCAGCCGTCTTTGAACCAGCTGTGAGCGTGTCGCACGACAATCAGACCGGTCGTTACGTTTCCGTGCGTCTTTGCTGTTCGACGGCCTGCTTGCGCGAACTGACCGCAGGCCGGCTGGGATGTCCTACAACAGGTCTTCAAAGCTCAGTGGTCCCCTAATCCAGACGTATTGCCTCATTTCACAATTGGCAACATGAATCGTGCGTACTCACGAGACTCGCCAGTCAGAATTACGGACTAATCAGATCAATAGATCGACTGGATGTCATTGCTGCGAATGGCGACACGATTGCCAATCTCTGGACAGACGCAATCTCTGCCACTCAGGCCGTCACGCAATCGCATCCGAATTTGGTCAATCGTGCTTATTCGGGCAACGGTAGCGGAGCTGTCATGATCTGGGCGCCAGAGTCATCTTGATCGAATTGCATACAACGACATTGCACAGAATCTACTTGGCTTTGCGATGGTCGTCAAAAGCGTTGCCAAACTACACAGCTTCTACGGCCTCGAAGCATCCGAAACAAGCGCAAAAGGCTGCCTCTCTTGATCAGCATTCGCATAACGATAGACCTGCCTGCATACCTTCAAACACAGCGCAGCACAGCAGACAGCGACAAGCATCTTCACAGAAGCCGCCTCCACCTCGCAGAGCCTCGGCTTCCGTCACCTCAGCGACTGCGTTCCCGACTGCATTCATCTTGACCGTCTCTTGCGGCGGCTGCGAGATGGTCGTTTGCGTACTGGCAGTCATTCTGATTGCACTTGTATAGAAGCTGAACTTGAGGCGTGGCGGTCGCGACGTGGCTCGTCATCAAGTCAGAATGGTCGCGAAGCTAAAATTAGAAAGGGGCAGCAGGGCGTTTCATTAAGTTCATTTCCGCAGTTTCCGTCATTCGCTTCGACGAGTTGCGGTGCAAGCATCTCGACTCTCATCGTTCGCACGCAATAGACAGACTCATTGACACTACAGACACAATATGGTAGCACAAGAATCGACGACGGCGCAGGTCCAGCAGCCCAATGAGGCCATCAAGATGACGATGCAGCCTGCCAACGAGTCGCAGAACGAACAGCAAGTCGCCGAGGAACTCAGAGGGTACGTTCACTCTCCTGCGCGTCAGAGCCTCGGCTGACAGTGTTGAGCAGTGGCGGATGCATGAACGACATCTGCCGGTGCCTCATGTGCTGCTGCATCTTCGAAAGTACGTTGCTCCCTTTCATCCTGCGCACCCTTATTTTCAATCTGCATCGCATTCATCCTTCCATCCTCACGTGAGCGAAGGCTGATTCGTCTTTTGCAGCCATCTGCGCATGCATCGGATGTGACGAGGTGCTATAGTGACCAGCGAGCTCAGGAGCAATCTGAGACTGTGTGTGTGCCTCGAGATCGTATGAATGCAATCAAGATGTAACAATGCCTGAAATGCGAAAGTGCGAGCCCGGGTGTTGCACTGTGGGCCGCAGAAGTTCGCAATTGAGCAGGTGATCACCGGGCGGTACCATGTCCTCGGTCTGGTAGACCACCTCCGAGGCTGTGCTGTTCGTCACAGCATCCCACGTTCCGTAGAGCGTCCTGCTATGTGCTCTGTGACCGTCGACCCAACACTGAACTCGTCCGAGATCGTATGTCGCGCTTCGGAAGATGTTCAGGTAGACATTCCCTTGGGCGCCGGTTGTAAAGGGCAGCGAGATTGTCGATCCTGGCTCGTCGGCAATAAAGTACTTCTTCTCGGGCGATGACTCCCATGCATAGAAGCCGTCGAGCGAATGCGGGAGGAGCACCGAGTCCGGATACCTGGCGGTCAATAGCTTGCAGGTCGACAGCACAGGCTTATCGACACGATAGTTGTCCCATTGGCTGACCAATTTTAGCTGTATCAGCCAGTCAGCCTAGCGCTAGCATAGATTGCGTAGGAGCTCACCCTTGGCACTTGTGACCAATAGTCTTCGGTAGACCAGAAGCCTGTGCCTCTGATTGTCTCGGAGCCCTTCCGCAAGAAGCAAGACTGGCGAGTAAAGTAGACGCGAAGCAAATCGCTCGCCACTTTGTGGCCCCGACTGTTGAGGTGTCGCAGGTCTGTCTTGCCCGACACTGGTGATCTGAAGAAGTGATCGACCATCTCGTCTGGCTTTCTGTTGATCGCAGGCAGCAAGATGTTGCGAGGTGCGACCACAGGCACATCATGATAGACAGAGATAGGCAGGTGCAGACCCGCGCCAGAAGCAATGGTCTCGAAGGAGAGCGCGAGCAGACTGAGTGTCAGAACGGCAGGCTCGTGTGGTAGCGATAGCAATGTGCGATAAAGGTTCTCGGAGTGCGTCTGAGTATAGTCTAACAGTCTCGCTGGATCGTTGACGCCCAAATCGATGACATAGAGGTCGGCGTCGACAGGAGCGACGGCCTGGAAGCAGTGAGAGAAGAACGCGCTACTCGTTGCGGGTACGGCAGCATTGATGATCTGTGTGTTGCGATTCGCGTACGTCTTCCGCCACCATCGCTCGAAGCGAGCTGTATAGACATTCTCTGGCCCATCTGCATTGTGACCCGCCGTGACGCTGCCGCCGAGAAAGACGATCTTGACAGCCTGGCCCGCTTCTGCTCTGGCGAGCATTCGTCGGATCCTGGTCGACGTCCCTTCGTAATTGAGCGCAGCTCTGAGGTTGTTCGTGCCGTATTTCGTACATAATTCATCATTGCCATCGTCCGAGCACAAATCGCAGGATTGTCGTGATTCGTCTGTGGTGTAGCCAGGCGTGTTCAGACCCGCACGTACGATAGCTTGGCGGGTCCGGTCGGTCAATGCCTGTGTGAAAGCCCTACGTGAGGCATGGCTCGTGCTGGCAGCGCCTATGATGAATGCCATGGTCGCGAGTGCAACCAGCCAGACCACAGGCCGCCGCTTGAAGGATCGTTCATGTCGCAAGCCTCGAGCCAGTCTGACAAGGCGATGCTGCAGTGCTAGCTTGTGGTGCTCGACGTCTGCATAGTCTGCAGCGGTCGCGCCCGGGTACTTTTCCTCGTCAGGAGAGCCGACTGCAGTCGAACTAGGCGATGCTAGCGTGATGTCCTCGTAGGAGATGCGAGGAGCACCCATCGAGCTCTGAGTGCGAGAGTGAGCTGTCGTCTGGGAAGCAAAGTAGCCCGTCATGGTGTGACTTCAATGTGACCGGGTCGAGAGGTCTGGTGGCCTATATAGGCTCGCAGTCAGGACTGATGCAGTTGCGATGTCAAGACAAAGCTCGACCGGCTCAGCTCTGCAGGTGTGAAGCCGAATCGCTGGTACAAAGCATAGCGTGCATCGTGGCCTCGACCGTGCAGCGCGTGATGATCCATGTACGACAGCTGCAATCGGCAGGGTGTCCCCAGCGAATGGCTGGTCCGCTCGGCTTCCTTTCATTAGTCTGTGCTGCCTTGCTTAGGAAATCGCCGCCATAGGTCCGGATAGGATATGAAGTTTCAGGGCTAGGCTCGAGTTTGTCTGGCTGCCGGTGCCTGCCTGTGTCCGTTTTTGGATAGACGCGTCAATTGATATCTCCGCATTCGTGGGGAGCACTCGCGCCTGAATTGAGACACGACTGCACGAACGCCCACGTATGCGCAGATGGAGGGCCTCATCATCCTCGACTCGGCGGGCAAGGCGCTGTGTTCGCACTTTAGACGGCCGGGCTTGGCAGTCTTGGTGCTAGACGCCTTTGCGAGCGCGCTATCGGAAGCAAATCGCACGCAATGCCCTCTCGAGCCTGTCATTTGGGTGCCGGGCTTGCCAGAGCCAGTCTCTGTGGCTCGCCGGTCTCATGATAGTCCTCGACGGCGCAGAACAAGGACGCGCAGACGGTACAGCGATGAGAGCGCGTCGTCGGACTCGTCAAGCGAGGAGAGCTCCGTTGATGGCGACAGCGAGACGGAAGTACAGGCCAATGGCTTTACGTCGGCGTACGATGCTGCGCAGTCTGAGCCGCGCACAAGCGAAGCACTGATACAGCCTCAAGGCTCAGCGTGCTGCCATATCTTACGCGGCGGTCTGCGCTTCATCTTGCCCGTCATACACGAGACAGACCCTACGCTCGTCTTTGCGTTCCTAGAGGCATTCGTCGCTGTCCTGCAGGACTACTTTGGCGAAGTGTCGGAGTCGACGGTGAAAGATAACTTTGACGTGGTCTATGCTCTCTTTGAGGATGTAATCGGCCCACCTCGACCCGTCCTGACCGATTCTGCGGCGCTCAAAGAGCTCGTACCACCTCCTTCGCTGAGCAACAAGGTACTCAGTGTAGCAGCGGCGGCCATCAATGCATCTGCAGTCTTGCAGCCAATACCGACCGTTGCAGTTCTAGGTAACGCGCCACTGTCGTCACCCATTCTCTGGCGACGCAATGGAATACGTTACACGAACAACGAGATCTATTTTGACGTTTTGGAGGAAGTCGGCGCTATCGTCGATGCAAGAGGCAAGATCGTCACAAGCGAAGTCTGGGGCAAGCTGCTTTGCAAATGTCGCCTATCAGGTACGCACGCTAGGCTCATCTTCGATCAGCTGTGCATAGCAACTCTTGCAGGCGTGCCAGATCTTCAGATGAGCCTATCGCAGAGCAACCTGCTGCAAGATGTATCGTTCCACCCATGCGTCAGGCTAGCCAAGTGGCATTCCGCAAAGCTGCTCTCATTCGTACCGCCCGATGGCCACTTCACTTTGCTCGAATACCGACTTGGGCCGCCCAACACGGTCAACGAATCTGGCGAGATCAGCAGGAGCAGCGCCACAGAGCTGCCAATCTCTCTCAAAGCGGAAGTGACAAGTGGTCGCATCGGCGGATCCTTCAAGCTCACTCTGGCGAGCAAATTACCCTCTGCGCGACCTGTCGAGGCCGTCAGAGTCATCTTTCCGCTCGGTCCTGCTGCCAATGGCGTGACAGCAGAAGTGAGGGGTGGGCCGCCTGATAATGTCAGGGACGGACCGCAGGCGGGCACCTTTTGGGAGTTTGATCCCGCAGAAAGATGCCTTCTTTGGACGATTCGCTCCTTTGACTCGAGCGATCGTTCGCCTAGCATCACAGGTACATGGACACATTCTGTGCCCACTAACAAGCCCGCGTCATCAATCGAAATCCATTTTAATGCGTCGCTCGTCAACATGTCGGGCATCAAAGTCGACTCGCTCAAAGTGCTTGGCGATCGACAAGCACCGTACAAGGGCGTCCGTCCCATGCTGAGAAGCGGCAAGCTCGAGTTCAGATGGCACTAATCTAATGCATTCTACCTTGGCTCGTAATGATTTTGTGCTATAGGTATGGGCAGCGGTCGCGATTGGGCCGGCGAGTACGGAGTGTGCTCACTCTGCCGCTGCTCAGCGGAAGCGTACTGTGGCGGAGGCTGTAGCTGGGCCAGATGGATATCGCCTGCCGAAGATGCAAAGGAGTGCGCGGCAGGTGCAGGCGCATAGAACTGCGGGTGGCCGGTTTGCCAGCCGGCATGTGCGTCTATCGGTCTGGCACCGCCGTCGAGCGAGATTCGGTGAGCTGATCGCGGAAGCAAATGGGCGGGCAGGGTCATGGGTGGCTTGGCAGCAGATGCCGATGGTCGAGGTGGTGGCACGGGCGAAACTGGCCGCCTCGTGTTGGGCACTATAGGCGGAGTCGGTCTCGGCGGCTGAAGCTGGGTGCTCTGAACGTACTGCATAGGCGGTGGCGATAGTGTTGCGGGAATAGAATGGCCGAATGCATGGTTCTGTGTCGGTATGCTCGTTTTGCTTGGGTCCGGAAGCGGCCGCGAGCTAGCTTGACTCTGCGACATGCTGGTCGCTTCTGCATGGTGCGAGGGCGCTACAGGTGCAGGCATGTGTGAGCGCCCCGAATATGAGGCCGGTGAAGCCGAGTACGGTCCGTGAGATGGGCCCGGTGACTGTCCGTGCAGAGGACTCTGCATGTTCTGCGGATAGCCAGCGACGCTGAAAGGAGCAGAATTCGAGTGTTGCATGGCCGGCAAAGCGCTGTAGCTATGTGGCTCAGAAGGCAAGGGTTGCTGTACGCGCATGTCGTGATAGGCAGTCGACCTGACCGGCGCAAAGATTGCCGAAGGTTGCGGCCCTTGGGCATATTGCGAAGATAGCGATATGTTAGCCATCGATTGTTCCAGCTGGTGCAGCGTCTGCTGCGTCTGTGCGTGACACCTAGTCTCAGATTGTACTAACACCCTGATCGAGAGTGCACACCTGTGGCATATGCTGCGTCTGTAGCGCGTACTGCTGAGCATATGAGGCCTGCAGGTTGTTCCGACTCGTGCTTGGTCTAGGCGGTGGCGGCGCAGGCGCTAGTTGTGTCCCGTTTGGCACGGCCGTATAGTCAATTGTAGGCTGCTGTGCATACAGGTCTTCTGGTGGCAGGGGAAGAGATCCTGAGGGAGTCGATATGACAGGATGACTGAGCGATGGCGCACGCGAGGGATCGGGTGTATAGTATGCACCGCCGAGAGCAGGCGGTTCGAAGTGACCGGCACCACCATAAGTCGTGCTCGGTCGCGAATGGTTGTCGACAGTCGAAGGTCCTAGCGGTGTGCTCGCCTTTTTGGACCGGTTTACGGGCGGCGGATCAGCAGAATAGAAGGTCATCTCTAGGAATACTTCGCCCGCATATCTGTCCTTGTGCCGCAATTCGAGCCAGACATCCGTCTCGCCCTTCTTGAGCGTCTCGGCCAGATCGAAAGTCGCTTCCCCTACAATCTCTGGATCTTTGGGATCGTCTGCGTAGACTGCGACTTGCAGCGTCTTCTGGCCAGGCTTGAGACTGGCTCGGGCAGCGCTGCTCGAGCTCATCTTGCTGCTTGAACTGGCTTGTCTGCTCACGTTGCCGACAGAGAGTGACGAGGTCGAAGATGACTCGCCGGACTGCGCTGGGGGACTGAGTGGGAGGACACCACCTGTTGAAGTAGCGGTGACGGCCACCCGTTGGTGAAGCAGTTCATCCTCCAAGTCGTGCCAGATCTCAAATCGAAGTTCGTCATCCCACTTGGGCTGTTGACCGCCTCGCTTGATCACCTGGGTCTTCTTCCTGTCTGCGCCATGACTGACGGTGCAGTAGGGATCTTGCTTGCCCACTTTCTTCTTGTTAGGCAGATGTCGCTTTCATGCATAGTCCCGTTCAGCCCTGTTTGGTCTTGCGCAGACTCAAAGTGTTGCTCACCGCTCTGATGACGACGACGATGAGTGTGCCCAGTCTCTTCGTCATCCGGGAGGCCGGCGTGCCTCAGAGATGCCGTTCAGGGTGTCGAGGATCGCCGGTCTTGGGTGTCTTTGTCTTTGCGACGGAAAAACGACGCGACACGCGACGACTCCCTGCAGCCCTGCGAGCTCGAGATCGACGAGATGAGCGGTATGCACAGCCCATGCGAGAGGATGGGGCACTGATGAGCTCACAGGTGCCTACGGCGGTGGCGGCGGCTTCGTCAACGACGGCTCACAGACTTCGCCAGGGGGTGCAAAAGTGAGTGGAGCCACTTATTGGCTCTCTTCGCCCTGACTGACGGCCACAGCAGAAAGGAGATGGTCACTGCACGCCCGTCACGCTCGCCATGGTCACTTCAGCCGAGCAGGGACACGCTGAAGCACCCTATACGTACGATGGCGTGGAGATTGGCAATGTGGAAGTGATCGCCTTGGTGGAGGATCTGAATGCAGCTTCGACGAATGCCACGCTATCGCTTGATGACGGCACTGGCAGAGCGGACGCGAGAGTCTGGCTCGAGAATGGGGCAGAGAGCTCCTACCAGCTAGAAGGGATCGAGTCGGTCGAGCACCGCATCAATAAGCTCCACTCGCGCTGAAGTCACTCGACTGACAGGAAAGGTACGACCGTACACGTCATTGGAGGCCTCAAAGACTTCAACAGCAAGCGCTCGATCAACATCGTTCACGTCAGACCTGTTCATGATCCCAACGAAGAGGCCTACCATCGGTTGCGCGTCGCTCATCTCCAATTGCAGCGGAAGAGACCTACTGGCGCACGAACAGGGCCAGGCGCGAATGCATACAGAGCAGCAGGGTTGGTCACATCTTCATGGCACTCCACAATGTCAGCTCATCGTCTGTGCAGCATCATTGACGGCGACGAGGCAGCTTTCGCAAGTCTCACGGCAAAAGGCAAAAAGATTATGCTCTACCTCAAGGAACTCAAGGACAGCGGAGCCATCGGCGGCGGCGGTGTTGCTGAAGAGCAATTAGCTCGACAGACTGGCATATCCTTACAAGACGTAAAGGCCGAAGCTATATCACTTTCGGACGATGGTCAGATTTTCGAAATGGACGAGGGCTTGTGCGTTCGATTTCACTCATACTGCACTCGTCATGCTCACAAGAGGATGCACAGCTGGGCTCCCGCTCTTTGAGTACCGATGCCACGCGAATGCATTGTTGTGCCAACATCATCGCCGTCTCACGCGATTCGTGAGCGCATTCGCAAGCGACCTGAAAGCATCTGCTTGTGCATCGCGCAGAGCTGGCCCGATCTCGTTGACGAACCTGTCCTTGAGCTGTAGGGCGCTTGTCAGATCGATCACAAGATTTCAGGGCAAGCCAACTCACGACGGAATCATGAGCGAGATCATACTGCGATAGTGGCTTGAGCGAGTCGATCCCACCCAGACGATCCCTTGTGTACTCCTTGGCATGAGCAGTAAGCTTGTTTGAAATCACTGCAAGAGCATCCTTGCCGATCGAACGAATCTTCTCGAGCCTCTTCCAGATCTGCACGCGATGCTCGACTTCGGGATCGTTTGTCGGCACGCGATTCTCGGCAGGGCTATGTGCATAGACAAAGCGTCTCTGACACATGACATCGATGAGACAGTACGCCTGTGAGACCAGTCAACCCGCGCCACTTCTCTCATAATGTTCATACCTCAAGAGTCGTCGTTGCAATGTGGCAGAGATGCCAAGGCAGCTGCCGCTCCGCGATAGCATCGTGAAACGACTTGCGCAGAATCCTAAATGTGTTCGCTACCTCGTCGTCTTTGGCAGACAAGGCGCGATGATCAGTCGAAGCTTTGCCTTTGCCTGATCCGCCGTCGGCATACAGCCAATCGATCACGTCGCGGCCAATCTTGAGCAATAGAACCTCGCTGGGCGTCAGACCCTCCCGAGCGCTCAATGAAGCAGTGAACGCGAGGTTTTCTGCCGCTACTGTCTTGGGCCCGCAATCGTCGACAAAGAAGGCTGTGTAGAGCGCATACATGGCTCGAACCCAGCTCATCGAAGTGTTGGGACCAAGCGCGGTCTGCTGCAGCGCGGTCTGACCGTTAGCAGGGTTGAGGTTGGGTAAGACGCCAAAATCTCTATTGTCGCAAGACGACACTCCCCTGAAGGCAGGACTATCGAGAGTAGGCAGTAGCGCGCTCGCGTACGTCAGGTTAGCGATGGCTGCCTCTTCCATGTTAGACTCGCGGATGATCTCGAGCTGCAACAGGGCTTTCGATAGTGATTCGGACAGTCGCGTTGACACCTCGTGATATTCCATCGTNNTGTGGTAGTGGCCGCGGTCCCAGATGGCGGCAACAGCTTCTCGTGCTTCGTCCTCGCCCTCGAGATACCAAGGAGCCGTTCGCACCATGTCGTCTACTATCTTGCCTTTGGAATCCGCGAAAATGAGCGAGGTTGCCCTGTCCATCATGAAATGCGATAAAGTATCCTGCTGAACCGACTTGAGGTCGAGCGATTTATACGAGCCCCTGAGCTGCGAAATGAGGCCTAGCATGCGACAGATACGCTGGAAGAGGAATGCAAGCTGGTACTTGTAAGGGCTGAGGCGCGTAGCGAACTCGAGAAAGCCGACTGCGCATTCGAGGTGGCTGTGCCCGCCTGAGACATGATACGCGCTTACGAGTGCTTGACCTGCTAGCAAAGCGAAATCGTCCCCTGGAAGCAGATCCGTTGACGACAACTTCTTGTTGGTGCCGAGCGTGGCGCAATAGAGACCGATATAGCGATAACCGTCATTGGCATGCTCTTCTTCGGCCAGCGAGTCATGCAGACATCTTGCGACCTTCTCGGCATTGATTGTACGCTGTACATCGGCATTCGCCGCAATAGTGTCTTGAGTAGCGAAGCGAGGCACCTGACGCAATAGCGCCCGCTCTTGTGCAGTCAAGACTGATAAATATGGAGCCAGGTCCTCGTAGCAGCATGGCTTTTGCGCATAGTGATCAAAGTAAGACTCGATCAGGCCAGGTAGGGCATCTGACATGCGCAAGCATGTCAGTAGGAGCGACAAGCTTGTTCGACGAGGACTAACTAGGTTGAGACTGGCCACGCTCGCGCCGCGTGCGAGCAATCTCGAGCAGACCAAGCTCGTAGCCTCTTTCATGCTTGCCTCTCTGTTCGGCCAATGTCACAAGTAGGCCTTGCGTCCGATCGACATAGACAAGGCTCTGCGTTGCATCCTGTATAACTGGTGCGGCTGCCAAGGCAGATTCCGCCAGATCCTCTTCGTCATCATGAGAGATGCCGTTGGCTCTGTTTTGGAGACTGAGCTTGAATGCGAACCGGATGGCGGATATGATCGTATGCCAATTTGTGTCGTTGTGCATCTCTAACGCTTCTGTACATCGTTGCCAGCCCGACCGCCATTCTGTCTCTGTGCCAAGCTCAAGCTCATACTCCCTGCGCGACAGCTCAAGCGCAAGATCTTCGTTGCAGCAGCGGATGCCCTGATCCGAGTTGAAGACTTCGAAGAGCGCGTTCCGTGCTTTGAGAGCAGCCGGTGAGAGTTCGTCGAGCAGAGGCTCACCGCCATTGCTCAGTCGGGAAGGAGCTCTGTCGCTCGCTTGCAAACGCAAGAGCTCGATGCGAACATAGAACTCGCGCGCCGTTTCCGGAACGAGCGTGAATTTGTCACGTTCAGAGAGCACTTTGGCTGCTATGCCGAGCAAGATGGTCTTGTTGCTCGTGCCGAGATGTCTAGGCGAGGTTGCGAGGATGAGGAGGGTCATGACGGCAGTATACAAGCGTTTCAGAGCTTCCTGATTGCTGGCTGATATACCGGTAGCAGCCGCCTTGGCGGTCTTCTTGACCGACAGAGGTGTCGGAGTGGAAGGCGCGCTGAGCTTGTACCACTTGAAGGCGAACTAGATTCCGACTGTCTCAGCTCTGGCCCACATCAGCTGTGGCGGATCATACCTGTTGCATACGTCTATAATCGCTTTCTCGCACGAAAAACAGAAAGACTTGTTTGAGTATCTCTACGTTGCTTGGATTGGCGAGTGCGGCCTCTTCATACATGTCTGCGATGGTCGATCTGAGCATAGGCGCACCAAAATCTCTTGTGTGATCGAGCAAGAAGGCAGTGATCTTGAGCAGGTCAGGATCGCTGTTGGCATTCGGTATTTTGCGCAGAGTGAGCAAGAGAGGAATGCCGTCTTTTGCAAGAGAGAGGCGAAAGTAGCAAAGCACCTGAAGAGCAAGGAGTATGTGCATCTGCGGCTTCTGCCGGTAGGCCTTTTGAGCTGCCCTTGCAGCTAGCTCGTACTGCTGTTGCAAGATGGTCTCTGCATTCGTTCGACCAACATGAGCACTGTGGCTTTGACGGCGTTTGCAACTGACCACAGATGGGTCCCACTGTCCTGAGCTCGGCGGGCGGGCCACTACGCTCTAGTCTGGCCAGGTATTGCTCTATCAGGCCCCGAGTGCGCTGTTGTCGCTTGTGCCTCGTCGTGATAGCCGCAAAAGACTGTGCTGCCGCTCTTTCTGGTTTGGCAGGCTGAGGCGAGGTGTCCTTCATCCTGCGAGCAAGCGCCTCCAGCATCTTGGCTTTGCTCTCCATCTTGACCGACCGGGACACTGTAGTGCCTCTGCGGGCTTGTCTCAGACCAGCGCAGCTCGACCAAAGTGCTCTCTCTCTGACTTGATCGCGTCGTATCTTTTTCGAATCTCGGTGCTCAGAGTGGTCCTTCGATAGCTTCAAGCTTCGAGTCGGTGGGTGTCTCAGACGAGGCGCCTCAATGCTCGCGGCAATCATAATCATAAGATGCAAGCTCGTCAACAACAAGAGATGACAAGCTATGCTTAGCTCATAAGAGCGTGACGTGAGCGTGATGTTCATTAAGAGGCGTGCGACTGCCTTGGGTGCGTTGCTGATGAATGCTGTCTATGTACTTGCGGTGCGATAGGCTTGTCCTTCAGAAGTTGAAGGCTGAGGAAGCGTAATAGTATGCTTGCGATGGAGAGATCTTGCTCTCGGCGAATTCGCGGTCCGTGCGGGCGCCCTTGCAGAACTTGTCCGCGAATTCGTTCATGAAGACGTCAACGTGACCCTTGATCCAAGGCGCAATGATCTCGACGTGCTTGTGCTTGTGCTTGACTTCAAGACTGCACTTTCCGAGCTGACGCACTGCGCGCTGAGAATCGCTGAAGAGCAATAGCTTGATTGCAGGCCAGGGAATCTTGCCGCTGTTGAAGAGTTCGAAGCAATACGTAGTTGCCTCACACTCAGCAACATGAGAACAGATCGTGTCCCGGATGCGCTTGCTGAAGATGTAAAAGAACTCCTTTCCGTCGAGTGTCAATTCGCGGGCGATCACGGCGATGGCCGCGGCGCCCGCATCGGGGCCAACCTTCATGACCGTTGCATCGGAACCGACCAGCGTCGTGCCTGGCTGCTGATGCTCGAAACAGTGACGGTAGTATTCGACAGAGGCAGCATGCTCGTGCTCGATGATTGACGTTATTCCGACGCGCGTACGATCGTGTGCGACTGCAGTGAAAGGTCCGGGTACGTCACGCGCGACGTCGTCGAAGGTTTTGCCGTTGCAACGGACGAGGCGAGCCAGCATTTCGAATCTGAGGTTGACAGAAGGCAGGAATTGTGCGTTGGCAAAGTTGTTCTGTCTGTACTCGCGATTGAAGGTCGGAACTGATGACGATCCGGGAGGCGAGATTGAACGGCGCGACGATAGTATGCGTGGACCGGAGATTGGGCCTCTGGCTGAGCTCGTCGGCTGAGCGGGGCGAATGAATGCAGTCGCCGGACGAAGAGCTGTCGGGGCAGTGCGAAGTCGCTTTGTCTGACGATCTTTCGTAGGCGAGATATGCCCACTGGTGCGGCTGGCACTTGCACTGAGCGATCGTGCCTTGTGGGAGCCGAGTATAGCCTTGATCGCTACGTCTCGGATGTCCTGGTCTTGCGGTACATCTGCGCTCCTGCTCGCTTTGATTGGCTTGATCTCGCGCTCGTCTGCCGATGTGACTTTGCCGATGCGAACTCCCTTGCTTGATTCTTGCTCCTGCTGCTCCACATGCACCTGTACTTGCGGTGGTATGGACGCGTCACTGTCTGCCTCAGGCGGCTGCCTCGTGCGTGACTCTGACATCCTGTCAACAAGACAAGGAGGATCAGTATTGGTCATGAACTGACTGCAGGCTTCCTACCCTGTGCGATGTGTAGTATTAGCTACTGCTATGCTGCTCCCTCTCTCTCTGCTACTTGCTGGCGACGGTCAAAGCTGATAGGTCGGCTGCTCCTCTTGTTGTTGTTACTCTATTATGCAGCTGCAGTCCTGTCTATAATTGCTGTTGCGAGATGCTACGAGCAGACGGGCCAAAGACTGAGCCGTTGAGTAAGAACGGAGCGTTGGAAGGGCAAGGATGTCGCCAGATGGGGTGTGAGGAGTGNAGGANTNATTCGCACTCTTATCATATTTCGCGCTCACCAGGTGATTCCGCACTTTTCAGATGATTTCGCCTACCCCATATTCTGCGGCGCGCCGCGAACGCGGGGAGCGCACATCTAGCTCGTGATCAGACGTTAGCGCCGTCCATTCGCGCCGCTTACGGACGGACGAGTGCGCGCAAATTTCTCACGGTCACGCGCCTCGCAACGTATAAGAAGAGTGCAAATTCCTTTTCCCAACTCAACTCCAGCTCGACTTCAACTCCAGCTCGACTTCGCCTCTGGCAAGATTCTCAGCCCGAGAGTAAGAAGGAGAGCGACTAAGCATACTACCCTGCAAGTCCCGTCAGGCCGGGGGGGCCAGTAGCCCGCCGTCATCGACAAAGAAATATCCCCTCTGCCGAAGCCGACGCGAGGTGCTGTGACGCTGTGGTCATTGAACGGGGCC